GTCAAGGTGGGGGACACGGTGGCATGAGTTTGGTGGGTCTGTCACGTGATATGACGGACTAAAATAATTGTGTCAACCAGTATAGGCGGTTACATGAGTATGACGATTATGCGACTACTTAGTCAGCCATCATCGTTCCGTTGTTTGTTTGTTGTTGAAGTGCGGAGTTGACTAAGCAGTTGCGGTAAGGCGATCATCGCCTTGCTCGGCAGCGAAATTGCGGTATTGCGCATTCTGCAATATTGCAATATGAAGCTATAGAATAGCGGTCAAAATAAGCGATTCTAGCATTATAAATAGACCTCTTAGATAGCCGGAAAGGAGGTCTTCAACACCTTCAATCTACTCGTTGGATATAGCCAATTCAATTGCTTCATTCAATCGTTTTTTAGTGGTCCAATCTATCCGGATCCTTAGTCATTCTGCTTGCCAAGCCTTCGCCCTTCCACAATATTGAACTGACAGAGTTCACGTGCCTTACTTACATAAGTTACATTAACTAACGTTTTCAACAAGCGAGCCGCGCCTACAAGCGAGCCGCGCCCTTTCCACCAAAATATCTGCTTTCTTAATTCAACGCGTCTTTTCTCGTCACCACAATTCAATATGCCTCTTTCTAAAGAATCGCGTATTCAGATGGCTATTTCAGCCTATCAAAAAGGCCAAGTTAAATCAATTAAACGCGCTGTGGCTCTTTTTACAGTTCCTGAAAGTACTGTACGCGACAGGCTTCATGGCGCCAAATCACGATCAGAAACACGCGCTAATGGTCATAAACTAACCGAATTTGAAGAGGAATTGCTTTTAAGGCGATTACTAGATGCAGATACGCGAGGATTTCCAATTCGACCCGAATTTCTACGTGGAATGGCCCAGATTTTGCTTCGCAATCGTGTACACGACCCTACCGCAGTTATCGGAACTAACTGGCCTTATAACTTCGTTAAACGCCATCCTCAGCTACGTACGCGATATACAAGACGTATTACTTATCAGCGCGCAAAGCAGGAGGATCCGAAAGTTATAATCTCGTGGTTTGAAGCTGTACGAGCGACTATTCAAGAGCACGGCATACATGAAGATGACATCTGGAATTTCGACGAAACTGGCTTTGCAATGGGACTTTGCTCTACTTCAAAAGTGATTACTGCAGTTGAGCGAAGCGAGCGACCGCGCAGAGTCATTCAGGGCAATCGTGAATGGGTTACAATCATCGAAACAATCGGATCAAAAGGCGTACATCTACCGCTAGTTATTATATTAAAAGCGAGCTATCAACAAGCTGCCTGGTTCCAAGAACCTAAGCTCCCTCGCGACTGGTGGATTTCTACTAGTCAGAATGGCTGGACGACTGATGAAATAGGTTTTCTCTGGCTAAAAAATGTCTTTGAACCGCTTTCTAAGCGCTATATGACTGGTGCAAAGCGGTTGCTTATTCTTGACGGTCATAGCAGTCATTTAACTGCTGAATTCGATGATTTCTGCAAGCAGAATGCAATAATTTGTCTCTGCATGCCTGCTCATACTTCGCATCTTCTTCAACCGCTTGATGTGGGCGTTTTTGGCCCGCTTAAAAGGGCGTACGGAAAGCTTCTTGAAGACCGTATGGCTGTTGGTAACAACCACATTGATAAAGAAGACTTTCTATCGCTATATCCAGATGCGCATAAGGAAGTCTTTACTTCAGCTAATATCTGCAGCGGTTTTAGAGGAGCAGGGCTTAAGCCGCTTGATCCAGAGTATATTCTTTCTAAGCTTACCTTTCAACTACGTACACCTACGCCACCACTAGTTGAAGGCTCAATTTCCTCTGCTTTTCAAACTCCGCAGAATACTCGTCAATTAAATCGAAAGGTCCGAAGCCTACAGAATAGCCTTAACAAAAAACGGCAGCTTTCTAGCAGTCCTATTGCTCATATTCGACATCTTGAGAAAGCGGCACAATTAGCGATGCAAACCCAGCTGCTTTTAGAACAAGAAATTAAGGCTATACGAGCTGAAAATGGACGGCAACGTCAGAGAAAGACAAGAAAACGTGCTGAGATAGGTAATGGCCGCCTTCTTAATGTACAGGAAGGTGAAAATCGCGTTCAGCAGCTTGATACGCAGCTTAATGAGCAGCCTGCGGAATCTACTCCAGCGCCTCGTCGACAAGCTCCGCAACGCTGTAGTGGGTGTGGAACAGTCGGACATACAATTCGAAATTGCCCTAGAAAATAGCTATTATTTCATGTATTTAATTAGTCAAATTTAATGGCGTTGGTGGTTGAAAAGCCTTAGGAAGTAGGAGTTTTGGTGGAAAGGGCGCGGCTCGCTTGTAGGCGCGGCTCGCTTGTTGAAAACGTTAACGTAATCAACCACCGAGCGGCGGATACCATCGAGCGGCGGATTTTCACTCCAACCACCTCAAGCATCATTTAACGCGTCTTTTCTTCGCATCAATCATATAAAATGCCACTTTCTCAAGAAGCTCGCCTTCAGATGGCTATACAGGCCTATAAAGGTCGAAAAATCAAATCAATTTCAAAGGCTGCTGAAGTCTACGCGGTGCCTGAAAAGACCTTACACGCGCGTCTTAAAGGAAGGAAACCACGCGCAGAAACACGCGCAAATGGTCATAAACTGACCGAATTTGAAGAGGAATTGCTTTTAAAGCAATTATTAGACGCAGATACGCGAGGATTTCCAATTCGACCTGAATTCCTACGTGGAATGGCTCAAACATTGCTTTGCAATCGATTACGAGATTCAACGGCAGCTCTCGGAATCAACTGGCCTTATAAGTTCGTTAAACGCCATTCTGAACTATGTACGCGATATACAAGACGGATTACCTATCAACGCGCAAAGCAGGAAGATCCAAAGGTTATAAAACCATGGTTTGAGACTGTACAAGCGACTATTCAGGAACACGGCATACACGAAGACGATATCTGGAATTTCGACGAAACTGGCTTTGCAATGGGACTCTGCTCTACTTCAAAAGTGATTACTGCAGTTGAACGAAGTGAGCGACCGTGTAGAGTCATTCAGGGCAATCGCGAATGGGTCACAGTCATCGAGACAATCGGGTCAAAAGGCGTACATCTATCGCCAGTCATTATATTAAAAGCAAGCGTCCAACAGGCTGCCTGGTTCCAAGAACCTAAGCTTCCTCGCGACTGATGGATTTCTACTAGTCAGAATGGCTGGACGACTGATGAAATAGGCCTTCTCTGGCTGAAAAATATCTTTGAACAGCTTTCTAAGCGTTATATGACTGGTGTTAAGCGATTACTTATTCTTGACGGCCATAGCAGCCATCTTACTGCTGAATTCGATGATTTCTGCAAACAGCATGCAATAATCTGTCTCTGCATGCCTGCCCATGCTTCGCATCTTCTTCAACCGCTTGATGTGGGTGTCTTTAACCCGCTTAAGAGGGCGTACGGAAAGCTTCTTGAATATCGTATGAAAGTCGGCAATAATCATATCGATAAAGAAGACTTTTTATCGCTATATCCGGATGCACATAAGGAAGTCTTTATTTCATCTAATATTTACAGCGGTTTTAGAGGAACAGGACTTAAGCCGCTTAATCCAGAGCATGTTCTCTCTACGCTTACCTTTCAACTACGTACGCCTACGCCATCATTAATTGAAGGCTCAATTTCCTCTGCTTTTCAAACCCCGCAGAATACTCGCCAGCTAGATCGAAAGGTTAAAAGCCTGCAGAACAGCCTTAATAAAAAACGGCAGCTTTCTAGCAGTCCTATTGCTTATATTCAACATCTTGAGAAAGCGGCGCAAATGGCAATGCAAACCCAGCTGCTCTTAGAGCAAGAAATCAGGGCTATACGCGCTGAAAATGGGCGACAACGTCAAAGAAAGGCAAGAAAGCGTGCTGAACTAGGAAATGACCGCCTTCTTAATGTACAAGAAGGCGAAAATCGGGTTCAGCAGCTTAATATGCAGTTTAATGAGCAACCTGAGGAATCTACTCCGATGCCTCGCCGACGAGCTCCGCAACGCTGTAGTGGCTGTGGAACAGTAGGACATACAATTCGAAATTGCCCTAGTAAATAGCTATCATTTCATATATTTATCTAGTTAATTTAAATGGCGTTGGTGGTGGTAAAGCTTCGAATAGTAATGATTGCGGTGAAAATCCGCCGCTCGATGGTATCCGCCGCTCGGTGGTTGATTACGTTAGTTAGTTAACTAGGTTAACTAAGTTACATGTCGGTGCAGAGCACCTCGCCTACTAGATTAGGACTAGCGCCCCGCCAGGCAGGAGCCCAGCAACATAGTGTTCTGCATTGAGCCTCGCTCCTTTTAGGCCTGGAGATAGTCACCACCACTCCATCAGTTTGCCCTGCATAATATTCTCCAACATTACAGTACAGCAGAATCAAATGCTCACTCACATGCCTTTCCCACTTCGGCTATTGCCTCGGTCCCTCTCCTTATCTGACCCATGGCACTGAAGTACTACTGTTCTGTAGAAACCCAAAGTAGACAATGCGGCTTATCTCCATAGAATATTCCGCAGAAGAGGGATCACGCATGCTACCCAGGAAACACGTGGCTCATCTATCATATTGAGTCCACCTCATTACTGTAACAGTAAATGAGCGAAGGAGACTCGCCCGCTAGTTTGGAGTCAAGCGTAGCCTACACTCCTCGATCCAGGGACAGGCCTCTGTTATCTGTATATGTGTTTGAGTGATGGCTCGTTTCTATGATATTGACAGCTGAAATTTGCAACGTTCCAATGGGGGGACTTTTGCAAAATTGTATGAGGTCGAAAAAGAGTTTCTCATTCTTCATATTTACCGCGAAATCAAGCAAAGGACTGAAACACATTGATTTGTGCGAGCTAGTATTTCTTCAATATGACGCTATATTGACCTCAAGCCTGTATTTCCAATGCTATGCACCGTCAATCATCGAATCCATGCACGGCACCGGATACAAACACAGCGTCTGGGATGTACAGATAGCTCATCAGTTCTTCTATGCTAGGTGGCTCTGCCAGAAGAGTTGATGATGTTAAAGATGTCTCCCACAATGCTGTCTTTGACCCAGAATCGGATCAAAAGCTGCGTCTCTTTCTGCCCATCTACCATGATATAATCGCGCTCATCGAGTACAGTGATATGACCGTCTCTTTCCATACTTTTCTGGCAGAGCGTGAGTCTGGCTGTTAAACGAGGTGAGCTTAGAACTCACTAGATTGGCGATGTCATCCTCGTCGGAAGTGGTCGAGATTCGGTCATCTACATCCGACGGTTGCCACGTCTGGTCGTCCGCTATTTCCGGAAAATCGTCATCTGATGCGATGAAGCCCCTATCCGACTCCGTCTCAGTATATACCGACTCTGTCTCTCCGTCCGTGGACGCGAGGTCAATGACGTCCTCTTCAAGGATGAGCTGCGTTTGCATTGTGGTACCAGGCACCTCGCCGGAGTCTTCAAATTCAGGCCGCAACGAGTGACCCTGCTCTTCACGCTCGGATCTGTTGAAGGCTGATCTCGGATATGATATGTAGTGGCTACTTTGTCTCCCTTCGAGCTGGCGTATGTTCATTATTAGGAGGTCGACCACGCCAACTTATATTTGTCGAAAGTGTCGCAATGTGCATGACTGCAAATCTTCCGATGGCTGAGATTCCCAAATCTATTTCAAAGAAAGGTCCTAGGCACTAGACGATGCCTGCCCGAACACTCGCAGGGCGCTGGTGAACACTTGCGTCTTAGTTTATGGCCCTTCGGAGAAACATCATCCTGGGCCTGTGGACAGGATGTCCAACACCGGGTTACGAATGTAACCTAAAACCGGGACTGACTCCTGAGAAGGCCTAATGTATCGGCGGTCCTTGTTTTTTTTTTTTTTTTTTTTTTTTTTTTTTTTTGCACGGCTTAAAGTTCGTCCGAGCGTAACTCGTCCAACTTGCAATCGAGGTAAAAACCACTGAATTAATCTGCCATGGTATCAACAACAATTCAGCTACATCTGCTGCGCCTACCCTCATGTCTAGTGACAGGCGGGTCCATGTTGAACAGCGTGAACCTATGCTGAACGGTGTCGGGTGCCAATGAGTTGAACGGTGCCAACGGCTGTTTTAATGGGAGCGTGATCAACAGTTCCGACTGGTCCGTCACTTATTGCATGGACTACGGTCCACAGCGAGCTATTGGTTCACCACCTTAGCAAGTGGAGGTACACCTTTACCTTGCTCATTCTCGGTTCCCACACCTCCATCCTGTTCAACGTATTGTGGCGCGGCTTAGGTTGATTCGTCTACTGGCACATTCGTCGCCTAGTGCGGCTAGTTGAACCACTCATACCTCGCGACCATTCGGATGAACTCCTCTATTTCCGCCGGTGGACCCGACCCGCCTCCGAACACCGCTCGATACATGATTGGTCGATCGCAAGCATGTACAGCCCGATTTGGAGGGATTTGTCTGTTTCCCCACGAGGGAGCATGAGATACCCCGCTCCATCCAATGCGTCTGTACGGAAAAAGTGTCGTAACGACGCCTACTTGTCGTACCTCAAGTCGATTTCGGTCATTCCAGCCACGCACCCTGGGTACCGTGCCATATCTTGTTTTGGGGCTTTGAACCGCCAAGGGCATAATGATTACAGTTGGACAATCATTTAGGCGTTACACCAGGTTGCAAAACCAGTGTCACCCCCACTGATTATTTGTTTGTTTGCCAAACCCTATGCCAAGGATGCACTTGACCTCTTTTGTCACGAATCATCGCAATACCTATTTTAAGAGATTGTATCGTATGGTACTGGAATACGCGCGCTGCGCACGCTGCGGCCCTGAAACGACAAGGAGGGGAGGAAGAAAACGATACGTAAGGCTATCGAAGGAGATTGAGATGACTTGTTCGAGCAAGGATCACTAACTTTTTAAGGCATGCCGCAAGATGATAAAGCATCCAGGGCTTGGAGAGCTTGTGTGATTGGGCAAGAATGTCTGCATAAGTCCCCTGATTTGTGGGGAAGAGGTAAATCACGCTTCAATGCTTATCGTCAGCCGTCTCTGTCCATGTGAACCTGGTTCTGGGTATAGATATAGGCTTTTTTTTTGGTTCGCTTTGTCTGGGTAAGGATTGAGGCTGAGCATACCGATAGGGGTGATAAGAGGAAACAGGCCTAGGAAACCCGTGAGCGGGGCGATCCCCTACGCAAGAGACTACGTCGTGTCCAATTTAGTCGACGCATCCAATCCTTGTCAGGGGACTGAGAGTGTTGTGGCTACCATAGATTAGTGTTGACATTATAGCCTAGGTGCCGGGGGTGTGGTCAAAGGAAAGGAATTAGAAGTTACAATATAAGGCGCTACAGCAGCGCAGGAGAATTCATTCAGAGCAACGAAGATATACTGTCCTTGCAGAATCCAAACCACTTTCAATTTGGAGAACAAGATATTTAGCATGTAAAGAACTTCGTGCGTTTCCCTGAGAAAGGAACATGACAAATAGTTTCATGGTTTCGATCCTCCAGAGAAGGATCCTACATCTTCCCAAATTTCGCATATACCTTAAGACGAGCCGCCGATACCTCAGCATCGGCATCTCGACACCAATCTTTCTTGCACTCACCAAATCTCGTCCACTCAGTGATAGTCTTATCCATCATTGCTACCACCAGGTCAAATGAAAATTGCGGTACTGATTGCAGTAAGACGTTCTGGAAGGGTGCCGGACTTTCTGTGTCTTCAGTTCTCAGGCGCGTGAGATGATGCATGGTTACTCTGACTGCCAAATCTCGCAGTCCTCTATCCTGTGATGGAGTCGAGTTATAGATCTCCACTATCGCGCCAGGAAAGGAGCTTGCATCAAGTCGTTGTAGCAGCTCTTGTTCGACTTTTCTCTTGGAAAGACCTTTGAGGCCTTCAATGAACATGCGATCTGCAAGAGCATACATAGAGATGTGAAACGATAAGGGATCAGAACCATACGAGGCGAAGTCACTTGTTGATTCTGACGTATCTGTGGAGACTTGGTCTGTCTGAACGCCAGTCTCTTGACAGGTGGAGTCTGTCTTGGCCGATGCAGACTTGGTCAGGTCAGTCGGTACATCCCTCAAAGTGAAGGGCGCAGATTCCGACACAGCATTCACTTGATAATCTAGAGTGTAGAGATACTGGATCATCTGTCCGACCAAGGCTGGCTCTTCTTGTAACGTTAACACATTGGTGTGGGCTTCCTATGGCAGGTTTGTTAGAAACTTTCTCAGTCTTCCTATAGCGGTTTATCGCACCTGGAAGTTTCCATTACATGCCTTTGCAAGAAAAGCCGACCTAGTGCAGACAATACTCTTATGCACGCAGTAAACCTGATCACCGCATGTAATTGTGAGATCGCTATAATGAGGATCAACGTGCAAACTATATGTTGGTTAGCAGGAACACAAATTCAGACATTGAATGTGTAGCATACTTCGCTAGTGCGGCAAGAAGCTCTTGCCTAGGAAAAACCTCTTGGTCCGGAGAAAAAAAATTGTGATAGTTACGCTCGGGTTGAATTTTGCTGTCTGTCAACTCCCTTCGCGGTGCTTTTCCAGCGTGGCCTTTTTTTGGTGCCATGATGGAAAGTAAACCGGTGCCTATCGTATGTTGAAGTTAGCTTCAGGTGAAATATGGTCAATTACAGTCTTGCGTCACGATGACGTGAGTCAGTTTACCAACTAATCAGCGAAATGAAAGGTGACGCAAATCCACCATCAAGACTGCCGTACGGGGGACGCGGATCAAGCCTATCGCGTGGGAATAAGCTACACAGCGTGGTAGTATAAGGGCCACATTAGACATGATTATGGAGCAATCACACCGTGCGCACTTGCATGTACAGCCCTATAACCCTAACCCAAAATAAGGCTTTTCCCAGAGAAGACGGCGTCAAAAAAGACTTAACCAAAATAGGAAATCCAGGAGCGAATGAGAAGGGTGCGTGGAACGAAGCTATCTACCGCAAAATGCCATATTCTTCTGCGTACGCTCTCGCAGGCTCGTTTACTGGGGGACGCGCGCTGCCGCACGCTGTAAGCCCTGAAACGATGTGGTGTGCGGAAACTGTGGGAAGTAGACGAAAGTCGTGGCAGTATTAAACATTATGTATATTATATAAAGCAAAGCGAGCTAGTCAGAGGGAAGCAGACCAGGGGGCAGAGCTTCCGCTTGTAGAAAACGCAGTGTCTCCATGTCCACAAGCAGTGCTGGGTTGTGTGGGAAGTGAAGTCCACAGCCATAATGACTTGGAGTAAGTCAAGGCCTTTCGAAAGCTGAACATAAGGCGAGCAGTACTTTCTATGATAATCTTGATGTTGTCAGGAAGAATCGTTCTTCAGACACAGACTTGCTGAAGACTGTTGAGCCTTATACTTTGTAATTAGAAAGGCAGAATTTCAGGTAGATCGGTATTTGCTTTGTTCTCATTGGCAAGATCTTTAAGAAGATGGGCTATTCCTTAAGGGATATCGGCATTATGGAAGTTGGAAGTTGGTCAAATTGGTAACCAGTGGTGTATTACATTTGAATAAAATTGAAACAGAATATTCAGTACAGAATACATAGGGACCATTGTCAAACCATGGGATATCTCCAAGCTGTCTGCGTGCTGGCGTGGGTGAACTGAACCCTCCGGCGACTAATCCAACTAGTCCTAACAAGGTGACATAATACCGAGTATGCGAAGGTCCGACGAACTTCAATAATCAATGAAAATAAACACAGTAAGGATAGAAGGAAGATATACCAAGTATATACACTCAGTTTTGAAGGATAATAAGACTTAATAAATCAAACTAGCAATGTTCAAAGGCAGGTATCCAATTAACAATATTAATCAACACGAAGACTACATACACAGGTAAACGAGTGCCCTTATATATCCTATGGTCCGTGGCTTGGTATCCTCCTGGTACAGTATACAATGTGGTAGATATTCAGTATATGATTTTTTTTTTTGGCATGCCGCGATGTCGACCTCTAGTATACCGCATCCTTGTTGGCGGATCATTTCCTAATTTGGTGGTTCTACCGGTCACCAGATGCAGCGTGTTTCGCCCTCGTTTTCTACGCTTGGATCGTTGAAAATTTGACTGCCACCAGCACTGGAATTTTCGTTAAGAGGACACTGTTATATGTCATTGTAATGGCGAATGTCTGTGGTTGATCGTTTCCTCCTTACCTATTTCCTGCTCACTAGAAGGGAGAGGCCATGTGAAATGAGGGGAACTCTGGAGATCGACCAATAGGAAGGAGTGGGGTAGAGGGGCTAGCTGACTAAAGGAGAATGGGCAGACCAAGTGGGATGTTAATACCCCTAGTTGTCTGATATGCCCATTTTCAAGTCTCGTAAAGATTCTTAGCATGGGCAAAGAGGCAGAAGCAAAGAAGAGAATTTATTTAGAGCTCAGTTGCTAGAAGACCTTGCTAGCTTGAAATCTCAGATCGTTCTCAGTGATCCTGATTATCGCATGCCTATAGAGTCGCACTATAACCGCCAAGACAGGCAGCTAAGCCTGTCGATCTATGCTCCTTGTCACACCGTCGTCATCCCAGTGTGGTCGCCTACCTCACAAAACCAGCCAGCAATCTCATCTACTTCCACTAGCCTGACATCCTGAAAAATATCCGCTAGGTTCAATATGCTCGACACAAATAACTCTATCGCCCTAACAGCCTTTACTATCTCCCTGATTGCCCTGGCAGTGGCCCTTCTCCAGCTCCTCCAGCAGTACTTTGCAACAGCTCAGGGCTATAACCGGTGCTCAAGACGGTTCATCGGTAGCTGGTCTCGATTCAGGCACCGACATTATCTCTGGCGGGAGTTCCGGTTTGAGGTCACATTCGTGAGACCCTATATCTATCTTGGAAATCCCAAATTAAATCAACCCAGTTTGGATGTTGTGAATTCGTCGGCGATATGGCTCCACCTTTTTCCATTTCTCCAGAGAGACCGGAAATGGCGGGCGCAATATCTGAGAAAGTGCTTGAGTGTAAGCGACTTGGCAGAGGAATTCACTGACGCGCACACCCATGCCTCTTGGACTCTTTTTATGAAGCATCTGCAAGAATATAACGAAGTTGCTACCAGGCGAATTGCTCGTTCAACTTCCAGGCTATTGCCACCTTCCTCTCCTCCGTCATCAGCTTACAGCATCTGCATCAAGTTTGAGCCCTGCATATGGGATGACCTCCCTGGCAACACCGGCCGACTGACAGGCTCAGTTTCCCTCCGCGACCTAACCGTCTTGACTCGTTTTCTCGGCCTTGCTTGGTCCGAGCGTCCGTTCCCGTTCGCCCAACATCCGGCATCTGCAGAAGAAGAAAGCAGATCAACTACCAGCTACCCTTCTCGAGGCATTCTCCAAGCCTCAGGAAACACTCTCACCCTTTCCGAAACATCCACCCCTTTACTCCGCTACGAGCAGCAAGACACCACCCCGCCACGGCTACGACACCTGTCACGGAGAGAGGCCTTCATCATCCATCCCGGGACGGTAGCAATGTTCTACGGGCGAATGATTCTGGACTCCGTTCTTTTCCCATCTCCGGCCTTCTCCCAACCACTCATCCTAGACGGTGACGATGACCGGGTTTGGAAGAACCTATCAAATACCATGTGGCTTCCCGTCCCACCGAGACCAAACCTCGTCAACATCCTCCCAGCCTTGTGCTCTACTATCCTCAGCCAAAGAGATCTTTACCCTGTGCGCGTACCAAAACCGCATCGGTATCTCCTGGGCCCGTTCACTAGGCCCAAAATAGCGATGATATTCAAGCGTGGTGTGGAAGATATACAAACCCAGGGGTCTTCGCGTATCGTAGACGGGATTCTAGAGGCTATCAAGGAGCTAGAGCAGATTTCTCGACCACCACAGCAGAACTCACCGCCTCCCGCTCCCTTGACCGCAACAACAACCACCTTCACCCGCATCCCAGACTACTGGAAACTTTCCCAAGGAGCGCATCCCGCCTGGGCCACCGATTTAGGGTCGAATAACCCCGAAGCCATGATTTTCTACTCCAAGGTCCACCGCTGGTTAAACTGGATCCAGCACGAACTAAGCCAATTCCTCTGTCGAGAAGACAGCCACATCGGACCCTACACCTTCTTCCACTGGGATCTAATCTCCTCTTTTGTCGAGTACATTGTCGCCACCGAAAATGGTGAAGCAGACACTGGACACGGCAAAGGAGGCTTCACCTCCCCTGAAGCAGCAGGAACCTCCACGGCAACGAAGCAGCAGCTGCTGCCACACAGTAAAATGCCGCAAGGAAACCTAAACGACAAAATAGACCAACGGACCAGAAAAACTCCCTTCTCAGCCTGGCGCCGAAACATGAAAGTCCTCTTCGACCATTTCCCTACCATCGAGGATCATGTCCGGAAGCGGGGAAAACGACGCGCTGAAATGCACCTGAATGGATACGGCTGTGGGGAGACCCTTAATCTGGGTGACCCGTTTGATGTGTTGATCTCTTGTGAAGGGGTGGTGGGGTATAGTCAAGTTAATTCCGAGGAGATTCGGGATGCGCTCGTGGGGTTGGTGTTTCGGGCAATGTGTTGGTTTGTTTACCCCTTTCTTCGCTTTTAAAAGATATCTGTGTGAGATGATGGATAGATTGGGTGTGTATGCTAACAAATTACTCCAGGCATCGGTGTCATTATATGCATCCGGATGATCAGGAACCGTTTCAGTCCGAGTTTTATGGGGATATTCGGCAGGTAGGCATTGAGTAAAATTTTCTGCAACTACTGCCATAAGCCACTAAGATATACAAAGATGTCTTTATTGTGGACCCTGTACAGTCAAACAAATAAACCTGTGTTTAGGGAAGAGGGACGGAAATTGTGTGATATAACTCCTAAGAATGTCGATCTCGAAGATGAACGAAGAAAAGTATGTGCTAGTCATTTAAAGGGGGGAATGACTTACCTATGTCATTTTTATATAGCCCAAAGACCAACACCGCGAGGCAGTTAGTTAAGTGGGTCAAATGCAGGCAGAATTAATTGAAGCAGGCCGTGGAAGAATACGGTGGATGTGTGATGGGTCATGGTATTTGGCAGGAGAGCACAGAATATTTAGGATAGATGTAACATTGAAGCGGACGGATTGTCAAACATGGGGTGATAGAACAGCGATTTTGGGTAAATCTACGGAGGTGGGTAAGGAAAGTGTTTCGATCATATTCAAATGGCATTGTCGTAGGGATACAGTACCACTGTAGGATCAAGCAGGCTACTAAGATCACTTGGGATTCAACCACATGGACAGGCAGATACAGTAAGTAAGTAAGGGAAACCAGTGGCCAAAGCAACATCGGAGGTAAGAGGCAGTCTGGCAGAGGCATAGAGGTAGTGGACATTTATCTCGTAACCAGTGACTTAAACCGAGAAGAGCATACGGCTTGAGAGCAACAAAGCAGCGGCGTTGTAAGGAACACAAGGCGATTCAGGAGGCCTACCAATAGGAAGAAGGGTTCACAGAAGTGCGTAGCAAGAACATGCATGTCATGAAAACAAAAGAGGAGCGAATCAAAGAAGCTATACAGAGCAGCAGCAGCAGAAAACGTCAGCGGTAGTGGAGGAAAGCACCAACAGGCAAGAAACAAAAGCGCCAGCGCTAGTACCAAAAAGGAAACCAAATCAGGAGAGAGCGTGGACAGAGTAATAGCGAATAAGAAGAAAGACGGAGAAGGGCCCGACGAATTAGCAAGTGGAAAGTGGCTAACAGCAACATCAAAGATAAAGTTTTTTGACAAGGATGGTCCCTGGGCACGATGGTAAACCCTTACTCTCACTTCGTTCGTTTCAGGGCACGCGCGCTGCGCACGCTGGGGCCCTGAAACGATAGAGAGCCTAAAGTGAGTACCTCTTTTTTGCTGAGATGAATCATAAGAAAGGGACAGTAGATACTAAACAATAGAAGGGTCATGGATGAGCGGACGATGATATAATAAAACGGCGCACAATTGCAGAATAAAGTACAGTGTATTATGCAGTATTCTTTTGAACGAGTATGTTATCGTAGGAGTTTTCTTTGTAGTCTTTTAGAGACTTGCTTGGGTGGGTGAAGCTTTCCTTGTGGGAAGGCTAGAATTATCAAGTATAGCCATATATGTGTTATCAGTGATAGAATCGGCTTGCTGAGCTCACCAGTAGAGCGTTGCACATGGGTCATTATTAAAGATAACCTCGGGGTAGCCGGTTAAGATACTTTTGACAGAAGTGTTTGCAGGGGAGCGTTATGTCATGGCTCGGTCTAGTGGCTCCATCTCTTCTCTTTCATTGCACGCACTAGGTAGCTCTCAACGAGAATATCAAACACGAAGGAAAAAGGAAGACGAAAAGGAGGGGTAGCCAATATATCGGTGAGCCATACGGCCGTCCGTACCAGCCACTTCTACAGTACCATGTGATATGCCGTCACACGTTAGAAGATGGTCGTTTGTGTCTGATATGGTAACTTAGAAGACCCGTGTTTAACAGCCCTCTGAACGCTCAAATCCATAACTTTGGATCTGTCTTCTTTGACTTGTCATACTGCCAAAGCTAGATACAGATATTCTTGGATGGAGAAACATAACTCAACAATTTTTCAATGATGCAAATAAGGCCCAAGTCCTGATCTGAGTTTTGATTAATTATGTGCTGAATCTCCATTTTCTCCGCGCGAGTGGTTTGTCCTTGATCCAGCGCGTTGGCTAAGCCTATCCGGCTTAAGCCTTTTATCGCCGGCTCGAGCATGCCTCGTAGACGGCTAGCAGTAATGTCACTGTCGCTGCAAAAGTCCAGAATCGTAAGAGCGCTATTGACGTGGGCGAAAACGTCGATGACGCTGGCGCTGTCTTTATATTCTATGTATCTCATGCAGCCGCTCAGGAGGAGGAGAAGGCAGGCGTCAAAGACGGCACAACTACATCAGCTCGTCAGTTCTGGTTTTATCCTGTAGGTGAGAAAGAAGTTAGACTCAGGAGTGACCGACATGACCAACCAGCAACGGGCTGTTATCGCGGATCGTTGATAAAGAATAGAGGTAATACGGATTATCTGGATTGCAAATTGCGTATGGATATCTGAGAGGTGCTCTGGCTCCTTACTGAGTAATGACTCCGCATCTGTGTGCTTCGTGGTAACACGATAGAAGTCCTTGAGAATTTGACAGTAGAGCTGTATGCGCATGTCCATGTAAAGCATGTGCATTATATACAAGGATTTCTCCTGTAGAAGACCCAGTTGAGGTTGCTCGACATTCAGTGCCGCTAGATGTAAGTTGAAAGGGAGGTCCTTGTACCACGAGTCAAGGTTACTTAGTACCTTCTCCGCAAGGATCCAGTGTTCTCCCTTATTCAAAGGTAGCTTATCACGGGCTTTAGAGCCCAGCAAAGCCAGTTTTGCCATTTGAAATTGAACCAGTCTTGTGGTATGTGCATCGCTGCCCACAGAGCTGAGTTCTAGTGGGACAGTGTAGTGGATCTATACCGTAAGCAACTATTGTTATGTTAAGGACCGGGGACAATCTAACCAGGTCTAGCTCGCTCTCATTCAGGCAACTTTGGTGTCCCAACGAGTATGATAACCACCTAAATAGTTTTAGTGTAGATTGAAAAATTTAATGGGTGGTCAAACACTACCCTTTCAAGAATACCAAGGTCTGCAGTGTCCTTTGATACTCATCCTTATCTTGTTCGACTAGCATGGCCCTATAAGAGTCTGCTTCCATTCTTCCAGTCGCGAGATTCAACGCTTCTACTAGGCATTGTTAGGCTTCCCTAGTATGAACCTGGGTAAAGCTTACTTATTAATAACCTTGCACTGTAACTTGTATCCAGGATAGAGCTCATCCAGAGACAGATCAAGATTCTCATACTCTGAATAGTACCTGTCTGCAATGTCTCATCTAGGCAGGTCGATGCAAGGTAAAAGTATGTTTCCCTGGCTTGATCGGGAATCTCCAGCCCCAGGTAATGACTTCCAATAGTAGCAAGGGCGCAAAGCTCGCAGATATCCTGTGGTGACGCGTGGGGACTGTGGTATGCTTTCTCCAGTAGCCTAGCTGACTGAGCCTCTGTCGTGACATAGAATGAAGTGGCAGCACATTCGAAAAAAGCGTCTAGTGCACGACGGGTTATATGCTCCTCGGGGAGGTTACTGCCCCTATAAGCTTGGACATGACCAGGCTGCCAGAAGGTCTCTGACGACTCTTGTAAAGGGTGTAAGGTTGCAGCACTAAGCACCTGCTGCAGTTCTGATTCTTTTCCGCTTGTCCTGCGATCATTTCCGACTGCTGAGATTTTTGAGCTGGCCACATGGCCACTACCTTCATCCTGTGAGCTTCGCACTTGAAACCGAGGGGGTTCATTCATTGGCTCTGCGGCGCTGTTGCGGCTTAACCGTTGAACGAGTTGCTCAAGATAGGCATTACGATCTTGAAGAGCTTCGATCCGAGCTGTAAGCGCTTCGGCCTGAGCTGTAAGAGCTTCTTTTTTTGCGCCCATCAGTGCCTGAATATATGCATTCGGTCCGGTATGCATAGCAACTTATGCAAGGCTTTTCGCCATTACACTAAACGCAAGTCAATGCGAATAATTGACAGAGAGCCATCAAGCAAGAAGTGCCTTTCTGTGCTGTGAGCGGCATATGTCACAGGCCATTGAACACTTTTTTGTCTTAAATAATTTGCTACCGGAATAATCAACGAAAATAGAAGACCCCCCTTTCGGCAGCAGTGGCTGGTTTCCACTCATGTTAAGGTACGAGAGCTATAAGTAAGAAAGTAACCATACAAATAATATCGTGGTCAGAGGATTTGCGGTTAACGCATTGGTTGAGACTTGTTCAATCTGGGGGATAAGCGAGAGGCCTATATATCATCGTCGAGCGGGGTTGACACCAGCTTGAGTGAACAGAATCAGCCGTAATGGTTCTAGACTAGGCAGGAATTAAGCCACAGTAACTTTGTCTCAACGCCCTACCAGTAATAGTCTCCAAATCATTATCCGTTGCTTTCGCCATATTGCGGCAGAGGCGCTCGTAGCACTTTTGACTCAACTTTTCAGGTAATGAGTTGGTTTCGGAGATAGTCTCCAGGCGATATGAGTGGCAGCTGGTTGAACTTCAGTGTGTCTTGTCACTTCGCAAAAACGGCTTCGTGTCTGGTGGTTTTATATCCCAGTATTCCTCTAGCGATCTCAGAGCTCTTTTCAGCTAAGTATCATAAAGTTGAAGCAGTAAATTCAGTACAGAATACATACAAACCATAAATTCCAATGGCATTGTCGTAGGGATACAAGACCACTGTAGGATTAAGCAGGCTACCAAGATCACTTGGGAGTCAACCAGATGGACAGGCGGACACAATAAGTATGTAAGGGAAACCAGTGGCCAAAGCAACATCGGAGGTAAGAGGCAGTCTGGCGGAGGCATAGAGGTAGTGGACATTTGTCTCGTAACCAGTGACGTAAAGCGAGAAGAACATACTGCTTGAGAGCAACAGAGCAGCGGCATTGTAGGGAACACGAGGCGATTTAGGAGGCCCACCAATAGGAAGAAAGGTTTACAGAAGTGCGTAGCAAGAACATGCATGTCATGAAAACGAAGTAGGAGCAAATCAAAAAAGCTATATAGAGCAGCAGCAGCAGGAAACGTCAGCGTTGTGGAGGAAAGCACCAACGGGCAAGGAACAAAAGCGCCAGCGCTAGTACCAAAAAGGAAACCGAATCACAAGAGAGCGTGGATAGAGTGACAGCGAATGAGAAGAAAGGCGGAGAAGGGGCTGACGAATTAGAAAGCAGAAATTGGCCAACAGCAACATCAAAGATAAAGTTTTTTGACAAGGATGGTCCCTGGGCACGAAGGTGAACCCTTCCTCTCACTTCGTTCGTTTCAGGGCATTCTAGTCACATGATTGAGAAACCTATAATATTACGCGTTTCATTTATACAATGGTTTCTTGATGCCACGTTGCCAAACCCCCGAACCGCTCCCAATTGATCCTCCCGGTAGATCATGTTCATCATTCGTTAATCATCGAGATGGCGCCACGACTTGCAAAATCCACAAAATGATGGCTCTTGGTATGATAAAGAGCGGTGAACTCACTGCTCCGGAAATGGCTGAGGCTGCTAGTTCTAGCAAATAGATAATTCAAAGTCATTGTTCTAATGTACAAATGTTTGGCAGCGTGGCAGCACCACCAAATAAAGGTGGACGACCGCGGAGCCTCAAGCCTCTAATGATCCAAGTCCTTTGTGTTCATTTACTCGAAATGCCACAATTATATCTTGATGAGATGGTTGTCTTCCTATGGGACGGCTTTCGGGTACTAGTAAGAATATGGAGCATATGTCGTGTGCTTGAGCACGAGGGTTGGTCAAAAAAAGGTGGCCAAGCAAAAACCTAGGAACGCAATCAAGATCTACGAGACGCCTATTTTCATTATACTTCGGACTTCTCATCCTATCATGCGGACGAGTCCAGATGTGATGAGCGAATAGGCTCTAGGAAAACTGGCTGCTCTCATTGGGGCACCACACCTTCGCAAGCTACGTATTTCATTGTGGTTAGTTAGTTAGTTAGCCGAAATAGATTCTCCCAGCATATGCTTAGGACAGGATTGTGCTAGTCTGTATCTATAAAGATTTAACGGAATCCCCTATTTTCGAACCCTTTTTGAAGACCTATTCATATACAGTGGAAGATGGCTGGAGCCAAAGTCCATGGTCATTGCCATTTGCCAGTCGGAAAGAATTGAACAATTATGTTCACAAGCAGGGGTTAAGTTAGTATACTTACCTCCTTATTCGCCAGATTTGACCCACTTTGAGGAGCTCTTCTCTGAGGGGAAAGCTTTTATTTCGTGCCATTGGCAGTCCTATAAGGACAAGTCTTGATACTTCTCTCAAATGACGCTTTGAAACTATGTGTAGAAGAAAGCAGGGTGCGGAAAGGCATCTCTGCAAGTCAGGCTTAATCATCGAATATATATATAAGTCTCCGAGTCCGGAGCGATATGACACCAAGGTTGAGACCTAGTACAGTATAGGAGACATTGATACATATTGTCCGTGAGATGTCTTGATTAGGTCCATCTGGGACCACAGAAAAAGCAATCTAAATTATACTGTAGATGAAAGCTATATACGCACTCACAGTGGAGTGCACATTGGATATATTTGTGGAAGCGTCCCTATGCATTCAAAATCCACTTACTGTACTGGCTTCTGCTGCAAGCATATCAATGTACCACAACCTGAATAGCACCGATGGCCCCATCTTGTCCGAGAGATGGCAGTAGAAACAGCCAAGTGGCCATTTCTGTCTAGGATTAGCAAGCTCGGTATTCGGTAGGATGAACCCATGGCTGGCATTATTCTGATCCATGTAGAAGTTCACCTGAGCTAAAGCCTGTCTATATTCTCGCTGGTTTATCATGCTCTGATCGAACCGCATCAAGGATTGTCATTTCTAGGACATTTTTTCATCTCCTGGAGGTCGATTATGGCTCGAGCTGGGGTTTCCTCCAATTACCACATATGTGGTACAGTATCAGTTCGAAACCGATCGATAATAACGGCCGAACTCGCTACATTAGATGTGACTGGTGAAAGCCGGCGTGCCCGTAGCTCTGATGCGAGCTGCTCGTATCCAGCACGTAGTGCACGTCTGACGCGAGGCAGAACTAGCTCAAGAAAGTGAGGATGAAAGTGTGGTTCGTCTCTCATTGCGCCAGGAGGCGACATGAATGGGTCAATTACCGTAGGGCGAAACGGGAAGGTGTTGACGGCGTGCCCAACCAGGGAAGCTCGCTTTCGACCGTTCCACGGTTTGCACTAGTTTGCATGGAAGCTTCTAGCTATGCATGTCACACGGATCGGGTTATACTATGACGTAATTTGATACAGTATTGCCAAATACAAGGTAATTATCAAAATATAATTAATTCCGGTGATATCCTAGCATGTCCTTGGCATAGGGTTTGGCAAACAAACAAATAATCAGTAGGGGTGACACTGGTTTTGCAACCTGGTGTAGCCTTATAGGTCTTCTATTGTTGGCAAATAAGACTATCGGCAGGATTCTGGCATTGATCCACAGCGAAAGGCACTCGTAGTGAAGCACAGGCGGAGATGTACAGGACCGGGGCTGACACGACCCACGTAAGCTGTGTATAAATACGTGGTCGACGAAGATCATATGCACATAACGAGAGCCAGAGCAGCATAAAACCCCCGACGGAAATGGTGCAGAAGAGCCCGCTACAGTAACTACCACATGGTGATGATGACCTAACGCATCCCATGTCACCCCATATCCCAGGAGTTGGTTTCCTGGGACCGCGACGATCCCAGTACTTGTCCTCCTGGGTGTCTTGAGATCCCAGGATTGAAGATGTCACAGGCAACTCGCTTTCCCAGAACAAGCATTCCCAGGATTATGTATTTCCCGGGTTCTTTTGATCTGGGAATGGTATATTCCAGAATACGGAGTCCCAAGATTTCCCAGTCCTGAGAATGCGATTTCCTGGAACGGCCCTTTCTGGGATTCCGTCAGTCCTGGGACACAGGACTTTATAATCGACTCGTAAACCGGCCCGGCCGTTCGTTGGTCTTCGCCTTTAACTGGCCGCATGAATGCACGGAGACCGACCTTGCCGGACTCCACTGGGCAATCGCAGACGTGCAAAGTGCGAGAGCCTTCGTCCCCTCTCTGCCTGGTTTGGCCAGCCCGTCGAGAGCCCGTTGTATCTCTCATTCACCGTATAAGAATCTGTAGTTCCGCGCGCGATCCCACTGCGTGGCGGTGTCCAGCCCGTGCGTAGAATTGGATTCCTGAAGGAAGAATATTCTTTCTCCTCTCACCACCAACGTTTCAAATTCCTCTGCGTTGAGGAACCCGAGTCTTTCCTTTTCGCCAATCAGTGAATAGAGATCACCTCGGCGTCTAAGCTCCACCGCTTTGTCAAACGCCGCACCAGGTGCTATAACATGATCCTCCACCGGCCAGTCTTTCTCTCTTATCTTGAAAACTTTTACGTGCTTCGCGTGGCGGCGAGTAGACCTCTGCGCTAGTTCCCCGTCCGCTGTCCGCTTGTTGCCCTTAGATTGAGCCTCCAGAACTGCTTCTGCACTCCTTTGTGACGATAGCGCCTTTTGGTGGGCCATATCGAACTTTTCGATGATAGTAGTATATGATTCCTTTGTTTCTTCGCCAATCGATTGCTGATATTCTGTTGCCTCCCTGTATGCGCGAGTGGCTAGTTTATGGGCGGTTTTTGCTAGGCTGTACTCGTTCGAAAAGCGCGCATCTTCCGTGAGAATCTTGAATGCTCTGTCAGCCTTCTCGAATGATGCGCTCGTCTGCTTGGCTTTCTTGTCGGCTGCTTCCCTCCACCACGTAATTTCCATCTCTTTCTTCATCTTGCTGGCCTCATGCAGGTTTTCTTTCGACTTTCTCAGCCATCTGTCCATCTCTTTCAGCAATCGTCCGAGCTTCACTCCACGGGTTTGGTGCCAGGTCTGCTGCGCAAGGTCGACTACCATGATTCCCGCTGCGGATCGTGCCGTTTCCGCTCCTTCAATTGCACTGCTAAGAGTGCCAGCTACCTCGCGAGCATATTCAACACATGTCCGCCATGTCTCCTTATTCCCCGCCTTAGCCGCAGCTTGGTTGAGAGCTCGCTTCTCGTCCAGCCTTTTGCACGCAGCCTCAGAATGCTGACATGTATCCTCCACTACCAGACCTAGAAGCTCGTTCGAATCCACGACAACCTGAAAACAGGCATCTATCGCATTTTCTAATTCATCAGGTGCACGATCCATGCCAGCCGGTCGTTGAGCGACTAAGGCGCGGCCGACTGCACTGGCGTCACTCACTAAGGAAGTGATGGTGTCAATGGTTGGTTTCACATCATATTTTGGACCGTCCAGCTGCTCCTTTGCTTCCGTATACAAGCTCTTTTGCTTCTGCACCTCGGTAACCAGCTTGTGCGCCCTGGCAATGAGCTCTTGTTGGGTGATACTGTCTCTCTCCGTAGAGTCCGTCTGGACTCCGGCAGGATGATCACCTGGGCGATCTGTTTCCGACTCGGCCCTTTCGGCATCCAAGCCCGTCCGATCACCCTCCCGCTCGGGTCCCATATTGGTCATTCTCAGTTGGCGCATGCGGTCCACCGTCATTTTTGCCTTATCTCTGTCCCCCTTTGCGCGGAGGTTGTGTGCAGCGATCTCCTCAATAGTCTCTTTGGCCTCGTTGCCGGCTGGATTGGCAGACACATACCCAGGGATCTCCCTTCTCTGCGCGGTCGCGATGATGTGCAAATGGTCCAACAGCTCAATGAAGCCATCCAAGTCCTTCATACCCTGCTCCGCCTCTCCCATGCAGCTCTCCAAGTCTCCCCTATTTCCAGCGCGTACCGCAGCAGCGGCAAGTTCCTCTTGCCCTTCTATCCCTGTTCCTTTTTCTAGAATAGCTGCTGCCAAATGTCTTGCAATCAAGCCATATAGCCGGCACACTTTTCCAGTGGCGGCCGCAACGGATCCTTGCAGCTCACTGATGGCGTTTATTGAGCCATTCAAGAATTGATTCGCATTTTCAGCATCCTGCAACGATTGGATGCGCCTGCTTCCCTCAAATATCTTAAAGGTTGCACCTCGCACAGCGGCCATAGCATTGGCTGCTAGATCTCTTTGCTTTTCGATGCTGCTGGCCCGATAGTGTTTGTCGAATTTCCCCAGCCTCTCCACCTTCTTCCGTATTCTCTCAAAGCTGTGTCCGAGATACTCTTCCATTCTCCCCCGCACGATCTCCTCGGCCTTATGCGCGGCTGCTTCCGCCTCGCAAGCCAGCGCGTCCAAGCGTTTGTAGACATCTTCGGACAATTTCGTAGCCTTAGCCAATTCCGCCGCCGAGCGAGCGAGCCGGGCACAGTTACCCGAGGTGATGGTCGCTGCTGCTGCCGGTTCGAAAACTTTCTGCGGTTCTTTTATATTCTCGGGGGCCTCTTCGAATTTCACTTGCGTTGAAGCTTCTTGTGCCTTTGAGCTCACAATTGATGCCATCATGCACAGTATCTGTTCCGTATGGACCCTATTGGCGTCTAACGCCGCCTCCTTTTCCTTCCTCTCGGCCGCTTGGCTGGCCAAATCCTTCTTCTGGTTGATCCACTTTTGGCCAATGGCAATCAATATCTGCCCGTCACTGGAACCCTCCACCTGTGATATCTGCTCACTGAGCTCGTTTTCGGCTACCTTGAAATTGTGGACTGTCGTCGAGATTTGACTCCGTTCTTCCTCACATCGGCTTATCTTTTCCAGTAGTCGGGTCAACTGATCCTTGGCATTCTCATCCAAATATTTGCCGAACGCATCTTTGTCGGCTTCCACTGTCCCCTGGAGTGATATTAGGACACTCCGGAGAAAGTCATGCGTCGAAGACAGGGACTCCCAGGATCGAGATTCGGCGAGCAGCACGGCTTGCAACGCCCTTCCAGCATTAGAGTAGCCGCGTTTGACTTCTCCTGCAATGTCCACCGCGGACTTCCAGTAGCCATCGACTTGGGACTGAGACTCATTGCGTAGATTCTTGAGCCATCTGTTCCAGGCCAATACGCCCTCTCGCCCAGCCCCAAAGGTGCTAATCAGGTCATCAGTGTGACTGAACTTCTCTAACTCCCGCATTCTAACGAGACACTCATCGAGCCCTTGGAATATTTCGGATAGGCTCCTTTGCCTTTTTTGGTGCATTTCCATTGCTTCTGGGTCGGGGCTGCCGAAGTCTGAGCTAAGAAAGGAATCAGATCTGCGAAGATCCTTCACCTTCCCTTGAAGGGATAATGAGCCGTTGATCAGGCCACCGATGCACATGATCAGTAAGGACGTCTGTGTATCGAATATGGTGGGCCATAATGATACGCCCTCAGACCGTAGTGTGTTCATTTCTGAGAGACCTTTCTGTCCTAAGGCACTGGCTGCGACACGCCCACGCTCAGCGTCACCAAGAACCGGCCCAATGCGTTCCGGTTCAGGCGTTGAACTAGGGAGATGCTTCAGGAAGGATTCTATTTTTTCAAGCTGCCCTTTAACTTCATGGATAGCAGCATTGAACGTCGATCTGACCTGGCTCAGTCTTTGCACCCTTGCGTCAACTTTCTCTTGTGCGCTATCCCGCTTGTTCTCCATGCGTTTCTGCATACTAGAGTCCCAGAGTAAAATGTCAGAAGATTTAGGACGTACGATTTCTTGAAGGGCTTTTCCCATGTCCGCGGTATCTCTTTCCTCCTCTTCTAGGTCCCTTACTTTATCCGCAACATCGTCTTGAATTGCCTGAAGCCCTGTCTTGGCTTCTTCTAGCCTCGCAATCCATTCAGAAGCTGGACCATGCTTTGCAGACTGTCCTGGGGGGGTAGGTTCTGGCACTGAAGTCGACTGCCTCGTGCTTCGAGCACTAGGGGTAGTTGGTGGGTTGGTATTGTGCTCCCTGTGTGTTGGTGTCGGAGGATTTGGGAAATCATTATCGTCCTCTTCGTGTTGAATATTAGCCGAATAGGTGCTAGCCTCGGACGTGCTTGTAGGGTCAGTTGGTGACCCAGGAGCGTCGGACGAGTCCCGACCAATGCCACCTTGGTCCCGAGCGGTGGCCGAGGATGTGCTTGGGGGCTCCGTCGTAGGTTCGGAAGAGTCGATGCCATCCGCTCCTTGACCGTCTCGCGACGTGTGCGGGGATTCTGCGGGTTCTGGTGTGTGGTGTCGTGTGAAGGGAGGCGCGCTAGCCACTTCGACGTCGCTGTCGGGAGCATCTGCCTCGTGGGAAGGTTGGGCGTGCAGCTCCCCCTCATCCAAATCCCCAAAGAAGGAGTGGTAAATGTCACGTAACACAAAGGACGAGGTCAGCTCTCCGCACTCCCTGGGACCGGCATGAACATGATCCAGGAAGAGGACTCTCCTATCGTACTTGAAGGTGGCAACGTAAGGGATGCCATGTCGCTTGACCGCGGGCTCCTTGCCGTCCTCAAAATCATCCCATGGAGGGTTCTCCGGCTGGACCGGACGGCTCACAATTTTCTCTATGCGGTCGGATCGGAATCCCAGGCCACTGGCAAGGCGTGCCAAGCAATACTGAACGTGAGGATGCGCCCATTCGCGGAGCACGGCTGGCCTCTTCCCCTCCCCGGGGTTACCACCACTGCTGCGAAGCGCACAGAGCCAGACTTGTCGATAGGCGATTTGAAACGCTGCGTCACCGGACCGGGCAGACCGGCTTTCGTTCTCTGACGTTTGAATGGTGATGTTTCCGTCATTAGGCGCGTGGAACATGAAATCCATCCGCTCCTTAATGCTCGGTACGTCTCCGTCCTCCGCCCAGGTCAGCTGACCTGGAGAGTCGTCAGTCAACCGCTTCACTCTTCTGGCTGCGATAGCGAAGAACTTTGTATCTTCAAAAAACAGCCGGAGGGACGGTATTCTCCCAGCATAGGAGACCAATTTCCTGCTGATGGCCGACCGCTCGGCCCGGGAGAAATTTCGAAACACGTCTCCCCCCAACACCACGCCCTCCACATACCTTTTGTCAGCTTGACTTACTCCCGGTGCGAAGCCCTCCAGCTTCGTCACCGTTCGGGTATCGATCATTCTCATCTTCCTCCGTGTCTCCGCACTCGGTCGCGTCCTGTCATTCCCGACCAACGACGCCCAGAAGTGGTAAATGCTTTCCAGGTAGTAAATCAGCTCCTGCAGATATTAGCCACTCATTGGTGGGATGAAGGGGGGCGGCGAACTTCTCTGCACCGAAGGGCGATGAGTTTGTTCCAAACGGTCAGTATGGCACCACTCGCAACAATGGCAGGTAAGTCTATCAGAGCGTCGAATGCGTTGTACAGAGCTGGGTTGGCTTTCAGCATCTTCAGGCGCTCCGTCTCGCATGGGGTGAGCCGCGCACGCCATCGTTTCTCTGACAGTTGGTCATTGTTTATCTGGGCTTGCCGCAGATGAAGATATATTTCGCCGGTCGAAAGTCTTGTCTCATGGCAATAACTCTCTGCAAGATAACGTTTGAGTTCGTCCGATGTATCTGCTGTGTCCATCAGCCTGGATTCAATGTAGAGGTTGTGGTCTGGATGACTAACCCTCAATGTAAAGGTCAACAATCCACCACCTTCGCCGAGGAGGCAGAAGCTTGCGAGCTGCATGCACACGATGTTTTCCATGAAGACAGCGCAGTGGTTTTTCAAGAAAACTCAGAACAGGATAGTCGGGAGGCTCCCTCCGACGAAGGTCAGAGGTTGCCAGTCCTTGCTCCCGGAGTGCTTGATCAAGTTCAGCACGGCTCACAATGACCTCCACATGGTTCTCAAGTCGGAGGGGGTCTACCCCTTTTTTGAAGACATGAGTCAAGTTCTTTATTCTTCTCTGGTCGAGTTGCCATTCCGGACCGATGTCTATCTGGCACAGATCTACTCTGGCAGAGCCTTGGAGAGCAAGGTGACGCTCCAGAGCAATCCCAGACTCAGTGGATCCCATGTTACCTTGGCACTGCGCTTCAGAGGCACATAAATCGTGACTTCAAGAGCTAGAGGATGTCGTGACGGTCGTAGCATATTATACCTTTGGCCGACATCGTTCTCTTGATGATGTTCAAAAGGAGGGTCCCCGCAAGAATGTTTGCTGAGGCCCGTCTAATTCTGGCGGTTCAGCTGGGAGTCTTGGTCGGTGTATATATATACTGTCAGATATGCCATGTGTGGGCACCCAGACTTTCCCAGGCAGCGTTGTCAATATGAAGGGAGACAAAAACCACCGGCTGACGCAGTTTAATTTTTTTGAAAGTCCAGACCCTGTGAACGAGAAGCCTTCATTGCAGCAGACCCAAAACCCCGTGATTCAACCGAAAAAGAGAAGAGCGTTCGCAGAGAGCGTGGCGCGAAAAAACTTCATTGATGTGAAGGATACCGCTCCATGGGACGTGTTCAGAGCGAACCTAAAGGTAAAGCTTGATGTATGGCTCTGCAAGGCAACGCGTAAAGACGATCCGGAAGGTGTCTTTGCAGTCCGCACATATTCGAGGGACCGAGCCGATCGAGTCCTGCAGAGATACAAGACGCTCCATCACGAAAACCTGGTGACCGCTGTGGAAATATATCGTGTTGATGATCCTAATGAGCATCTGTTTGTCGTCTCAGAATACATTCCGTTCACACTCAACCATGTGGAGGCCTGTGTTAGACGCCCAAGTGACGCGGAGCTAGCCTCAATCGTCGGACAGGTCCGTTTCTAGCCACTTCAGGGTTCACGGAGCTGTAACTGATGACTAGAAGATCATGCATGGAGTGGCATACCTTCATTCTGAGGGACTCCGACATGGCGCCCTGAAGTGTTCCAATATCCTCGTCACATTTGATGGCGTCGTCAAAATTGGTAAGCCTCGATCTGTCTTTCTTTTCTTTGTATTTTACGACCACATAATAGCTAAAAATATTGCTCCGCAGCGGAATTCGCCGCCTCTCACATCCACAGTGGCGATGATATAGACTATGGAGACGAGAAGGCTGCCGGTCTCATCATGATGCAGCTTATTCACAAGGAACAACCGATGGATGGCAAAATACGGATCTCAGACCATCTGAGAGGAGAAAAGCTTATTGACTTTCTGGCGCAGACGGAGCTAGGCTCACGTGCCGATCATTTGGCTAAGGTAAATGCATGTGTTCGCATCACAATGACTCTTGCTAAAATACAAAACTAGCACCCGTTTTTGGCAGACTCCAATGGGTTTCGAACATGGAAGGCCAGTCATCTGAGGGACTTGTTGACCGAGGTCGCGTATTCGAGCCAGGTAAACTACATCAGAGGGTAGGGCTGGCAATGGTCCGGAGACTTAAGGGAAGGAAGAGGGTGCAGTAGCCTTCTGAATGTTGCGAGGACAGCAACCATCGACACTATGTCGCGTTCTTAAATTCCACTTGAGTCCAGTATATCAGCAAATGGTGGTTCGTAGTTATGTATCTCTATCCAAATGAAGCTATGCTTTTGCATGGCTTTGCGATCAAGTCCTTTCAATGGAAGTCTCATGGAGATAGTTGCGTGAGATTACTGCTACCCATTTACTCCCGACATATCGGGGACTAGTGTACTCACTTCGACTCTTCAAATCTCGATACGCTTTAATGGGAAACTGTTACAAACTGGCGTTTTTCCATAGAGACAGGTGGGGCTCTCCCATCATCCACGAAGTTATGTTATTTAAGAGGACCACCGTAGTCCAAATTCACCCATTCCTAATCTTTGTCACCATAGCTCGTGCTTGTCCATGGTTTAGTGTTGCCACTGCCCTTGAACAATCCTCCCTTTCTGTCCGAGCACCTTCTACCAAGAACCTATCATCCTTATGAGCTTCAATCTCAGCGGATTGGCTGATAGTCTAGCTCGGTATACCGAACCCAATGCAAGTAGCTCTGAACCGATTGCTTTAACCGATCTCGAACTTCATCGGAAGCCGACGCTGTTTAGATAATTAGATAAGTTTAGAAAGAGGGCCATAAGCGACTTACTCATTACCAACATCCCCCCTCGTTCCTCTTTAACGTCTTGCGCTAGGCGCTCCCGATGACCTTGCACCTCCTCGCCCAATATGGTATCAAAGTCAGCTTCCTTATGGTAAATAATTCCACGACCATGGTCCGTAGTCGAAGTAGAGATCTGCATCGGATCGAATATGATAATCTGCAGCATCTATGTACATGTTACCTTTGTGTTTGACGACCAGTCAGGCGCCTACCTACCTGTGTCTCGTCCTCAATGTCGTTGTAAAGGAGCCTGTTGACCCACTGCTTCATGTCGTGGAGGATGTTCTTTCCTATCACATGACCCCGGATCTGCCATACCAGACATAGACGGCGAGTTTTGGACGTCCTTTTCTTGACGCTGTGAAACAGGTGGTCTACGTATGGCTTCACTGCGAGAATTCCGGAATCACTAGCAATGAGAAGCACCGTCTCGTATCTAGACACGGGCTCACTCAGACCGTGTGGGCCGCTGATAAGGGCAAGGTTGTGACGAGAACCACTCAAAGCGCGCCATGAGAGCATCCAGGTAAACCCAAACGCCCGGCTGGGACATTTTGCCAGGAGCTGTAACGACGTCTGTGGATCAGGCGACCATGAAATTACAATGAATGATGCACACTGAAACCATGACCATGGATTGAGCGATGGCATCCACAGGTCCACGTATTGCCCCGGAAGAACCGTCACAGGGCGTCCGGGGCTAAAGTCAACCCGTAAACTACCATCACCCCGCCGTTCGATGGTGGCCTTGCTCCATTTTTTCGCCAGAAACCCGTTGCGATAAAGGGCGATCCCAATAACAGCAAGACACGTCGATGTGAAGAGGCCAGTGGTTGGATAAACCAGGTACCATGGTCCGTACGGATTTCGTGGAAGGTGCATCCAATTAGCCCAGGCAGCGGAAATTGCCAAGACATAGTGGGAGAGGAAGAAAACCGGATGGATAAGTCGTCGAACGATGGGGATGGACTTGATCATTAAGGACAAAAGACAGGAAACAGCCTAGGATCGCTATAAACGTCAGAAAATGGGCCTGTTCAACCTGCCATGCGTGAGAAGGGGGCGGAAAGGAATGTCGCACTTACGACGACACCATACACCATTTTTATCTCTTCTAAAGCGATAGTTCCTTTGGTATTCCATTTAAGGAGGACGTGAAGGCCGGATTCAACACACGCCATGAATCCAGCGGCATGATGTAGCTGCCTGCATATGCGTAATTTGGCACCCAGAACGTCTCCAAGCAAGCTAATGCTGGGACAGGCATATGTGAAACACACATTGGTCAAGGCAAGTAAACCAGATCTGCGTGCCGCCGTTTCCATAGATCCATCTGGGTACCAGATGAAAAAGGCGTTCAGTGCCAAGTAAATCGTCCACAGGAGAACGTCCGACCATGCATATGGGCCGATCCAACGATGGCGATTGATCATATTGGTATTAATCAACCATCGGCTTATCACCCAGCATATTGTCCGCCAAGGTGATAACAAGTAAGGCAAAAAGCGACACACTACGCACACCACTACCAGTGCACAGAGGACAAACGTGTATAGGAAAAAAAGCTCCATGTGATGACAGGAGGCTGCGAAGTATAGACTGGTCAGCAAAGAATATCTGGCTTTCACATACAAATACAAGGTGTTCTGTCCGATTAAATAGTCCGAAAGCCGTCCATGCAACAGTCACTAATTCAGCCCAGGGTTCATCGTCATCAGGTTGATGCATAGTATCTGAGAAGATACAAGCGCTTACGATATCCGAATCCCATTGTTTGAATCAGCCTCCCTCCAGTTTCGTCACCCCAATTAAAATCCTTTTGACACACTAGGAATGCGCAAGGCTCCAAGTAATGTACGTGAGGTGGCATGTTATGGGCTGACTACTTGCAATCTAGTTGATTCATGGAAGCACAAAGTTCACGTTCAAATACACTATTGTGGTTCCACCAGGCGGTCAGCAAAAGTATCTGGTTCATACACACAGAGATCTGCCCTCCCGGCTGGGACATTTTCTCACAATATGGTGATCTGCGGAATGAGAATGTCCCTTTCTTTTGGAGGGATAGCCAAGATAGACTAGCCAGAAAGTATTGGACGACCTTCCCCCGGTTTCATTCATCCATAGACACCAAGAATCAGGGCGTTATAGTGTATATTAATTGAACACTTGTTCTCCCTGATCAACTATATATAGGCCCCTCCCTCCTGTGAGAATCTCCCCCTCAACGTTGTATCACCACCACACGAGCTTGTGTCAAATATTATGGACAGTTTTGGAAGATTGAGGACAGACCTTGAGTCGTCACTTCCACAGATATGGAATGACCAAGCACCTGCTGAGGTGTGCGCTGAAGGGCTAGGTCAAAGCCCATCACAGCTGGATATGCATCAAACGCTGGTAGCATCAAACCTTCAGCCAGCAGGACAGCAAGAAGTTGAAGCCTGCCTTGGAGACATGGAAGGGCAACTATATGATCTAGATAACGGTCCTCCGTTTGAGAATCTAGCCACAGCGAGCTACGGGGATCACCTTTTCCAGTTCAAAATAACTCTGAGTGGGTTCCGTTCGTCACAAGCTTTTGATATATTCTGACGTGCATCCACTTAGAAGGCCAGGAGAAAGCAATGTCTGTTGATTCTGTTGACTCGGAAGCGACCACCATTCGGGATACGAATGTCCCAGAAGTGGTCCCTCAAGACTATACGGTCTCTTCCATCGTGACTCCTTCCCGCTGCCAACAATACTCGGGCAGCCAAGCATGTTGTGGGACAATCTCGAAAACGAAGGCCGCGACAGAAACAAACACGGCCAACAGTGAACAGGATATTACTTTGTACCCATCTTGCACACAGGGTTGAACAGGTGGAGGGAATAAGGACAGGGAAAGTGATTGGATACAGTGCCAGGGCCATGGCAGATTGGAACTATCGCCCACAACCGTTTATTATTTTCGTGCTGAACACTACAGCATGTACATTTATCGGATTGCATAGTTCTTCTTCTTAGTTCACTTAAATCAGTAATCACTCTTATTCACACTTGCTCAGAGCAATGGAAATATTGTAGAATGATCACTGATGCAGTTGCCACTATTCTCACGGAGACTATCCACCAGACGCTAATTCATTTTTGTCATAAAATACCGCAATGTGCACTATACATCTAATCGACTCTGCCATCCCCCTGAACCCTTGCACATTTTTAATGGTGATCTACATGTATCATACAACAAAGTGAAGATGAAGGGGATACAGCTTTTTTCGTTTTCAGTTTCTCGTGTACACTCCCACACATCATTATCGAACCCTAGATGCCAAGCCACACTAAACCATATAAGGATTATGCATAATTATGCAATCTGCTCAGTATACACTGTAACTCAATAACTGTCACCTCGTAATACGCGTATAATGTCGTATTGATACGCTTATGCAAGTATTATTTCCCGAACATTTTACCAAGACCTGCCTAATTCCCTTCTGGGGCACTACGGAACAATAAGTAGCCGATGCGCCGTCTCGCATTAAAACCCACTGTCGCATACTGCACGTGATTCCTGTGATCTGTGGGAACCAGGATGCTTGACCATTCAAGGGGTGCCCGTAGGCTCAGCTATAGTTAAAGGAAATGATGACTAGCGATGTCGACCCCTAGGGGCAGGCGGTACCAGGGGTTAGTATGCTCCGACATGATCAGCTCTCTACGTTCCCCTCAGCTTGGGCGGCTAGGGCAGATCGGGTATGTCATTGGCTGAAACTGTCCATGTTACCCCCGCGCCGCCGATCCTAGAACACCCAGGCTAAAGGGCAAATCGCCCATAGTACTAGACTAGGATAAGAAGAAGCAAATATTCCGTCTTTTATTACCCCACCCAAGAACCCAATCACCTGAGCAACCATTCCCTGGCTTCTCAGGAGAACCTTTGGTTGCAAGTGACTAGGGATCATACCAGTACCCTCTACTCATCGCTTTACTAGGCTAGTTTACTTGTACATTGGTTTCCTGTTTATGACCTCCCCTTTCTCTTGTGCTTTGATGTTTTGTTCCTCCGATTATCTTGCTGGATCCCTAAGAAGCAATGCGACCGCTACCGAAAACAAGCAAGCGTCCCAAGAGAAAAGATTCATCCTCACTGTCCCCGTCGGGCCACCAATCCAAAAGACCTAGAGAAACTGAAACCGCCAAAAAGTCTCAGGAGCCTGCTGTCCATGTCGATACAGATGAGGAATCCGACTCAGAAGGATACGACGAGATAGCCTCCGAAGATGTCACGATGTATACTGTCGCTTGGATATGTGCGTTGGAGACAGAATATATCGCTGCCCGAGCTTTCCTAAAAAAGCAACACGGCCCACCAAAAGCGCTCTCACCAAATGATAAAAACCACTACACACTCGGAGAAATCAGGGGTCACTATGTCGTGATTGCAGTTCTCCCAGACGGAGAATATGGGACATCAGCAGCAGCATGTGTCGCGAGGGATATGTTGCACAGCTTCCCTAATATCCGATTTGGGCTCATGGTGGGGATCGGTGGGGGTGTACCAACAAAGCAGGACATCCGCCTTGGTGATATTGTTGTGAGCTCACCACGGAACGGCCATGGCGGTTTGCTACAATATGACTTTGGCAAGGAGATTCAAGACCGCGAGTTCCATCAAACAGGGTTCTTGAATCAACCTCCGCCGATCTTACGGACGGCCGTATCTGGTCTCCGAACGCAGTATAAGGAGGCGGGCCATCGGCTGAGGGAAAGCGTTGAGAGAGTGTTTGAAGAAAACAAAAGATTGAAATTAGAATATGCTCAACCACCCGCTGAAAGCGACCGGCTTTACGGCAGCCAGTATACCCACCCTGCGGGCCAGTTAAACTGTGCTGAGTCCTGTGACAAGTCAAAGTTAATCATAAGACCACAGCGAACTGAGGCTGAGGATAATCCTGCCATCCACTATGGCTTGATTGGCTCTGGTAATAGAGTGATCAAAAATGCGATACTCCGGGACAAATTGGCGGCAGAGAAAGGTGTCTTATGCTTTGAAATGGAAGCAGCTGGATTGATGAACCATTTCCCTTGTTTGGTCATACGTGGTGTTTGTGATTATGCCGATTCTCACAAATGCAAGGAATGGCAAGGCTATGCGGCAATGATGGCAGCTGCATATGCAAAAGATCTGTTACATCAAATTGTCCCTCAGCAGGTGAACCGAGAACGGAAAGCCACTGAAGTCATGCATGGTCAGTCCTACCTACTCATACTTCTTCCATTGTTCCACCATATCTAATACCGATGTGTTTGACAGACCTCCAAGGCCAACTCAAGGTTGTGTCCAATAATATTGATAAAATCCATAGTATTACCAGTGAATCGGCTTTGGATATCAGGACTATGGCCCAGAATATTGATTTGAAGAAGCTGCCAATCGCTGAAGGAGCTGAATTCGGAACATATATGGATCAACATGAGGACGAATGTCTCCCGGGGACTAGAACGGAGCTTCTTCGCGAAATCGATGAATGGTCTGTCTTACCAGAAAGCAAATGCATATTCTGGCTTAATGGTTTGGCGGGAACTGGAAAGTCCACGATCTCACGAACTGTGGCAAAATCCCTCAAAGAACAAGGATTACTGGGGGCTAGCTTCTTCTTTAAGAGAACCGGAGGAGACCGTGGTAAAGCAACAAGATTTTTCCCGACAATTGCAAGACAGTTATTCACCCAGATCCCAGAAATACAGCCTGTGGTCAGGGATGTACTAAAAGACGACCTCAGAATATCAGCCAAGCCACTGAAGGAGCAGTTTGAGAAGCTAATCTCCCAGCCGCTGCTAAGATTTGAAGCATCGAATTCTCCGACCCGAACCTTGGTGATAATAATTGACGCACTAGATGAATGTGAAAACGACAATGACATCCTTATTATTCTACAGCTACTACCACAACTAAAGCAAGTACGCCTATTTCACATGCGAATCTTTGTGACTAGTCGACCAGAATTACCAATACGACTGGGCTTTCAGGACGAAGTCGGAGATGATCACCAAGACTTTATCCTTCACCAGATCCCTGAGCCTATAATACAACGCGATATCTCCTTGTTCCTAAATCACAAACTTAACACAATTCGAATGAAGCGGTCACTCAAACAAGACTGGCCGGGAGACAGTAAAACTCAGGTGCTCATCAAGATGTCGGTCCCGCTATTTATCTATGCTGCTACAATTTGCCGTATTTTTCTGGATTATCAATGGGATCCAGAGGATAGCCTGTCAAAGATTCTGATTCATCAGACTGGTACTTCAAAGCTCAATGGAACATATCTTCCGGTACTGGATCGCCTCCTTCTCGGACAAGACGGATGCGAGAGAGACCAATTAATTGAAGAATATCGGATAGTCCTTGGGACAGTTATCCTTCTTGCAAGTCCACTCTCGCTTCGTGCACTTGCAAATTTCCTTGGGCGCTCAGAAAGCCTTATTGACACCAGATTGAACTCGCTTCATTCAGTTCTTGACATACCGCAGAATAAAACAATTCCTATCAGGCCTTTTCATCTGTCACTCCGTGACTTTCTTCTCAATGCTGACACTCGTGAGAATACACCGTTATGGATCGATGAGAGGGAAATAAACCAATATCTAACAACCCGTTGCCTTCATGTGATGAAACAGAACTTGAAAAAGGATATATGCAATCTCCAAGGCTACGGAACAGAGCGGACAACCATTGACAGCCAGCGTATTAGCGACTCTTTACCACCAGAGTTGCAGTATTCATGTCGTCATTGGACCCACCATCTAGCCCAAAGCAGGGATGGAATGAACCGGGGTCATGAGATCTGGGAATTTCTCAGCGAGCATTTTCTTCACTGGGTGGAAGTAATGAGTTTACTAGGCGCTGTTTCTGAGGTTTTGCGAAGCATTACTACTCTGCAGTCAGTAAATCAAGTAAGTACTTACTAGTCGTTATAAAGGTAATGTGTACTAAAAGTAGTAGGGCAAGGGGGATTCCGAGATATGCGACTTTCTACGTGATGGGGAGCGGTTCATTCTTAAGAATAGCCAGATGATAGATGTTGCTCCTCTTCAGCTTTATGTGTCTGGCCTAATATTTGCACCAAAAATGTCAATTATCCGACAAATGTTTGCAAAGGACATTCCGACTTGGATACACGGACACCCAAGAGTGGAGGACACATGGGGCCCAGAATTACGGACACTGGAGGGCCATTCTGATTCGGTCTCGTCGGTAGCCTTCTCTCGCGACGGTCAAATACTGGCCTCAGGCTCCGATGACAACACCATCAAAATCTGGGATCCCACCACAGGCCATCTCAAGCATACTCTGGAGGGGCATTCTGATTCGGTCTGGTCGGTGGCCTTCTCGCGCGACGGTCAGCTACTGGCCTCGGGCTCCGATGACAACACCATCAAGATCTGGGATCCCGCCACGGGCCATCTCAAGCACACTATAAAAGGCCATTCCAGTGCGGTCTGGTCGGTGGCCTTCTCGCGCGACGGTCAGCAGCTAGCCTCTGGCTCCCATGACAAGACCATCAAGATCTGGGATCCTGATACAGGCTTTCTAAAGCATACACTGGAAGGCCATTCTGGTTCGGTCCAGTCGGTGGGCTTCTCGTGCGACGGTCAGCTACTGGCCTCGGGCTCCGATGACAAGACCATCAGGATCTGGGATATCGCTACGGGCCATCTTAAGCATACGCTGCAAGGCCATTCTGATTGGGTCCAGTCGGTGGCCTTTTCGCGTGACGGTCAGCAACTGGCCTCGGGCTCCGATGACAAGACCATTAAGATCTGGGATCCCGCTATAGGCCATCTCAAGCATACACTGGAAACAATGGGCGTAATTACCAGTATTCGCTTCTCTGAGGATGCTGCATCCCTCGTTACCAATTTAGGCAAGTTTCATAATCAAGCCAGGTTGCAGCGATTACCCTTCAGTTCGTCTACCTCCCACGGTCAGGTGTCCATACAATCAGGCCAGTGGGTGACAATTGATGCCAGAAAGGAAGTATGGCTTCCTCCAGAATATCGGCCTAGAGATTCAGCAGTTTTCAAAAACGTTTTGGCACTTGGGTGTAGGAGTGGCAAAGTTTGCTTTATACATTTTTGTATGTAGTGCTAGTAATTATATCCAACTTCCAACTAAGCTTTATTTTCAATTATCTTCACAACAGGAGGGTCCGGGAGGACAGCGGAACATATACTTCTTTCGCTGGCGGGTCAATCTTCTGGACTGGGTGAGTAAACTGTACATATAACTAACTGAAACCCATCGTAATCTTACTAACCATACAATACTTCCCATCGACTTAGTAAGCTGTTTATATAAATAATGCATAGTCCAAATACAGTTTAGCTAAAATTGGCATTAGGGTCTGAGAACAATCTCAAAGAGTATAACCACGAAACTGAAAACGAAAAAGTCTGTACTGTAATCACGAGTGCTTACAGTACCATTCGAGCGACGGAGCATCCATGAAACTCCTGTTGCCGACTCGTTGCAGATGTCTGGACGTGCTGAACAACACAGTACCTAGGCTCCCAAGAAATGGTGTCCATCTGAAAAAAATATTCACGGAAAATGGGAACAAGGATGGAGGGCATCCAAAAAGGGTGGTCACCTCCGGCGAATCGATGCCGATTTGCCATCCAGCCGCACGCGACAACTATACGGCTCACTGCCACGAAACCACGCATATCTCCTGACTCAGTCGTGGACTGGCCACTGTTGGCTGGGACAATGCGGAACGGAATGTAGATTCCATGACGATGATAGGTGTGATTGTGGCGCCAAAGAAATGGTCAACCACGCCATACTCGACCGCCCTAAACTAAAAGTACGCCGTGAGATCGGAGAGGCCGTCGGCGTCATCCCAACCATGCTAGGAGGGAATAAAGAAACGAGCCACGTGAAGGCGGTCTTGTACTATGCAGAACCGAAGGCAATGGGCCATAACAGGCTCCTAGTGAGGATTAAAGTTCGTCTACGAGAAATGGAATTATGTACGATAGAAACACCAAGGCAGGGATATAGTCGTGGTAGCCTGCACATCGTTCAAGCGAGGGATCAGGGTACAGTGTAAACGAAATCAGCCAGTCAGTCAGTCAATCACGATCTTGGGGTATGCTCGATTTGCTTAAGTTGATTGTACAGTACCTGTGCCCGAGATTTATCTCTGAACAATGACACTGTGCATGCTGAATGAAGGTGAGACTAAGGATGGGAGTACCGAGAGGCACGATGGTTCAACAAGGCCGGTCCTCGAGCTACCTTGAATCTGTTGAACTCTGGGCAGTGCATACAGCTAATAATTTCATGTAGTCTGATCTATTAAATGGGTAAGAAGGCCAGGTATATGATGACCATTTCCAGAAAAAGGATCCGGACCCATGGACTAAAAAATAATATTGGACTAAAAGATAATATTTTGAGAGCTCACAACTGCACTTTAGTAAGGTACACTACGACACGGGTTACCATGGTAGGACCTGTTCATTTTTTGGAAAGAGAAGAATATTCCGCGAGGTTGGCATATTATTGAGGACACCAGTGACCACAAGGGGGGAGAAAAATGGTTCAGAAGTCTGTTGTGTCTATAATTTGATATCCCGCAACAGGTTAGGATGTCAGACTAAGGTCAGTGGACTGCACCAAAGTTCATGAAGCGCATTCTGAACCACATGCCATGCAAAAAGTTCTGCTTTTCTGGAGAGCATTCCACGTCCTGTTTGGGTATAAATATCTCAAGACTAGTCAAACACAGATAGCCCTGTGGAAACCTTCTATATTCAGAGACGATGGGTCAAACTAAGAGACTCTTGTGTACCGCAATCCCATACATCTTGTCCGCGGCTAGCTTGATATGTTTGATATGTGTTGGAATCGGCTGTACCCAACCCTCTGCGCCTCAGACTGAGTTGTTCTTCATGAAAGTGGGTATTTCACAGTACCAAACACCGTGGTATATTTTTTTGGAATATGTTCATAATGATAGGTCAACACAACGGATCTCATTCCAACTCTAGAAGGGACGTTGGAAGGATTGCTCACACGTTCAATGACCGAAATGTCACTGAGCGACTCCTCTGACCCTACATTGAACCTGGAAGATACCGTGAGCAAAATTGATGACGCTGTTGGAGGTTCAGATCACGATACGTCCAGTATCATAACAGGGACATTGGGGAATGTGGCTGAAAACGCACAAAATTTGACGCAGACCATACCCGATCAACTGGTCCATATAAAATCCAATGTCTCCGAAATGTACGCAATTGGGCTGTGGGGATACTGCAGAGGTACTCTACAAGAAGGGGGAGTAGACTTTACGGATTGTACAAAGCCGGACTCCTCATTCTGGTTCAACTTCACTGAAGTTCTTGATCTTGGAGATTCATGGGCGCAAAAGATGTTCCCAAACCAGGTGGAGAAGGTCGTGGGTGCATACAAGGCCGCGTCAAAGGGGGTTAGGGCTACGTACATTGCTGCAATGTCAGCGACGATACTCACTCTAGGATCCGGTGTAATAACCATGTTCTCTGGGCAGCTAGGCATCGTCGTGCGCGTATTTTCACTGGTAGGTGACTACCACCACCCTCGTTAATCTAATGAAAACCAGAATAGCCTTTCTTGACAGAGAAAACCGGTTAATGTCCACCTTTTCCAGGCAGCAGCAGTGCTCAACATCGCAGCATCGGCTACTGCTACAGGGATATATGTTTCGCTGGTTGGAATCCTCAAGTCAGTGTTTAGTTCATCAGGGATTGCAGCAACCCTAGGTCAACGAATGCTGGCCACTAGCTGGTTGGCAACAATGTTTGCCATTAGTGCTTCTGTCTTCTGGGTTCTGAGTTGTTGCTGCATTTAGCGATCTGCCTAACCGTGATGCCAACTGCGGGAAATGATATAGTTATTTGCGAAACTAGTGTCACCCCCCAAGATTATGTTCTTGTCTCTCCAACCCTGTGCCAATATTGCGCTTAACCTCTTTTGTCCAAAGACTTGTGAAATCTATTTTGAGGAAATGTATCGGGTGGTATCGTAATCACATGATTGAGATCACAGTAATATTACACGTCTCGTCTTTACGGATAATTCACCGAAGATAGATCATAACCTCGCGAACCCCGCTTCCAATGATCCTCCCGGTAGATCATGTCAATCACCCCTTAATCACCAACATGGCGCCACGACTTGCCCAGTCCACTAGAGAGATGGCATTGGACATGATCACGAGCAGTGAGCTTACTGCATCTCAAATGGCCGTGGCAGCGAATTGTGATAAACGAACGATTAAAAGACATTGCTCTAATATTCGAACGTTTGGCAGCGTGACAGCACCGCCAGATAAAGGCGGACGACCGCGGAGCCTTACTCCTCTTATGGTCCAAGTTCTTTGTGATCATTTACTTGAAAAGCCCCATCTATACCTTGATGAGATGGTGGTATTCATATGGAATGAATTCGAGGTGCTTGTAACGATATGGAGCATTCGTCGTGCACTGCAGAGGGAAGGTTGGTCGAAGAAAGCTGACAAGCAAAAAGGTAAGGAACGTCATGCAGATTTACGTAATACTTATTGTCATTAACTATATTTCCGATTTTTGCTCCTACCATCTTATTTATGTGGACGAGTCCGGGTGTGACAAACGCATATGCCTTCGAAAAACCGGCTGGTCTCCCCGTGGGAGCACACCGTCTCAAGTCACCAAATTCCATCGTGACCAGCGGTACCAGATTCTCCCAGCGTACGCCCAGGGTGGAATTGTGCTGTCCCGCGTCTACAAAGGCTCAACGGTCTCCTCTATCTTTGAGGATTTTATCGAGGAATTATTGCACCACTGCGGGAGATGGCCGGAGCCCAAATCTGTTCTTGTTATGGATAATTCTTCTTTCCACATCATTTGGAAAGAGTTGAACAATTGTGTTCACTCCCGGGGGTGAAGTTGGTATATCTACCACCGTACTCCCCGGACCTAAACCCTATTGAAGAGCTTTTCGCCGAGACTAAAGCTTTCACCCGCCGGCATTGGCACTACTTCGAAGACAACCCTGATCAGAGGTTTGATGTATTTCTGGAATGGTGTGTCACTACAGTTGGTGGAAGAAAGCAAAGTGCAGAGGGCCATTTCCGCAATCCAGGCTTGACCATCGACTATTAACGTATCATCTCAGGGGAGTTAGATCAGATGAGGTATATGTACATTACGTAATCCGAGCGACCTATGCGGGCGATATATATCTATACGCTCAGCATTTGAAATTCATCTTGCGTCAAATTCTGGAACATTATGAAAGTCAATATCCAAGCGAAGGTCTCATACTGATCACACTAATGCCATCATTGGGACCTGAAGTCCCAATGGAGACATACCAAGAACGATGTGCAGTCACAGGAAGCTGCACCTCGACTCAGTGGTCTTCTATCTTTGCAGTGGCAGTCCACTTTGCATGAAGGGTAGCCATTACAGCTTGTAGGTCCCCGATCGTACCATCATTGGTATCAAACTGCAACATCTCTTGTCGCAGGTTTCGGATATCCCTCTCTCCGCCGCACTGTATCAGTTTGATCACCGTCATGAGAGCGTTTCGATAATCATCTGCGGCCTTCTCGGCGCAATGAAGCGCATCTTTGCGACGCCTGTCCCTCGATGAATTAAATGTGCAAGTGGAACCAGATCTAGAGCACATAACACACGGTGATGAACCAGTGCACTTTTCGCCTATCAATAATGCTGACGTAGATAATAGGACTATGTGGCGAAACCTACCCGTATCCGTTTCTTTTGGCACTCTGAACAGGCCACGCTTCGCCTTCTAGGCTTTTGATCTTGGTCGTCCGTGTTTGTATGTTCTAGGACTCTCTTAGGAGCCGGAAGTAGACGCCGGGGAGGCATGGGGAATTTGGTGCACGAGCGACAGCCTTCCTGCCACTCTAGCCGTCGTCGGCATTTTAAAGAGGCTAAGTTTGCTTATTCTGGGATTTTCACGGTTCGGAGTCACTGTACACTAAGCGTGTTTGCTCGAAGACAAAGAACGCTCTGTGCCAAGCCTTGACGATTTCGACTATTGACGCCACCACCAGCTCCCAAAGGGCCAATTCGAAGGCTATTTCCCTCATCATTCATCAGCCAGGATATACTGGCGTTTTCCCGCCTGTGTAGGAGCTTTGGGAGATGATCTATCATTACTGTTCTTTTCTTAATGCCGGTCGATAGATGCGTGCCCCGGGGCTGTTGGTATCCAACCGTACACACTCTACGAAGTGAAGAGAGTATTGAATAGACCGAGCCAATAAGTTAACTACTTGGTCCCCTACTTCCCTACTCATGCCAACACATATATGTCCACCCTCACGTTATGGTATCACCGGCCTCAATGAGCAGAATCCGGGCAAGAACATTGCGAACTGGTGCATATGATTACATTATCTAACAAATATATATATAACTATCTATAAGTATAGCATCATTTTGTTTCTTTCAAATACCACAAGTTGCACACTTCGCCAAAAGAAAAACCAAATTAGAAACCAAATTAGGACAGAAAAGACATGTTCATGTAGCTGCTCCCGCATTTGCGCGAGGGACGTGGGAAAAACCCCGAAGGGAAAAACCAAATCAAGAGCAGCTAAAAAAAAAAAAAAAAAATTCAACGCAACTCATGAAGGCTGGCCTCCAATGCCTCTCGTAGTTGGCCTGCTTCAGCACGGCGCTTCCTCAAACTTTGGGATTCGGCAGCCAACCGGAAAAGGGTGTCATCTGAAAACTCACTGACCGCCATGGGGTCAAATACGGTCGATAGCTGGCCAAGAATATGTCTCTCGACAACTTGGCGACACACATTGTCGACAAAGGTCTTCATAGCGACCTAACACTGTCAATACAACGAGCCAGCAACTACTGAAGTGCAAACATACCTTATAGTAGGCATCCAGATCAGTTCGTGCTTCTTGGCAAGCTCGCTCCTCCATGTTAACAACAACACCATGGTGCTGAAGAGATGCCGCAAGACGACTGATCTCATCTGACGAATTGCTGACGTGGAAGCGTCCATTCCAGTCCTCTTCAATGGCCCTGTTCAACGACATATGAAGGTTCTGCCTAGAACGACCGTCCCTAGCCTTTTGGACATTATCGGTATAGTAATGGTTGTAAGTTATGGGGCTTCCAGCCTCATCAGCTAATAACTTATCCAGTTCGCGGCACGCGTCCTGGGCATTACTTTCCAATTTGAAAGCGATGTCACTGACGAGTTTGTCCCTAGTGCTGCCATCTTTAATCACGAAAGTCGCAACTGACTTGATGAATTGGAAGACCAAGTCTGCGATCGTAGTGACATGGGTACGAGCAACATGCCCCCACCGTGATGATTGTTCATGGAACAGTTCAGCTAGCAGAGCATGGTTATAATTGCCAGGCAGCTCACGGCCACGGGTACGATTATATATCTGCGATAGTTAGTTCGAGGTGAATTTGAACGGCCACTGGTGAACGCACCTTCCGGATCCAAGTTGACATCTCCTCCTCGGTCACGAGAAGCTGGTCAGCTTCTCCATGGTCGCCATCCTCGATTTCGGTCGCAACTACTTTGCGCTTCTGCCCGTGTTGCCTCATGTAACTGGCAAACTTCCCGTTCTCCTTGTGAACAGCAGCGCGGAGGCGGTGGTGTTGTGTATCGTCGTGGATTTCATCGAAGAATCCATCTCGGGTACCATAGTTTCCTTCAACTCCGTCTTTCACAAGGTTCTGAAAACTTGCACTAATACGCGTTAGATACATACGTATCTGTGCCGGAGTGATTCGTTCTGTTCCAAGCTCTTCTAGTTCGTTGTGGATCTCATCGAGAAGTTGTGCGACATCTTTCCGAACCTTCGGTAGTTCGCGCTCAATGTGTCGATCTAGAAGGTCCTGCAAAAAGACCCGAAGATTGTCTCCACCGACACGTGAAGGGTCAAGGCCAAGACCAATCCACGGAGCATTGGCAAAAAATTCCTTTTCCGCCTTCCGTCGCTCAAGCGTTGTTATACCCTTCTCCAGGTCAGCAGGCGGTGGGTTTTTGACGAGGAAAAAGCCAAGCTTCAACCTTGTCCGGTCTGCGTTCTTTGCTAATCTTGCAACTCGTCTTTCGGTACCATCGTTGATCAAATCAGGTTTGGTGATTATTCCCACTGTTCGCAACCCCTCCTTGTCGTAACGGCGAGCGCGCTGGATGATGCTTTGTGTGTCCACATCGCTGCTGGCGGGGACAACAGCAAGTATGATGGTCCGCGAGTTTTCCAGGTACGAGTCAACAAGATCTCCAACAAGTTGCAAATCATGCTCATTCTCGGAAACGGATATTAGGCCAGGAAGGTCTACCAGGGTCAGATGTAAGCCGGTGTCTCCGACCACCTCCAACCGAAGCACATCCGCCGAAAAAGTTGGGCCGTCGCCTAACTCCCCGCCTCCTTCGACTCCCATCAGGCTTGAAGCCTCGGCGATGATGGTTGGCAAATCTGCAAGATTACTGACCTCTCGGCGGAAGGCACTCAACCTGGTCTTTTCATCTTCCGTGCGACTCAGATGAGGAATAATCGTCGCGGTGTTGCGACGATTCTTCGGCTCATGGCGAAGGATAATCTCCGTCGCGAAGCGCGTACAAACTCCGTCTTGTCGCGGGAACGGAATTCCGCTGATTCCTTCCAATACTGAGCTTTTTCCTGCGGATTGATCACCACACACAACCAGTTGTGGCAAAGCGACATGGTCTCCAACACCATTCGCGCGGATTCGGTCAATCAGATTGAGCCGTTCAGATATCCTGGATGACATGAGGCCTAGTCCTTCTCGAACCTGACCACTGTCCAACGTGATCCAGTCCTTTTCAGGAGGTGTATCTATCGAGATTTTACCCATGTTGATCGAGAGATGGGTCCTGGGGGGAAAAGGACTGAAAAGAATATAACAAGGGACCCGTCTTTTATACCCGCCGCGGTGGATAGCCGTCCTGTTCGATAAGGAGTCAGCCGAACGTCATCCAGGACATCTGAACAGCTCAATCCGGTCGACCGTTCACCCAACAAGTTGGATCCGGCTTGCGAATGATGAGGGACAATAACTTGCGGAAGAATGAAGGGGTCAAACCTATTTATGCTCAAGCCGGTAATAGTAAACACTTACTAAATCCGCTCAATTCCGGGACTGTTTCCTGCATGCGTCCTAGCCAGGGGCGTAGGTCGGTAATTCCACAAGCCTGTTCCCCTTGCACTCACATTCTCTCCTTGCCCCCTTGCTGCAGACGCCCCCTTGTCTCCTGACGCGTCCTGTCTCACTCATCCCTTTTTTATGTGCAAGGAAGGGAGATATTCTGTAGTCAATGTCGCTTCTGTTCCCAGAGTAAGTCGAAGTTGATGTCACGAAAGCGTCCAGTCACCGGTGTTGCGCTACTGCTGCGCACTGCTTCTTCGCTTCCACTGCTCTATCAGGCAGCAATAGCCCGCTTCTGAGCCTATGCTCATTATAGGCTGGGTATTAAACGACGATCAATTGCACCTCAGTGGCCATCAGGCCCTTCCATATCCAAGCTGGTTCAAGTACAAACGAAAGCAGTCAGGAACGCATCAGTAAACGTGCCTTATTCGCCAGTTCCCGTTGGCGGATACGTTCTACGTCTAGGTTCAAGTTTGAAAGACAATCGCAATGTAGCTGCGAGTAATTGTAGCCACTTGCACCCCAGTCCTGATGTGCTTCCTCAGCTGTGCGCAGCATTTGTGTTGCCTCTCTTCTCGTTTCTTGGGAAGGGAGAGATACTGTCCTCCGTGTAGTTGATAAAGACTGAATGCCTGAGCTTTTTGCCATGACGACACAACTCTCCCCACCGTAGAAGCTGTGCCTCGATCGAAGTCCAATCAACATCAGTTCCTTTAAAATGTTTAGTAAGATCGCGTTGTGATCGCTCATTTACAGCAACAGACACGATCTTATCATCTGACCGGACTCGTTGATTACGAGATTTCTTCCGCTGCATAATACGCTCGGCCTTGTCTTTGATCCGTTGCCAGTAAGTACTAGGCTTGAATGCCAGATCTTGTTCGGTATCCTTTGCCAGAAACTGATTATTGAGGGTTACTTTCCACTTGATTAGATACTTTATGGATTCGGGAGTACCCCCTAGGATCGTAGCTCGCCGGTTTAGGTCGGACTCCTCAAGAAAGCCAAGACGGTTTGGCGAGATTCGGTGGGAGGGAGAGGATGGGCCAGGCGAGGTAGCCGGAGAGGGGCAATGTACGGATGGGGTTTGCTCGTGGTCGAAGAAACCAGGGGTGGGGGCATACGAGGGACTTCGTTCACATCTCGTTATCTGGATGGCAATATCGCTATTCAACGGTGTAGTGCCCATATCGTCCAGGCAAAAGGCCACCCAGGAACCTAAAAATGATGGCATCTGGTGTTAGCTCTCGGACAGCGGGGTTTGTTCAACTTCGAGGGGAGACTGGCTTCTGACAAGCCGAATAGTATGACAAGCAACGCCATTAGTGTTGGAATAAGCCACCTGGTTAGTTCTGTGATTCGTACAGCCCGGAGCATGTACATCGACGCCAGGGGGGTATAGGAACAGGAAAGATGTTGGTGCCTTGCTCTCGGTGGTTCCACGGTTTGCACTAGCTTGCATGGAAGCTTCCAGCTATGCAAGTCACGCGTATAGAACAGTACAACGATCTCGTATGACGTCATATAGATTACCGTTCCGTAAGATACACAGTAGTATCTATGCTGCCCAGTACGTACTAGGGCATCCTTGGCATAGGGTTCGGGTGATAAAGAAACAGTCTTAGGGGTGACACTGCTTTCGCAACCAAGTGTAATATCTCCGGTTGATAAATGACTTAAATGCCACCCTGCGCATGCGGTCTGACACAAGATGCTTTCGGCGAAGCCCATGTACATCAGCTCGGCGATACTGTCATAAGCGAATAGGCGAAGCTACAGGTAGCCGCGCAACCCTTCAATTGGATAAGATGTGAATACACCCACTCGAGCTTGAAACCGCCTACAGACATCACAGGCATCCCTTGCCACAAAAGATAGACGTGACGCCAGTATTGATTGTCAGTAGTACGTATACTAGGACTGAATACATTACTACCAGGTCAAATTATTTTCTATCATCCTCTTCAGCGTCCCGGGCATTAGCATCTGAATGACTGTCGCTGCGATCATTAGACCTGCTCTCCTGACTGCCATGATCCTCGCTGCACGCGAGCTCCAACAAGGCGAGACCCAAATTAATATCGATCAAAACATCTGATTGTCTGCGGACTAGCACCCGAACCAAATCACCGTCTCGCGAATACCAGATGTAGAGACAGTCTCGACACAGTCGAGCGCGAAGTAGTTATCGATAATTATCCATCTGCAGCCAATCAGTACGGGAACGCCAAATGTCCCATTATGCACTTACACCCGTTAAACACACTCGCAGAAATTCCCGGGTCGCTCCGTAAATGTTACGGTAAGCCATGAATCCCCCAGTAGCTCGTCAATTGGGGGTTTGCTGTGCTTGATGCGAAGGCCGATGGAATTGGCAACCTTTCGAAGGGGTTTCCGTGAGCAGCGAATTATCTTCGACAGGTCAGCATTGATGCACTTGGCATATTGACTGAGCGTGATGACCCAGTGAGACTGGCATATTCCCTTGAAACGAGCTCGGCCTCAATCAATCCTTCTCTCGCCATGTCCTGGTCCACCGTATCTCGGCGCATATTCCCCATTGTGAAAGCCAGGCCACCTTCGATTCCGAAAACGCTCAAGATCCCCGTCTGAGATGTGCAAACTGGGCCTCCGTCTCACGGGGTAAAACTACCTGTCTTATATCATTAATCTCAACCATCCCATCCGTCTACTTCACCCTAACGGTGAGTTGAGAACTAGGCCCCCGTACGCCCTTGCTTAGTCATACCTATCCAGACTGCGGAGAGGACAATTACCAATACCACAATTGATGGTAGTTAACACGTCTCACCGGTGACTGGGCTTGAGGAATACAGGAACCCAGTACAGTAACTTCCAATAATATATGATGGTACGTAGAGACTGTATAGCCTGTAACTTAGGCCGTACTATCTCTATCTGACCGACTCAATCACCCACAGGTAGCAGATTTCCGGTTCGTTCAACGAAGCCCATGTTCTCCGGGGAACACCACTCTTTAGTTCCGCCAAGAATGTTATGTTGACCTCGGCAATCCATCGCTGGAGCGACGAAGGAACTCGTTCAACAAAAGGGGAATATAGTTCACGCATGGTGTGACAAAAGTCGTGACATGTCAAAATTTCAAGGAACCAGATCTGAATGGGATCATCCACGGTCAACAGATGTTGCTCAACGTGACACGGCCAACTCCTCGCTCCTCACCATGTTGAACGGTTGTGAACCTCCCTACATTCCTCTTCGCATGTCTGGGTGCCGTTTAAAAATTGATTGATTAGGTGCAAGAACTTTGTCTTCGTTCACGACTCTTTGTCCAGTCAGATCCGGAAGGCAATGGCCAAACAAGAACGTGGGAATGGGGATAGGAGGATACCAGCCAGTGTTTGCAGGGTCATCTCTTCGGCTACAATTCCTTAAAGTGCGTTGACTGATACGATAAATCTCTTCTTTTTGTCGTATGTGGCGGTATAACAATACTCCGTAGGCCACGCCGGTATAATCGGTAGGTCGTGCACCAGGTTGAACACAGGTTTGACCACCGCCCATCTTGTGTACAAGAGACGATGCATATATAGACCTCAAAAACCCGGGTTGGTACTGAGTCTTGTTTTATGCGACTGGCTTAATAGCAGAACGCGCTTCCTTGAATGCATTGCAGTAGTCGAGGCCTGATACGGTGGCCACAAAGATTTGAATATATACAGACCCATCAACTTTCCGGGAACATTTGTTAAATATTTTGGGTATAAACAGACCGACTCGGATAAACATATGTTAAGCAAAGCTTCTAGATTGACCAAATGTATTCGTGTGAACAATATGTTAAACGAGATATTCCGATATGAACAATCATATTCGAGTGAGCACATGTTAAACTGAATTCGAGCCTAGATGGCGCATGTGCCGGTGCTTGACGCAACATGAGGAGAACCATCTTGGTCCACAACCTGGCATCAACCGGGTATAGGTGCGGCCTTACGTCTTCCTAGCTAATTTCCATTGTACGGATGCCAGTAATGAGATGAGGGAGCACCGCGACTGATTCGCCATCACGGACGGTCTTCCGTGGGTATTTCCGTGGGTGTTTCCGTGGGTGTTTCAACGAGACTACTGTAAACCCTCGTCAATCAGAGAATGTTGAATCCACTGCAGAATGTCAAACGTCGTTTTATCTACACAATAAACCTCACCTTTTGTAATTCCCTGGCTGTACCCTGGGGAACACGGATCCCAGTCCGCCACTCAAGCCCCAAAAGAAGCTTCCGTGTAAGAGATAGAGTACATATCGCTGAGGAAGGGGTGTGTCCCATTCCTTCCCGCACCTGACAATAGATACCATCGAATAAATGCGTGAAAATCTGCGACAGACGGTGTAGGAGAGCCATGTTTGATATGAAACTCATCCTTCAATTTACCAGTCTCGGCAAGATACCTACGACGGCATCAGTTTCGTAACTCAATTGACAAACGTCAAGGGTTCTCACTCTTCAAAAATCCGTAGTGCGCGACTCTCGTCGTTGGTTTCTGCTATTTGGATGAACGCGACTGCTGCGCAATGCGGTGCTGGACGGGTTAACCTGGGAATGCATTCCTGCTACACGCTTTTGCGGAGGGCGTCTTTCGATAGAGGGTGGCGTAATAACGGAGGATAGCTCAGAATCGTCTCAGTCTTCATTGACAGTTTCCAAGCAGGACACGCTCCGCTATTTAACGGGTCGGCTGGCGGCAAACCTGTGCATGCTTCCTTCCACAGGTTGGATTTATCCGAACCTGTGACATGCCGAATATAGATACTGCCAGAAGCTGCACGGCTGTTTGGGTTTCAGTCAATTGGCTGCTCATCTCAGGCGCTGCATAAAGTTGCCGCTCACGCCTAGATGCCAAACCTATCTCCCTTGACTAAGGCTGCGGTGCATCCTTAAAAAAAAGACTGCATGCTGATTTTAGAGAAGACATGGGGCTCTCCTGCCTCTTTTTCCTTCATCAGGGGCTCATCTCTTGCAGCATTATCTGTACTCCACCCAGCGACACCACTCGTACATACGACAGATGTGATTTTTTACGGCTGGACTGAGCGTATGGAATTGCCGACATACGATGTCGACTGAATCCATTGAAAGGCCGAAGATGTACATAACCCCAGTATAGACCGTCTGATGCGAGAACCATAGTCGAGCTGATACATTCCGGACCCCTCTTATTGCCGCCTGGCTCTTGTCTCCGCGCCATTGATCCCTTGTAGTCGTCCTGCACGTGCCGTCGCAACAAACCCTGTGTATACAGAGAACAGGAGCTTTGGTGAAACATCTTGCATTGCTGGGCGGAGGCTGGTTTAGAGACTCGGCAAGTTTGCGTATAGCATAGCCAGCTCCCATGCAATTTGGCCCTTCGGACGCAGACCACACGAATCAAAGACCTTACCTATGGAAACAAACTAGATATCAACGGTTGGTTTCCGCATAAAGATAGAGATCCGTTTACAGATGTACCAATGGGTAATTCTGGGCTTTTTTAAACCCCAAGGCACATGGTTGGACCGGCAGTTTGTGTTGTCACCCAAGGCCGGTGTCAGTTCCTACCTATTCGTAATCACCGGACACTCTGGAGCAGGGGATGATCCTACCCCTGGATATTCCCCTGACGGGAACGCCACATCCAAATCAGAACCATTGGGGGGGCAGGACTTGCATTCGAAGCAACTTTGTCGTGGAGCTCAAGCTGCTGGGTAGGTGACAGAATGCAGCTAGTTGACCAAGATAGGCAAAAGAAAATGCTTTCGTGGTACACTATCTTTTTGGCCGTTGTTGATGTTGTCAAAATGACCAAACGCCGCCGATTTGCACCTTCAGAGCAAGTAGCCTTCGGCACAACCCAAGCGAACGAGCATGCGCTATCCCGTCCATTTCAAGAGCTGAAGCCGACGCCTTGTCGGACTGACTTGCCTCCGCTTATGATCCGTTATCCTTCAAGCCCGTGGGTGCGACCGGGCTTCCTTGACGGAGCATCGTATTAGAGGGCTGACGTGTCATAGCCCAACTGGAACGGATCTCGACAGGGAGTCAACGTCTGCACAGAAGATTTTGCCGTTGCATAGCGGGGTAATATGGCAATTTTCCACCAAGGCGACGGATTGACACGATCCAAAATGTCCGCTGGCTGGGGGGTCTCCGATGCCGAAGACGTCTTTTTGCAGATACGGACCGTCTATCCTGTGGAGACAAGTCCAACCTCGGGCGAACGCTGGGGTTCAAACAATGCCGCGGCGGGTATGGCGTTGCCGTAATCTCTTCGGTGAAGGGAGAGACACGGCTGCTGGCGACACTTTCCGTTTGTTGTTGATAACCGCACGACCAAAATCGATAAACATGACTCGCTGGACCTCCTCATTCCACAACATGTTTGCGGGTCGTTGGTCCAGATGATCAACGCCAGCCTCATGTATCTGGGTTTTTGTACGAGCGATGTGCTCCTGAAGGTCGCTGCGATCAGACGTCTCCAACCTAACTCCGCCGTATGCCATCAACGACATGTGGATTATGATGCGCTTCGGGTCTAGGCAAAACACGTTTTGGCTCAGGTAAATGTCACCAAGATAAACTGGAACCGCGGATCCCTGGATGTGTTTCAACTTCCGATATACGTCGCCCTCAAAGTGAGAGCTGTATGTGGTGCCTTTGCCAACAAATGTATAGCCATACCCTTCAAGCGTGATAGCGAAGAGAGATCCATGGAGGCCCTCCTTCCACAGAGGTATACAGCGGTTGTCCGGATCGGAGTTAAGCTGCTGACTGACAAGCTTGACAAGTTTCAGCAGTGAGATGGGATGCCCCCCATCGCTTGACCGAGCTCCGTGCAAGCGTGCATTTGGACATTTGAGATCGAGGATCGATCCGCTTGCCAGACCACGAAGACATGTCTGAGTACAGTACGCGCGATTTGGGGGTCTGGATTCAGTGGGCTGGCCCCCAGATGGCTTTGAATTTGATGTACGTCGTCGTTTCCTCCGTTGGCCCAGATGTTCCATAGGCGAAGAAGGAAGACAGGGCCGTCTGTCGTTTGACTCGTCTGACGAGTCCGATGGATCTGTACGGTTGCCAGACAGCGCAACATCATTGCAGCCTGCCGGCAGCCGTCGTGACCGTAGGAGATACGGCGATCGGGGGTTGACAGGGTAGCGTGGCGCTCGATATATTGAGCCCGGCGGAGTCTGCTTCCTCTCCGATTCAGGGATTAATCGAAGAATGTCCTCAAAATCAACATCCCATCTGTGCAAGTTATTCATAGCGTTGTTACGCCAAATCTGGCTGCGTTGAGGGAGCCGGAGAGCTAGGAGTGTCAGGGCGAGCCGGTTACCAACAGCAGTAAATGGGTATCGAAAACCAAGGCCATCATCAGTTTCAGGTGCCGCATCGCGACTAGGATTAAGCAGGCAATAGCGTAAAGTCGTTGGATCATCCTCGTGAACCCAAAGCATCACCTGGCTTCTCCCATTATCCAAAAGGCTCACCGGGGTGCCACTCAAGATCATATACTCATACGGTTGCGCCACGGCGGCACATGACAACAATTCAGCATCGTATTGGAGCTTCTCTTCCGAATCCACTGGGATTGTAACACGTCGTACTACCTCCTCCAGGACGTTCATCGGTCTCAGACCAGCTCGAAGAAAGGCGTCTGGAAGCTTATGGGCCGCTTTATATTCAACAACATATAACAAACCTCTACGGCCGTTTCGCGCATACACACAGTTTTGGTCGGCTCGAACACTGCGGGAAGAATCGGACGGACGCTGGCCGGGCTCCTCGGTGATGGTGTTCATATGGTTCTCAAAGACAATCCCATCCCCAAGCGAAAAACTTTCTCGTGCGGCAGGTAACCGACCCCTCCGGAAACCTGCGGGATCGCGCCCTTAGCGCGATCCCGCCAGCCAAACGGCCAGACGGGCCATACGGCCAATTTTAATGCTTGAAGCTATTCAAACTCGAATATCTCAACGAATATTGAAGCTATTGAAATAAAAATAAATACAAATGAAACCTCTATTCCTCTGCTTTCCGACGCACTTTTCGAATTTTCTTTTGAATGATTCCTCGCTCCAAACACGCGTCAATAAGTTCGGGAAGCACTTGAGCATATTTTCGCTTCCACTTCTTTTTTTCATTGCTAATATCGATATTCATCTCTCGGCGCTTCATTGACTGCATAGAATGACTTGATACAACTCCTCCAGAGCGAAGACGACGTTTAGAAGCCTTTGCACGCTCTGCACGTTGTCTAGAGGGCTCTGTATAGCGTCGTACCTCTTCCTGCATGGTCTCTGCATACGAGACTAATTGAGTTGCTCCATTAATGATCTTATTCAGACCATCATGTAAGAATGAAGGCTCAATATCATGTAAATGAAGAATCTTATTCTGCAATATTTTGAAGCGCTCAACCGTTTTTGGTGTACTGCCAACTGACATGATATCATGACTGCTAGGCGTTGAAGGAGTTGCTGGCCGCGCAGGTTCAGCAAGATGATCAAGAACGATTGCTGGATTGAATGGCGATATTCCCGTTTCTTTGAAGCCATGCCGGATAGTCGTTTTCTTAAGAGTTTTGGTGCGAATCGTCGAAAGAGCATGTAAAAACTCATTTTTGTTGAAATGACCACATCCCGAATATGTTGCATTGAGTACTGCTTCGGAATGCCAGTGCTTCATTGCATGAAATACACCAACGTCAAGAGGCTGTAGAATATGGCTTGAATGAGGCGGAAGAAAGAATAGAATAATATTGTGATTCTCGCAGAATTCAACAAACTCTTTCTTACAATGAGATTCGAAGCCGTCACAAATAAGCAGTGTATATTGACCTTTTCGCTTATTTTTAATGTCACGCCAAAAGTTTTGAATCCATTGAAAGCCTAATTCATCTGTCATGAAGCCATTTTCGGACGTAGCGATATAATATTGACCTTCAATAGTGGTGACGTCAAACCATCCTTGAATGATACTATTCCCGCGTAGAATAATGAGTGGCGGAGCGCTCCATCCACCGGTTGAAATAGCTTCAACTACCGTGATCGATTCTCGCTCGGAAGAGATACCAATATAAGGCTTATCTCCAGGAAGATCTCGAGTAACTACCCATTGATCTCTGCCCATTCCTATACGGAAGCCTGTCTCATCAAAGTTCCATATATCATCTTGTATAATCCCGTTGATTTCGATGACCTTTTTCAACGATTCAAACCAAGCAGCGATATTGGTTTTATCTTGAGCTTGTTTTCGCTCGATTTCAATTGCTCGAAAGCGTTGTTTTTTGTATTGAGGATGGCGTTTAAGCCAGCGTTGAAGCCAGTGTTCTCCTACTACCGGCGGAGGAGTTGTTGAATCGGTATGAGACCTTTTTAGAATGACATTGGCTGCATTCACGATCATTCGAGGCAATGGGCGAACGAGATAGCCTTCTAAAGTGTTTAAATATTGACAGAGAGCTTTATCTTCCTCTGAATTCAACTTCAAGTTGGTGGGTGCTCGCTGAACAAGAGAGACTCTACCCTTCCATCTTGCATCGAGAGTTCGTCGATTGAGGTTAAATTCTCGCGCAGTTTTTGAGACATTCGGTTTTTTTTGATTGCGTAACGCGCTGATAGCTGCGATAATTCTATCTTCAACTTCCTGATTGAATTTGGCCATGTTGTGGTGGAATAATGACGCGTTGAAGTAGGAGGGTGCAATTATTGAAGAAATTGGCCGTATGGCCCGTCTGGCCGTTTGGCTGGCGGGATCGCGCTAAGGGCGCGATCCCGCAGGTTTCCGGAGGGGTCGGTTATTTGAGCCAGTTGCTCGAGGATTTCTTTCACTGGGTTCTCAACTTCTGCTTCCTTGTGTCGGACTAAATCGGCTTCGCTGGCCAAGGGGCGCGAGCACGCCTGTTTCCCTCGGTCTTCAATCACAATCAACGGTGGGAACACGCGTGGCGGGGAGTCGGACGGGTGGAAGAACCGGTATACTTCATCGAAAAGCGGCTGTTGGAAGGCACGAAAGTCGAATGGCTGAAGAAACGTCGGACAAATACGGCCATGCGGGCTGGTGATTGACCCTTTGGTCGTAAGGGATTTGTCAGTCTGGATAGTCAGGGGTTTCGTGATAAAGCGATGACAGGCGTGAAGGTACTCTGCGAACGTCGTCTTCCGGTTGCGCTGCCGTTCCTGCTCCAGCAGAGCCACTAGCTCTTCCCTGCTGAGAGTTCCTGCTTCCATAGCCGGAGGTGAGTGTCCACAGAACCAACGTCGAGCACCTGCGGACTTATCAAGAAGGTACGGCCTGGTGAGGATGGCACGTACCCGGGTCCCGTGACAGGCTAACCCGTTTAGTAGATAATCAATTCCAGGACATGCTCCCCTGGTTTCTGAAGCAACCAGCGGGCCCCTCACAGGATGGCATAGACAAGTTTCTCTTGCTCTGGAAGCGGGCCAGCTTTGAGCAGATTTGCAGGCGGAATGACTATCAACCAGTCCTTGTGGTTGTACGAATCCGCATCATGTTTCTTTCCTCTCCGACCGTGGAAACGCCAAGCCTTCGTTAAATTTAAGCGCCGCACCCTAACTAGGAAATTGATCAAAGGCTTCGGACGAGCACCGAACTCCCCGTGGCAGGAAGAGGATGGAAGAGGACTGGACGAGCTCTATTTGCACCACTGTCCAACTCTGGAGATAAGAGCTATCCGTATGCCAAACCTTTCATTCATGTTCAAGGCATCTTGCTTTTTATTTTATGCCGCTACGAGAGCTACTATGAATATATCGCTGTGGTTTTGGTAGGGGTGGATGCGAAGGAACTTCTGCTCTCCCGCTTATTCCTACTTCCATAGGCAACAGATAGCTCTGAACATTCTTGGAAGACGATGAACCGAGATCGCCAATCTGGTCAATCGGTACTCTCGTCTAACACCAATAGCAGAGTTGGCCATGGTATACGTTTTTCTCCGCACTTCATGAGAGATTATTCACTTAAAGCTCACTGGTCTCTTGTCTTGACCCAGGCCAGGCAAATCGATCGGAGAGGACAATAACTGGAGATTGGATGTCTGCCTCTGTTGACTGATAGTTGTACCAGGTGGCATGCCTCTCCCCGTTGCGTTCTACTTTGTATCGTGATATTGTGGCCTAATCCCTTCCCCTAACCTACGTGTCACTCGTGTACTCCGCTTGTTTCGGCACCGTTAAGCCGCTATGTGTCACCTTTGACACTCGTGAAGGCTCCGTGTACAGTATGATTGAATACAAGTATGTTCACTGTGGGGGAAGCAGATTTAGGGGGCGCAGACGTCATGCTGGACTTAAAAACGTTCCGGGGGGTCAAGTCCATTTCTTCTGTGGAAGGGTTCCATTCTGGCTCCATTCAGAAAAAGAGGGAAAGCGTCCAATCGTGGCGACACCCCATCTACCCTGAAAGGAGGGAAGCCTGTCCGAAGAAACCTCAATGGTCTTGTCACTGTTGAAGCTGAATTCTTCAGAGGTGCAGCCGAACTACTCCCCGCAGCACATCCAGGATCTATGACATGGCACAAATCCTGGTTGGAAATTGAGTGATCTGGACTCAATGGTCGCGGTTAACGATACAGGAAAAGCACCGCGCTATGAGTCCAGCAGCTGCAAGATGAATTCCTCAGCTGTTGTCCCCGCAGGCTGCCGTTTTTAGCGGCGAAGGAAGTATGCTCAGTAAGCCATACATTGTCTACATACGGTAAAAACGAATCATTGCTCAATTATGCAGTGAAATTTGCGACGACCTAGCTTATCAATGGTGAGTGCCCATAAACGTGATCCACTATGTTCCAGGATTCCTTCGCGTTAGTCTGAAGATCTAGCAGCGCAAGATACATTATAACAAGGAGGCCAACTCTGGATCATGCCTTGGATACCACCTCGCAGATATAAGGGATCAGTGTATTTTTTCCCCTTCTTTTTTTCCTTCAAATCGGTCTTGACCTGGTCGAGCGTCGAGGAGACGATCGTATGAGCAACCAGCGCTTTTGAAGGGAAATAGCAGATCGATTTGGAAACGACTTCTGGAATCTCGGCACAACCAATTCGAGAGTACCCCATTCCTCCATGAGTGACTTCAGCAAGGCGTCCTCCTCCTGGCTGTATGCTCTTGCTTTGCCAGACGAGGTGCGGAGGCCCGTAGACCTCTGACATGACCTAGTCATAGCCCTGGTTCGGACTCTTGTAATGGGCCCTATGAAGTTGACAGCTTTCCCTTCGTTTTGGATAGTAGCTATATCGGTAGACTGCTGCACCATGTGGAAAGAGTCATTTGCCGGCCTGGATTCATAGGTTGTGGGGGCAGCGTCTGGTCGGCTTAGCGGCGTTGATGGCGTCGTGGGATCCGTGGTAATATTGTCCGCTCCTAGGTAAGCAGCCTCTTCGCAGTCAATGTCCCTCTGGGTAGGGTTTTCCAGGGGCGTCTGATGGGAAACATTGCTCTCTGCTGGCTCATTGGCGCAGTGACTGTCTCTATATTCCACAGAGCCACACATGCGGTCTTGCCCATCTCCTTGTACTGGTTGGTACACAAGCCAAGGGGCAGGTTGCAAGATCTGGGGGTCAATAGGGATAGCATCTATGGTGGGAGATGCTGCAGAGTAGCTTGCGCAGGTGCTCGTATCATCCGTCAGCCCGGGGAGGTCAAGTGAGGCTGATCGAGCAGAATGGCCATCCTGTGATACTGCGTGCAGATTGATGCTTGGGCACTGGTGGCCCTGATCTTCCTTCCGAGCCTGGGCAGGTCTCCTCGCTCTTAACCGTGTTGCATGGGGTTCCCAGTTGATAAAAGTGTGCCCCTTAACACTACGTGATGATTTCGACCCGGCCTTTTGACGTTTGCAGGGGCGTTCCACCTTCTTGAACTGCTTTTTGTCCGAGGTTGGAGACTCATCCAGGGCAGAGGAGGATCGTTTCTTGCACGTCTTTCCGGGCGGCTCGCAGATACTCTTTTGGTAATGGTGCACGTCGCGAAGATGCCAACGGTAGTCCATCTCGTCCGCGGCGGTGTGGCTACATAACGGGTCAGCACACTCCGATGGCCACTGTTTTGACTGAATGTGACCCTCTAGATGTTCTTTTAGGTCGGAGTTTTTCGTGAAAGAACTCATTCTGCAGGCTGCTGTTTTCGCCTCGTCACAGAGGCATTCAATGCAATATCCGGCGCGTATGATAGTATGGCGGTACAGTATAACCCCATAGTGCTGACTTGTCATTGATGGAAGGTGACCGCGACAGTGTTGCTCAAAGTCATCGCTGGTCCCATCATGGAACGTAAAGCACTCCCAGCAATACTTGACATGCCGAGGCGGAATATTCTTCTGTTGGGCGAATGACTCGCTAACGCAACCATGGATATGATTGCTCCGCCTGGGCCTTGACAATCTGTCATGTATTAGTAAGGCAGCGATTCATGGAATCCGGAAGAGTCGCTCACGTGTCTAAGTCTTTGTTGCAACTTGTGACTGGGCAGCGCCCTTTTACAGGCTCTTCTCCCGGTCGATATACCACGGAAAAGTCACGGAGACATTGGGTGTAAAGATCCCTCACCACGCTCGCTTTCTCATGGAAAGAAAGTGGTTTATTGGTCGACATGATTGCCGCCAAACGACCTAACTCGGGCATGAGCTTGCACAGAGCCTGTTTTTGTGCCACCTGCTCAACATGATCCGGACGTTCTCGGCCGCGAGTCATAATTTTCCAGTCGCGTCGCTCCTGCACCCAATGAGTTTGATACTTCTGCAACGCTTTGGAATAGAGCTTTCGCCTAATGACGCTACGGTCTTGGCGTAGTTTCTTAATGTCATCAGCGGACCGCGCGTTCTCAATCTCCAGGTCTTTGGCAATCAAATCGGGATGCTCATCGAGCTTCTCTTCCTCCTCCGTAGGCAGCCGATGAGGAAGGCCGTTCTCATGGTACTGTTCAAAGCCTTGGAAATATTCAAGGTGAGTATGGTCTGTGGGCCGACGCCTCAACGCGTTGACCACATCTACACCGGAACAGTTGGCCAGGTAGTTGTCTCCGTAGATCGCCTCGGAGCCGTGCGTAAGTACCTGCGCTACAAGGGCAGAGGCATATTTGGCTGCACAGGTCTTTAGCTGGGCTCAGAGAGAAATGGAAAGGCCACCGACCTGCAACTGCCTTCCCTAGCTCGCGGCGCATAGCATGGACCGTGGCTGTAATGAAAAAGCCAACCCAGATCAAAATTCGGCGGAGGTCTTTCTGATACTGCTCCTTTGTCAACGGATCTTCACCGACTCCTTCAGCTGTGACACTTCTGACGACGCGTCGGTCTCTTGCCTCGTCCTTCCATGAGAGCACTAGCTCATTCTCCCCTGGGGGAATTCTCTGCTCGAAGACTTCTTCAGGAGACGTAAATCCAAAGAGAGCTCCATCCGCAAGCGCGAGCGCCAGGAGGAACAGTGCTCCCGCATAAATGGGCTCATCACAATCCCAGATGGCAGTTCCGAACCTGTCATGGTAAGCATAAGGCCAAGCTGAAAGACCAAAATCTGATCAGACTTGCATACACCGTATTATCGGGGTCCTTATTCCCTTTGACAAACCGTTGATCAAGTCGCCATCCAATTCTCCAAGGATCATCTGCCGTACGGAACAATACAAGCTGGATATCCTGGCATTGTCAGCGAAGTCTAAGTCAACTATGATATTTCCCTCACTCTGTAACGAAGCCCTCCTTTGATTTTATTCTCTGACGCAGGAGTAAGAGCAGACACTCTGGCAGCCGAGCAAAGAAACTGAAGAGTGATGAAGTGAAATTGGACGCGATATCTTCCTGGCATGAAAAATGCATCATCAGTGCCCCAAAATGCAACAATAGCACGCTCAAAGCTTTTAAGCTGGAAGTTATATCTTGGTTTCTTGATAGCTGGGATGTATCCATCTTCAACCAAGTCATTCCTAATGAACTATCTTGGTCAGGCCACGGTTCGCTTGAAGGAAGGGCGCCTTACGCTATAAAGTAGGGATGCATCATTGGGAGGAATCTCGTTCCCAGTGACGAGAAAGAAACCAGGTATGAAGTTTTGAGCCCCGTTCAAGATTGAGTCTCTGGTTGGTCTTCCACCTGGGTCAATTCTGCCCTTGGTAGACGAAATCCACCATCGAAAGAACTCTTTAAGCTCTTCTAATTTCGGTACTTTGTGTCCCTCGCCAACCTTGTAGCCGTTTGGAAACCCTTTTGCCTCCTGAAGAAATCTAGCGGATCACAATGAGAATAGCCCAAAGTTGAGGATAGTAAAGTCTTACTCTTCATATTTGCGGACATATTTCTGGTATGTCTGTCGTTGTTTCTTAGACGCTCTTTTTCTCGTCCGCTGGGAATCTTCCTGCCTATGGTCTTCGGGGTTGTATCTCCGTTGTTGACGAAGATCACGGCGTTCTTGTCGTCTTTTCTCTTCTTGACTGGCCTTCCATTCGAGGGAACGTTTAGCCATTGTTTGTAAGAGCCAAGATATAACGAGATAAGGACGAAGTGCAGTACGAGATATGATGTAGAAAAGATGGAGAAGGGATTGAATTATGCGAACATCTTCCAAGCGAATGGCTAGTATTTATATTTAGGCTGAGACGAGAGACATCTTAGCTAAATTTCGCATGACTAGCTCTGTGAAATCAGGCATCACATGTTGAACTAAAGGTATTGTTGATTGAGCAGGCGAAATCCGCCAGCCCTTGCTCTTAGGAGGGCATCAGGAAATTGTTGGTCCGTACCTGATACGACGATCTAGATCAGAATGTCTTGGCCAGTCACGGTTTAAAGACCCTAGTTCAGTCACGTGATAGTGGCCATCACAATCCGGGTGAGCTAGTCCGGGACCGCTCTGGGAGGGGCCCAGAGCAATCCGGGAGCATTCGGAGCGATCTGTGCGTGCGCAGTGATCAAGCAGTGAGTGGCACGGAGCGTAGCAGGAGCAAGCCGGGATCGATCACGTGCAGCCCTCATAAAAGCGGCGGTGCCCGAATCGGGCAACTGGGCGAAAGGCGCAGAAAAACAGTTCAATAACGGGCTATTATGGTCAAGGCAGCCACTTCATTCATTCAGTGGTAATGTCTGATCACTGCTGTGATCAGTTGGCGTATTCAGAGGCTACATATTGCGATTGAATTCTTTTTCCCCCTGGAGTAGTGAGATTGTACAGCTTAATAATTTCCTAAGAGAAAGAATCGAATGCCATCAAGTAATTCATAAACCAGATACCTTCAGTCGCGCTCCTGTATATAGTTATATAATTATAGTACATACGTAGTGGAATGCATAGAGCTGCCGCTAGAAATGATAAATCTTTCTCCGTCTCTGAGCCCATTGAATGTGTACAGCGTAAGAATCACAGTAGACAGGCAAAGATGAAAACCAGCAGTGGCCGGGGTGCGTCCAATGGAACTAGATGGCCCGCAGGCACAATTAGCCGCCGGCTTTGGTGGATGATCTGTTCTTCCGTATCACGATAAGCAAGAATGAGATCCCATAGCATATTTTCATCCGGCTCTGAAGCCCACTGATCATCGCCCCCCCAGCATATATGCACGGGGAATCCTTTGATTTTGCCCCAGTTCGCCTTCGAAAAGGAGTCTTCCAAAAATCTGAGAGCACGCCCGGCTTGGTAGTAGAAAGCTTCCTGTCCAGCATCACTGGCAATCCATTGAAGACAGAGCCGATGAAGTAAGTGGGAGTTTAGGCCTTGAGAACTAGCGGTCGAGATATGATCGCGCACCATAGCTGCATGTTGTCGAAGCGGCAAGCGGCTTAAAATCTTTGTATATTTCTGCGCATGGAGGAAGAATTTGGGGTCCTTCCAGGCTGAAATAATAGGACTCACGGGGATTAGGACTCGGTAGCGCATTCCCCATTGAATGCAGGCGTCAAGTGCCAAGACGGCGCCAACACCATGGGCAACAACGTTGACAGGTATGAGGTTGAAATGCCGCTGGAGCATTAGATAAAGGCATCTGCTCTGCTTTCGGAGCGTGTTTTCCTGGATTGGTATGTCCCAGATATAAACCGTGTATCTTGAAGCAAGAGTCTGCGCTATCTCAGACCAGATATAAGTGCTGAATGGAAAGCCCTGAACAAGTACCAAGGGCGGTCCGTTGCCCCATATTTGAAACTCGTCTGTGCCAGCGAGGGGCGGGAGGCTTGGATACTGAGGAATTTGAGACCCTGGAATTTGGCAAAAAGCAGTGTTGGGGGGAGGAGGGCCCGGAAGAGGTGGAGGTTGAGGTTGGAGTCCCGGGGGATCAGGGGGCTGAGCAGCTGAGGGTAGGGGGTCTGTGCCAGGATTCATGGCTGCAGCGATTGAGAGGGAAAAGGAGACCAGATGCTTGGGTTTAATGGATTCGAAGACAAAGAATGGGGACTGGGTACCCTATGATGCAGATGCCACACACCCTCTTAAGGAAGGAACTTCCCTATTAGACAAAATGAGTAGGCACCAACTACAGAATAGTACCTAGGAGTCTATCGGTAGTGAAGACCCGCATAGCGAAATAACCCCGACCTACTTTGATATCATACCTCCACAATTAGAGCGCCGCTATTACGGCAGTTGGGAACGACCAATACCACCTGTACTGTCGTCCTTGACACGATTTTGATCCTCATCCGCAGCGTAATCAACGGCAAAACTGGACTGGATGAAGTCCTCTAGTTCCTCGCTGACAGTTTTCAGCTTTTCCTTGACACTGGCAACGCCTTCTTGCCCAACGATGTGGCGGGATGGTGGATTTTCATGCCCTCCTATGGCAGTGATCGCGTAGACAGTCTCCGCAACCAGGATCTCCATATGCGCGGGACTGAGTGGAGGATACGTCGACAGAACCTCTGGACCCGAGAAAGGCCCGTCCTCGGCAGAAGTGATTCGGCCGGAACTTCGAGACTCGTCCACCCCATTCTGAGTATGCGGTAGGCGGGGGACAAGTCGATTGAGGATTCCACGGAATAGAGGCGCGTGGTTGGCGCGAGGAGAATATGCAGGGACGATGGGTGGTACACTGGTTACCAAGTTGGTGAGGATGCCAATCTCAATACTGCACTGGATGATCGTGAGCTTAACGTTGAAAGGCGCTATCTCATATGCAAGACTCTGGAGAATTGGTCAGTAAGGGGGACTGAAACTGCTTGGACGGTATGCTCACATCACAGAAACCCTCGAGCGCCCAGCCAGCTGCGCAGTACATCCCCAGTCCCGGTGTCCCGATATGAGCCGCTGGTTTTGGTCAGATAACGATATCGTTGTTCAACAGCTAGGTGATGCCTTACTTATCCCAGAGATAATCATCACATGTCCCGACTTCTGTCTTCTCATATGAGGAAGCGCCGCCTTAATGATGTTGAGTGGCCCGAAATAATTGATCTCGAACTGGTCCCGGACTAGATTGAGAGTTTGCTGGGAGGCCGCCAGCTCCTCTACAGTTCCAACCAGGGCTCCACACCAAGTCAACAGGCATTTCGACCAATCGAAGGGAGGAAACCTCATACCTTGGCTTGTACAACCGAGAAGGATGTCAATTTTGCCGAATGTTGCAACAGCCTCCGCAACCGCTGCCTGACATTCTCCCACCACTCTGTATGGAAAAACACGTGAGCCCCTGACACTGTAGTTTGAGAGTGGCCTTCCTGCCAAAATTGAAAAAAACGCAGTCGCACCTTATGTCCAACGGAACCGGCTTGAAACGTTGTGTCCATCCCTCCTCACGATGGCTCTCGACCTCTGCTAGGAAGGCATCGAATTCGTCTCGGCGACATTCATCCCGGCCCAGGTTGGTGTGGGCCAGTCCAACAAGCGCACAATCGCCATGCATCAAAATCTGGCGAGTGACGGAGATCCCAATGGGCGAATCTCCGGCCGTGATCATCCATACCCGGGGTTCACTGTGGGCAGGAAACTGTGGGCGGGAGTAATCGGGAGAGGGGTGATTCTCTGCCATTAGATCGACAGCTTTCGCATTTCAAGCGCCCGATGTGTCCATAGCGCTTGGCAGTAGACTCGATCGTGGCTGGCTGTCAATGTCAGTCTAAAGCGGGATGGGCGGATGGAAATCCGGAGAGAGCTGGAGAGCCGGAGAGTTGGAGATACTGCAGGGTCGTTCCGCCCGGGCGATAAGAAAGGCGTGACCCGCTAAGCTCCCATTCCATCCCGCTTCTGGACCAGCGCGGGCGCAAGTCTGGCCTTTTTCTTGCTCCGTCCCTTTCTCTTTCGCCTTCTCTTTCGCCTCTCTTCCCTTCCTCCCCCATTATCTTTCCCTTGTCTCAGGGATCGGCTTTCAACACGCAAAGCTTCCTATCATGCCTGAACAACGGGAGCGTAGGGATGAGCCCCAAAGCGTATGTATACTGTTTACCATTGCCCGTAAATGTTCATCGCGCTAACTGACATTGTCTGCCTGTACAGTCCGGTTTCAGGGGGGCCCTCCAGGGTCTGGCTTTCTTCATGGTGATTCAGTTTCTTGCCAGTCAATTTTTTGGTGGAAAGCAGCAGAGTACTGGCGCTGGTGGAAAACCCGGTGGCGTGACCGATTTCAGTACTCGTCCAGCTAGGAGCGAAATCGAGAACTACAGCCCCATCCCCGACTCGATTGCCCCGATATGGCCCGTCGATAGTCCCTTGGACATGGACATCTACGTCTCGCCCTCAGTGTTTGTTCCCACGCACAAGTCTCAGCGGTCGAGCACCCTAGTGCTCTCGGAGAAGAACCTCACCATTGGGAATTACAGCGACACGAGGGAAATTGACACCATCATCCAAGTCCCCAAGGAAGTCCAGCAGAACGGAACTCTGTTTGCGCACTTCTTCCTCGGCCTTTCCGGACAGCAGCTGGACCCTTCCGCTAAGGACTACAGCACCGACAAGGCCGTTCACTTCTTCCGTCCGCTCAACCAGTACCTTCCCAAGAAGAAGGTGAAGAAGCTGAAGAACCTCTTGGCCAGCAGTGAAGAGAAGGAGGAAGAGGAGGAGGATACTACACCCGATGTTACCACCGCATCCTACTACCACCCGAATTTCACCGTGTCCTTCATTCCCGACTCTGGAGTTCAGAAGTATCGTCAGGTGCATCCTGCTGTCCGGCAACACTTGCAGCTCGAGGCTACTGGTGCAAGAGATATCTCCGGTCAAAATGGGTGGTATTACCCGATCGTTTTTCTGAATACCTTCTGGCAGCTTCGAAGCCACATGATGGAGCTTAACTCCACGGTCGACACCGTTCCCTTGCGCATCACCCTCAACAACCTACAGAATTGGAAATTCAGTATGATGGCCAGCGTCGACGACAGCGCGAAGCAGACTGCTCGCCAAGCTGCCTATGGTGCTTCCACCCCAGGAGGTGGCGACGGAAGTGAATTTGAGATGATTAAGGAGGTTTTGCTCAACACCAACATCTACTTGCTGGGCACCACCGGCGTGGTCACTATTCTGCATATGGTGTTTGAAACTCTGGCCTTCAAAAACGATATCGTAAGCTTCACTGATCCATCCAGATCACACTCTCCATATGGCTAACGAGTGTGCACACATAACAGTCTCACTGGCGCAAGAAGAAAGACGTCGTTGGAACGTCTGTCCGGACCATCTTGGCTAATGTTTTCATGCAAGCGGTTATTTTCCTCTATCTCATGGACAACAGCGAGAACACCTCGTGGATGATCCTCGCTAGCCAGGGTTTTGGTATCCTTCTGGAAGCGTGGAAAATCACAAAGACGGTGGACGTACGCCTCCGGCCGCCACCTACCAACTCCTTCTTTTCCTTCCTGCCGTACGTTGTGGTCTTCGAAGACAAGCACAAGCTTAGCGATACGGAGCAGAAGACAAAGGAGTACGATGAAATCGCCTTCCGCTGGCTCTACATCATCGCCGTGCCTCTCCTGGCTGCGTACGCTGCGTACAGCCTGATCTACAACACGCATAAGTCGTGGTACTCCTACGTCATCGAGACCCTGGTCGGTAGCGTCTATGCGTACGGTTTTCTGATGATGGTGCCGAGTCTGTACATCAACTACCGACTGAAGGTGAGCGCATTCCGAGGCAATGTTGGTGAATAGACCTAACTAACTTTCACTTAGTCCGTTGCTCATATGCCCGGAAAGGCGTTGACTTATAAATTCCTCAACACCTTCATCGACGATCTCTTCGCCTTCACGGTCAAGATGCCGTGGCTTCACAGACTTGCCACCTTCCGGGACGACATCATTTTCTTCGTCTGGCTTTACCAGGGCTGGAAGTACAAGGTGGACTACAAGCGTGTCAATGAGTTTGGCCAGGGAGGCGACAGCGACGTTGAGGAGGAGGTGAATGCTAAACCGGAGGAGCCATCCAAGCCAGAGGCGTCTGCTCGGGCATCCGGAAAGGAGAGTTCCAAGTCAACTCGGAAGAGAAAGTAACCCATCCTTGCCATGGCTCTTGGTGACTTGTGTGGCTTGATAAAGCCCTTGTTAGTTGTTTGTTTTTCAATTGTCGCCGCCGCAGAATGTTATACATATGCTCTGCCTATCCCGGCTCGAGTGGTTTGACAGATACTTGGCTTTTAGAGAGATATTTATGTAGTATAAAGACCAGTTATGACACATAAATGACACAGAAGCAGCGTAATTCTCGATATTCGTCTCTTGCAGTAGTAATTCTCTGAGCTTGGGGGTAGTTGGGCCAGAGTTGGCCTCGATGGGAAGGAAGTGAGTCTGGGACCGAATTTGGTTTAACTTGTCACTTCCCGCGACGGTCGCTTTCATCTGAACCATCGCATCGCCCGAGTTGCGCGGGAAGCGAAGAACAACAGTCCTGCAGACAATTCGTTTTGTTGAACCTTGTATATTGACCATCATATTTATGTTCGATCTTCTCTGGCATCTTGTGATAAAGTGTTCCAGCATTTGTGCGGCTCAAGTTGGGTGTAACTCGGGCAAAACAACGCGACGGGCGGCGCGTGTAACTAGGTCCAACCATCTTTATTACATTGTCGAGAACTACAGACGATCGTGTCGCGCATAATCCCAGATGTCATCCGAACCAGATGGAGGTTTGTGGACCAACCCTGTTACGAGACAGCCGAATCGTTGACATTTAATGCATAGAGCATCAGCCTCAGAGCTTGCAAGATGCGACTAGGCATCTTGAGGCAGGTAAGACGGCTCATGGACCTAACAGACCAGTGGCCACCCTTGACTAACGCCGGATAGTTGCGTTCGTGCCTTCCAAGCAACGGTACACAGATGCCGGCGAGCTGGGCAAAATCATCGCTTCTCACGCCTACGAGAGCGGGATCCCTTCGGTGACCCTTGAGCGTTTGGTCAAGGTCCTCACGGCTAGGAGTCAACTGGATCAAGGCACAACCACTACGCTGATCAAGAACCTGTACCCTTCAGAGCGGGTGCCGTCTAAAATAGTCACGCAGGTTGTCTGCTGTCTCGGTCCTAGCAAGACCAAACCCGCTCCTGCAACGCAGGCTTTGTTATTGCGATGGCTCATTCTGGTTTATGACTTCCTCGATGAAAAGGCCCACCTAGCAAAGCTTTATGCAGTGCTGTTCAATTATCTTGAAATGATAAGCCTGCGTAAACCATTGTGTCATTTACTGTCCCTCATCACCAGACGGAAACATGTGAAACCTTTCAGAATCCATTCTCTTATGGAACTGGTTGCCAGTTCTGGTGGGGACGAGAAGGAACTGTTCACTCTACTGAAGACGTTCAAGAACTATTACCCCGATGTTATCGTGGGAGATCTGGGCGTGTCTGGCAGGAAGGCGCTATTTTTCAAGCACCCAGACCCCGAGTGGTCCGGCCATGTAAGGCACCTCCATGATACTAATTTAGAAAGAACGCAGGCGTTTCAGCCTTCCACATTCCAGGTGATCCATCGTGGGTTGACGAAGAGGAGCAAACTGGAGGTGGTCGTCCCGGTTATGCAGACATCTCGGGTATCATTCAATCACACATCTTTAGAAGAATTGCGGGATGTTGGCCACTTTGTTGAGAAGCTGGACAAGATCGAGCTGCCTAACCAGATAATCTCTACCCTCGGAGATAACATGGCCCAAAAATATCTTCATTTGGCCCAGCCGGAAGCTGCAGGCCGTCGATTGGACGATTGGCTAAAAGCCTTTCTAGTCGACAAAATAGAGAGTACTCAGGATGGTGAAGATGACGAAAACGAGTCCCTAGGCTACGTATTGAGTCTCTTGGTTGAGTATGTACGATACACAAAGGTATGTCTTTCACCTCATGGGTATCTTTGACTTGGCCACTAAGCAGCAGTGTAGGATATGCCGCCGATGATCATTTCGGTCTTGAAAACCTACCTGCGTTCTTGGAACGGTGCAGACCACAAGGAGCAAATCTTTGCCCTCCTGGAGTATATTCCAATGGGCGAGTACGAGACCATACGAGCCGAGTTTCTATCACGGTTGGAAGTGGCGGTCCGACATGCGTCCCCGACGCAGAACAATTTGCTTGATTTTTACTCTTCTTTGATTCGTCAATGGGGAGTCAGTCTGAGAGCACAGCCCTTCACCCTGGAGGAATCAAAGCCTCTAGCTCATCTTATCTCACATGCGGAGCTTTTGGCACTATCAGTACTCGAATATTCAGCAGCACTGCAACAGCCCCATAGCGCCGGAACGGAGAACTCAAAACCAAACACATTGTCGGTTCTCGAGCTCTATTGCGTCCTAGGCGAACTATTTTCTCATGCGGCTCAGAACGGTAGCATTCGCCTCACCATCCCTCTGGCTCCCACGGTCTATTCCCTTGTTTTAACACCAATCAGCTCGGTGATTTCCATCTTCAGCTCGGTCCTTGCCAAATACAAGTCAGCCTTCGAAGCCTCCTTGACTTCTAAAGTGCTCCAAACCCCGACATCTACCGATTCACTCTACCCTACACAGCTCGTGGGCCAGTTCAATGGCTATATCATGGACATTTGCAACCTTGTTTGGCGAAACCGTGGGTTCAACTTGGAAGATCCAAATGCGCTGGGCTGCTTGATGCCGAGTCCCACTACCAACGCACTTGCAAGATACATTCGCGAGGTGAACGATGTGTCGAAAGAAAGCAACCCCGAGGCCGCATTTGGGTACAATGTAGCGTCGGCCTCCTCCCTTAGTCACCACGTTGCATTGTGCAACATGTCCACCGCTTGCTTTGCCGATATAGAAGAGGAGAACAGCGTCAGCGAAGACCAGCCACGACTGAAGAGGCCTGTGACTCAAAAAGCACTGAGTGCTTTGGAGAAGGACGGTGGTATCAAGATCCCTTGGCAGGAATATAGAATAAGGATGCTCGATTGGTTAGACGCGACGGGAAGTGTTGGGATTGGAAACTTGATGCGCAGCACAATGAAGGCATTGCGAAAGGATTGATGGCTGGAAATCAGTGTCAGTGCAAAGACGACGGCCAGCCAATCCGCCCTAGCTAGATAAACATGAGTTCCGCCATTTAACGGTTTACGATATCGAGTCCCAGTGTAGGCATTGTCCATGCGTATTACCTCTACCTTCGCCTGTACACCAGTTTTATCAGACAGGCAAAATCGTACATTGTTGGTTCTTCGCTTATTATACAGCAATGGATCTCAAACTAAACGCCAGGGTGTGCTCGGAACGGTGTATGTACACAACAAAGTCATGTTCCATATTAGAATCGCTGGGCCGTGTTTAGATATATGTCCTGGACGGCGGGTACCTCCCGGATGAAAGCTATTGTGTCCTCGATCTCTTTGATTTGTTCATCGGCCTTCAATTCCACCATGGTGTCCGGATTCGGGTCCCATATGATTTCGGATACGTCAACTGCTAGGCCAGTCAGCTTGGAAAGGGATTCACCCACGCTCTTGGTGCCCGCCGGCTCGGTGAGCACACAGAGTCGGCCTTCCTCATCTGCTCCGATGTCTGTAGCACCCGCCTCGATCGCCTGTTCCATGTAGTCATCGGGGTCGAGGCCGTCCTTTTTCTCAAAGATTATCCGGCCCTTCTTCTCAAAAAGAAACGTTGTAGGCGTGGAGGTCCCACCGCGAGATTTAATGGCATGGCGAACGTCTTGCAGCGTCCGGGTTTTTAGATCGGTTTGGCATTCAATCACCACCGCAACCGAGTGCGGTAACATGGCCTCGCACGTCATCGCTTCGAGAGCCTTGCCTGAAAGACTGATACCCTGACCCCTCGCGATGGCAGTATCGATGATGTGTTTGGGGAGTCCGATCCGCTTCGCATTCGCAAGGGCTTGTACTAGACGGGGATTGTCTTTCGGATTCGGGCCCGCTCCTAAAAACCGACAAGGTTAGCTGGTGGAGGAAGGAAGGAAAATACAGGGCTCTTGAGGGGCATACTTTGCGTCGCACTGCTGATTTCCTTGCTAACTAGACCGCGCTCCCTCCCCTTTGCCTTGTCATTCTTTGCCTTGTCATGTTTGATCGTAGACCATTTATTGTGACCTGATAGCCGCGGGACACTCGTTGTCAGGCTACGGCAGGGCTGGCATAATCCCTGAAGCGGACGAGCGTGCCAGGGCCGCAGACTTCTGATCATCATGGACTCCATCGAGGCAGGAAGTATGAAATCTACCACGAGTCGCAACCGCAACAAGTCCGTGGCAGTCTGGAACCCCGGCCGCAAATGCGGAGCCGGACCGAGGGTTTCTCCGGGCAGCCGCCCCCCCGGAGTTGAGGCCAAACTGCTCCTCCATTCCACTTAAAGGGGCCCAATCCACTGCGTCATTCCGTTCCAGACAGTTTGATTCTTGTTCCTAAAGCGTCTTTCTTTCTCGACCTTGTTTGAATTTTCTTTTCGGGGGACCGCATGGGTGACCCCTAGTCGGAAACCTCGCATCCAATGTCTTCGTCCGACCCAGCTGCATCTACTACTACCACTACTGCCGCCGACAATGCGCCTCCCCGTGCGGAACTGGATATCACCAAACTCCATGCGCTGCCCTCAGAACAGCAGGACCTTTACCTGCTCACCTTCACATCGGAGCTTGTTCAGCACATCTCGTCCCTAGACCGGACTCAGGTCTCCGCTCAGCAGAAGTTCCTCAAGAAGGAGCTCTTCAAGATCTTGACGCTCACCTCGCCTACGATCACGCGCGTTATTCGCAATAATCTCGGCCGATGTTTCGGAGCCATATTCAGCAAAGGCGATCGCGGGATACTGTTCGAGACGGTTACGGAGCTGCTAGGGGCCTTGAATGCCGGAAAGAGCGAAGCGGAATTGAAGACCAAGTTCGCTGCTGTTCACTGCTTGGGGGAGGTCTTCGCCGTCGCAGGTGAAAGTGTCTTCGCGCAGTCTGGAGTGGTGATTTCTAGCTTGCTCAAGTTGTTGAAGCATTCTAGCAATCATACGGGTCTGCGGGGTACGGTCTTTGCGGTCCTGCGGAAGGTGGTTGTGGGAGCCGGGGTTCCTGTGGACGAAGGTACCGCTCGAGACATTTGGAAACAGGCTCGGAATGCGGCGACTGGAGACAAGTCGACGTTCGTCCAGGTGCACGCTTGTCGGGTCCTTGAGCAGTTGGTCAATACGACGCCATTCTTCGACAATGCGAACGATTTCGAGAACTTGAAAGCCGTGGTTTGGAAGGTCTTTGATAGTCCTGTGGCCCCGGTCAGACATGCCGCCGCCGCTTGTCTTGCTCGCGCCCTGGCCAAGTTGCACGCTACCGACTCGCGTATCATGGCAGCGCCGAAACCGAAGAAATCGAAAAGGATGTCCAAGAAACCCACGCCGAAGCCCGGTGAGGACGAGGAAGAGGCTGAGGTCTCCGAGGCCTCAGCCCCCAAGAAATCTGAGGCCCGATTGTTCTTCCTGTTGCCTGATCTCCTTCGTCAGCTGTCAAGCCAGTACCTGCGGAGCACAACTACCAATCGTTCGCGGGCGGCCATTGCGGTGTGCTATAAACACGTCCTTCGTATTCTAGGAGAGAAGCTTATCGAAGAGCGTTATGGTGAGATCGCGAACCATTTTTGTTTCGAGCTTCTCAACCATTCCACAGTCACGTACAACAGGTTTAGGTTGCTCATGACTAGAAAGTTTGTGAAGAGTATCTTGGAAGACACAGTTGGCCGCGAATCGCTGCGCGAGAACAGTCAATTGAATGCTGCTAGATGGTTAATCAATGAGATCATCAAGGACTACCCACAAGTCATCCAGGAGCGTCGTGAGCCTAGCAAGTACACCCTGACAAGCGCCCTCAGTGCCTTGTCCTCGTTGGTTACTTGTCTCGGCTCTGCCTTTGGAAGTTTGGCCGAGCAATGTCGTGAAGCCTTGCTCCAGGTTCTCCCTCACCCGAGTTACACCGTTCAGATCCATGCCGCGCACTGCCTACGGAGCTTCGTCCTTGCTTGCCCTCACCAGCTTTTGTCCTGCGTTACGATCTGCCTCAACAGCCTCAGCAGGGAAGTTGGTCAACTCTCCACCCCTCGACAGGCCCCTCGCCGCTGTGTTGGTTATGCGAATGGGTTATCGGCAATGCTGAGTACATCTCGCTTGCAACCGCTTTATGGATCCGTGGATGTGTTCTCCCGTGTGTTTACTCAGGCCACCGATCTCCTGAAAACGAGCAGCAACTCCGAACTACGTGCCGCAAGTACGCAAATCCAGGTGGCCTGGATCTTGATCGGAGGACTGATGCCGCTTGGTCCAAGTTTCGTGAAGATTCACCTGTCACAGTTGATGCTGCTTTGGAAGAATGCCCTTCCCAAGCATCTCGGAAAGGAGAATTTTGCCCAGCGTGGGACTCTGGAAATGAGCTTCCTCGCACATGTCAGAGAATGTGCTTTGGGGTCATTGCTTGTGTTTATGGAGTTCAATAGCAAACTGATTACGGCAGACGGCGCGAGGAGAATAGCTGCCATGCTAGAAAACACCGTCACCTTCCTCCATGACATGCCTCGTCAGAAGTCTGTAAATGACATTTCTCAGCGTTTGCACCCCTCATTGCAGCTTCATGATATTGAGATAATGGTTCGACGGCGCGTGCTCGAATGCTTTTCCAAGCTTCTCCATGTCCACCCGCTGAGCCATGCCGACGTTATCTCTCAGACTAGTCTTCTGGGCCTCGCAATCTCCTCATTTGCGGACCCCGACGCTACTCAAACTGCTCATCTCGAGAGTTCCATTGCGGCATCCACCGCCCAATTCGAATCCCTGTGGGACCTGTGCGATAACTTTGGCTTTGGTGTGTCTGGCCTGGCCAGGGAGTATGTGCGCGTGAGCCTTACTGGAAAAGATGAGAATGACAATGGTCCTGCCTGGTCTGCCGTTGACTCTGCAGACCAAGCTATCGACGATGCCTTGACTTTCCCCATTTGTCAAGCTAGCGAACACGACTCGATTTTGTTATATTCGCCCGGTAAAAATGGATGCGACTTTGCTGATCCGCATTCTACTGGAGTTGTTAACGCAGCCGTCGAGCTTTTCGCCGTTGCTATACCGCTCCATGCCCCCCGGGTGCAGGAGAGCAGTATCGAGCAAATCGCCACTTTCCTCTCATCCCCGAGTCTGCAGCGCAACCCTGGTCGCAAGGCCGCTATGATTGTGAATATCGCGGTGGCATTGCTTCATGCTCTGAAGGCTGCTGCCAGAGATACGGGGTCTGCTGGGAAGCTCAACCCTGCGACTGACAAAGTCCTGCAAGAGCTACTCCAAGTATGTGATATGAGAATGTTAATATGGAAACTGCTAACCTTTTCACTTGAATAGAAATTCGTTACCGACCCAGACTCAATTGTCCGGACAATTGGTGTCGAAGCTTTTGGAAGACTCTGCGATAGTTCCGGCAATACTTTCACTAGCACCCAGATTAACTGGCTTGTCGATACAATCGTTGAAAACCGAGAGCCTAACACCCGTGCCGGGTGTGCCGCTGCCTTGGGTTGCATCCACTCCCAGGTTGGAGGTATGGCAGCCGGGCTGCATCTGAAAACCATTGTTGGCGTCTTGATGTCGCTGTGCAATGACCCTCACCCCGTGGTGCACTTCTGGGCACTCGGAGGCCTGGAAAGAGTTGCCAATTCCGCCGGATTGACTTTCTCGCCCTTCGTCTCTAGTTCTCTCGGCATGCTTGCCCAGCTCTACAATGCAGACACCCACAACGAGGAGTCAGCGACATTGGCAACCTCCAATATTGAGATGTCATTCCTCACGCCAGTGCTGATTAGTCGTTGCGTTGATTCTATGATCAACGTCTTGGGGCCTGACCTCCAGGATATCGCAAAGACGCGCAATCTCATCCTCACTTTGCTTCGCCAATTCCAACTAGAGGACAACCCGGCTCTGGTGACCGAAAGCTCTAAATGTCTAGACCACCTGTCGTTATATGCACCGGGATATGTGGACTTCTCTGGCTACGTCAACCGGCTGCAGAGCGAGCTGTCCTCTAACAACCCTCTGATGAGGGACGTCGCTATTCGAGCATTGAGCAACCTCATGAAGCGTGACGCGGTATCGGTCATCAAGACAGCTTCGCCTACCCTCGAGGAGGAAATCTGGCTTGCTTTTGATGATACGCCCGACAATTCGATACTCAGGAACATGATCCAAGATTGGCTGCAACAGACTGCTCTTGTAGAGACTGAGCTATGGATCCAGCGTTGCCACAACACGTTGACGACGACCCGCCTTAAATTGGACGATATCCCAGCGACATCTGCTATCAAGACCGCTGTCAACGACATGCCTGACGATGAGGTTGCAGGATTTGCCTCTGCTATTGCCGGGGCAGGACAGAATGACAATGCCAATGACACCGTGGCTGGCCAGGAACTCCTGAAGTGGCAGACTCGCAACTTCGTTATGAGTTGTCTCAGCGAACTCTTAGACACGGTCAATGCTGCTATCCTTCCGGACCAGACAATCCCCGCCGAGCTGGCGCTGCAGCAAAAGGTCGGGGACATCGTTCGCATGGCTTTCTCGGCATCCACAGCGAGCGTGATCGAACTGCGCGTCTGGGGCCTGAAGATCCTTGATCAAGTTCTCAGGGTGAGTCCCATCTTTAACCAAGTGCCTTCTTTCTTTTCACTAATGATTTAATCTAGATGTTTGGTAAAACTCCTGACCCAGACTTTGCCGAAGCATCTCTCCTCGAACAATACCAGGCACAAATTGGCTCCGCTCTTACCCCGGCTTTTGCTGTGGATTCGTCACCGGAGCTTGCATCGGAAGCAATCAACGTTTCTGCCACTTTCATTGCCACGGGAATAGTGACCAATGTGGATCGAATGGGCCGAATTCTCAAACTCTTGGTGCTTGGCCTTGAGAATTTCTCGAGTAGGTGTTGCTCTATGTTTGTTGATTGACCTATCGCTAATGCTTCCTAGAAAATCCCGATACCACTGAGATAGGAGATCTGAAGGGCCTGAACTCTAACGCAAGAGTCATGGTTAAGATGGCCTTGTTCTCCGCCTGGGCTCGGCTGCAAATCGCCAGTATTGACCAGGAATACCTGAACGAAGTGGTTCAGCCATACCTTGTGAAACTTACCCCGTTGTGGCTTTCGTCCCTTCAAGAGTACGCACGGTTGCGATTTGAACCAGACATATCTGGTAGTTTGGGTACTGGTCCCTTGAGCAACGATTTGGATGAGGTTTACGCGGCGTTGAACCGAGAGACTCTCTTGAAAGTAGGCAGGTCCCTTTACTTAGCGATTAAATGCGCTCCCTCCAAAGCTAACTTGGCACTAGTTCTACCAAGATACCTGGCTGAGTCTTGTTGACGCCATTGCCGGTCTGGTGGAGAAAGACATTGACTTTGTCTTCGATGCACTGGATGGGAAATCCCAACCCGCGGAACCCGAAAATCAGGAAGAGGATGAACAGCCCACACGCAAAGAAGAAGCTGGAGGAAAAGGCCATGATATCAATTATCGGGATGAACCGGTCGCATTTTTCTTCGTCCTTTTTGGTCTGGCGTTTGAAGCTCTGGTCGACCAATCTACAACGCCATCGCAGAGGCTGGAAATCCTTCAGGCACTCAAGAGGATACTGCGGCCTATCATCTCCGGAAATGCAATCTACCAAGACGCCATCTTCTCAGAGACCATGGATTCGCTTGACCGTCTCGCACTGACCGAAGGTTTCCCCATTCAAAACGTGATTGTTGAGATTGCACGGAATCTGTCCCTCGACCACCCCTCTGCGAAGGGCAGCGAAAACCGAACCGATCATCTCTCTGATGACATCGAACAGCTTTTTGAGCTGACGAGAAGCATCATCCTTGTGCTGGCTGGACTCTTGCCTAACCTCCGCGAAACCTCGCCGCTTGCACGATTCAACGTAGGATCGGACGACTCGTTGTCTCTTATCCGGCTCTCCTTGTCATCGCTGGTCAATGTGGCATCCATCTTCCCCTCGATCATCCGCAATGACCTTAACGCATGTATCCTCCACATCTTCAGCACTATTCTTGCCACGGGGCTTTGCCAAGCCGAGGTCGTGCCTCAAGCTCTTCCGATCTTCAAGCATTTCATTGCCGGCATCAGCAGCAGCAATCGAAACTCCGACAATCTCAGCGTCATCTCCCGACAAATGCGCGGCTGTCTCACCCGATTCCTTACCACTCTCACAATCGCCCAGCGCCGCGAATCAGAGTCCTCGATTCCCTGCGCTAAGAATACCCTCCTGGCAATCACGATCCTCTTAACAACCGGAAGCCACATGATCCCGCCTCAAGACTCGGTCATCATCCACATCCTGGACGAATTCCTTGACTGCCTCCAAGACGTCGGTCTCGCCAACGTCGCTGCCGGCTGCCTTCGTTCCATCCTTCTCACTCCTACTCCACGATCGCCCACCGACGACCTCGTGGCCCGCTACCTCTTTCCCAAACTCATCAGCTTCCTCGTCGGCTGCCCGACCTCCTCCGGCGAAATCCCCAGCGACCCCGAGAACTCGCGGGCCGTCATAGCGCGCACTCTCGTCTCCTACGTCGGAACTGCCACTGACGTCCCAACCGCCCTGTCCCTCATGATGTCCACTCTCCTTGCGCGCGCCACACGTGAAGGACACCCCATCTACAAAGAATCCGCCGCCCTGCTCCTCGACCTCGCCAAGACCAATCAGGCCGTGTTTCGCGCCCTCGTGGCTACCATGCAGCCGGAGCAGAAGTCCCTTCTTGAGGATATTCTTCGCAGCGCGGAGGCCGACGCCGGTGCTACCAAGAGCGCGAAAGACGGCGCGCAGGCTGGTGGACAGCAGGCTATGCCTAGTATTGCGTTGAGGATGGATTTTTAGATCTTTCACTCACTCGACTCAACCTAGCTTGTCATTACTTCTTCTCCGCCTAATTGTTGTTTGCTTGATTTTATGATTGTGTTGTTATATGATTTCTTCCCCTCCCCCTTCCTCCATCTCTTTTCTTTTCTCTCTGTGGTTTCTTTTCCCCTCGGCTTTTTTTTTTTTTTTTTTCTTTCTTTAAAGAACAAGAAAGTCGAGTTGACGACGAAAACGCATTCAAATGGTTTATTGCGAGACTATAAACGCCGTGGATGATTTGATGGCGAGTTATACCTGACGTGTTCTTTTTCTCCCCTTTTCTTCTTCTTTCTTTTCTTTTTACTTGAGCATGGATTGGCATGTCATGTTTAGCATGACAAACCTTTGCGTATATGAATACATACGATAGACAAACCTTTTAACATTAACATTAGTAGTATATTAGAGTGAGATGTTATGATATGAATTATTGTTTTGTTTTGTGAGACTATTATGCTATTTTGTTGCGGTCTTTGATTTATAAGAGTTGGGGTTGATTGAGTAAGGAAGTAGGTGGGAGTAAATAAATAGGTATCGGGAAGGTGAATTTTGAGGCCATGAAGAAAGTTATGGCATACAGAAGAAAAGTAAAGCCAACGAAAGAGAGAAAAGGTATATCATTCACGGCCAGTGAAGACCTGTGTTGTGTGCGTACACCGTATGTATAATCGAAAAACAACCGAGAGCGTCTATGATTGAATGAACGCCACCGGATACACGTGTAGTAGTAGTCTAAGAACAGAGAGAAAGGAAACTGATATACAAATTTAAAGGTAGGTGATGGTATGCTGCAAGGAGAGAATGCGAGTTTGCAAAGCTGACGATCTCTCAGCCTAGAGACTCGCCCAGATGAGGCTCTGGAACTGGATGAACGGCTTCAACTGCCGGGTCTTGGACGACCACCTTTTCGGCCGTCTGCTTGACTGGCGCTTCTTTTTTCTTTTCCACACCGTCGTGCGTTTTCCGGACGGAGTAGTACTTGAGGAAAATGATGATCATAACTATAGAATATTAGTATATTGCAAAAGCTGGCGAATGAAGAATTGGAAAGGGGGAACGGGGAAAGCTTACAAGCACTCGTCGCAACGGCCAGAGCAGCTCGTCGAGTCAAAATCCACCGAAGCCCTTCGATCTCACTTTTACCGTCACTGTTCAAAGAAACCGTGATCTTGTAGTTGAGTTCCTGAACGGAGGTATCAATACTACGCTGTTGCTCTCGCGTAGTCATCTTGTGATCATTGAACATGCCCTTAATGTCATCCTTCAATCCCGCAAGCTCTTGATTCAAGCGTTGCGATAAGATATCCGACTCGTGCTGCAGTTGTGTCCGGGAAGCCCGCTGTCGCTGCATTTCCGAGCTTCGAGCCGTTTCCAGAGACGACTGGAGTTCCGAGCAGGCCGCCTTGAACAGGTAAGATTCATTCTCGACGTCAGATTTGGAAGTCAGGTTGTTTTTCGCGAAATCGAGATTATTCTGCAAAATACGGCGCACCGCCTTCATGATAGTCACGGACTGGTCATCGCTGAAACCGCCCGTCGAGAGATCGCGGACAAGCGAGTATGAGTCAAAATGGTGGACATAAGGCGCAGGGGTCATGTGGGGATGGTGTTCGCCTGACGAGGGCAATCCAGATGGCGTTAGGTATGACGAGGGCGAAGGCAAGTGTAGGACACCTTCGAGGGGATTGCCGTCGAACGGAATCGATTGGGAGGAAGTCTTCGACTGTCGTTCTCGCGGGGAATTCTCGTCGGGGGGCGGAGATGCGGAGGTGGCATCGCGGTCATCGGACGCCGCAGGTTCTTCCCGAGGATCTAGCTCATCCGGAGACTTCTTATCATTCGATTCTGTAGAGCTGGAGCTCTTGAGTCGGGAGGAAGTATCCATGGCGTCATCTTTGGCATCCTCGGAGGGCACTTTCTCAGGTGGGGAAGGGGTATGCGGTGACGTGTTGCTCTTGTCTTTTGGCACCGGCGGAGTCGGGGGATAGCGAGCCTCGTCTTTGGGCCGCGCAGGAGGAGGCAGATTGGCCTCTGCAGCAGGGCCGTATCGTCGGTTGTATGACGTTTCTTGCGCTCGCCGCCGACTGGAGTGGAAGGGGGCTTTATGGGAGGAAGGAGTAGAGGGGATTCGAAAGGAGCGGTAGGTTGTCGGTTCGCACGAGCGCACTGAGCGCATAAACTGCGGGTAAAGGAATGGAAGCCTCGGGGCAGCCATGGCGAACGGTGTTGAAGGAGTGTCAGTCAAGCAAAAGGCCAACAGGAGGCATGAGGTTGTCCAGGTTCAACTTAGATTTCCCGCGGCGAAGTCGTCATGGCGGCCGGGAACGTGACGTGGGCGGTGAAGATCCTCCGCGGAAATTTCCTTTGCGGCCTGGCTGCCTGAAGAATACATTCATTTGTTCGCTGCTGATGGCAAATGCACCAGGTTCTTTTGTGCTCTATATACAGCCCCATCGCTCAAAATGTACAGATCTATAGCATCATCACAGTAGAGACCACTCAACCCCAGACGCAGCCTGGCAAGCTATTGCTCGGCGCCCGCTGCCAACAGCCCCAGCAACAATTGCGTGCGTTTCCAATACTCGGCAGCAGCATGGTCTATAGACTTGACAGATTTCGCACTGGATGCAGCTTCACTACTGAGTCTGTCAAGGATGGCTTTCAATTCCTCACTTCCCTGGTCCTTGGAGGCCAACGCATTCTTCAAATAGGCTGCGTCGAAGTATAACTGGAGCTTCCAGTCATGGAGATTTTGGGCCTCACTTTCGCTAGTGGTTTCGGTCTCTTGCTTTCCTTCTTGGCCAGTTTTCTTGGAGGACTGACTGTCATCATCGCCCTCGTTTTTGTCCACGTTCTTCTCTTCTGACGAGTCATTCACAGCGTCTTCTCGAAGGGCATTTGACAGAGAATCCAGAGCCTCGAGAGCAGAGGTGATAGATTTGGACAGTTCCGTCTGCGTGATGCTTTTGAGAACTTTGATAGTGGAGATATCCCAAAGACCTGGGCCTTGTCCATCCATGGACTCGACGAGTCGGCGCAGGAACTTGAATGTAGATGGAGACGGCTGGACAGGAGATTCCGGGTCACCCTCCCAAAGCGTTCGGCCTGGCACTCGCGGAGGCTTTGCCACCGAGCCTGCGATCAGCCGTAACGGATGTGTCTGTTTCAGCACTTCATTGGAAAGCATCTCCTGCAACTGAGGGACAATGTCCTTCGAGAGGACGAACGCGCCATCATCGAAATCTGTTGGGAGATCGCGCCGCACCAGTCTGATAAGCTTTAACATAAATGCAGCCTTGCCGCTCTGAGGCGAGGCACCGAAGTCCTTAAATATATCATTGAACGAGGAGTCGAGAGCATCAAACGCTGTCTTGACAGCTGACTCCAGCGCTTCCCGTAATAATTGTGGATCGTCTTCATTCAAAGTGGCGGTAGTGTCGATATCGAGATCCCCGTCCTCACTGTCATCCAAAACGTCTGTCCAGCGTACTCGTCGCAATTCATCAATAGACTGCCTGGAAGTTTCGATCAGGGACAGCCAGTCTTGGTATTTCTCGAGGACATTGGAGATATCCTCGTCCCTGCCAAGAAGCCTATCGGCAATTGTTTGTTTGAAAGTGGCAGCGCCATTCGAGTAATCGAGAGACATTAATTCATGATCCCAGAGTGAGCGAGAAACCGCGTGCTCTCGCCCCTCCCAGCCCGACAACACAGATGCGACAGTACGGCCAAAGGTGTTGAGCGATTTAGCTTGATCAGTCAGAATTTGCCTAAGTCGCTCGTTGAAAACGGTGCGAAGACCTTCCAAAACCTGCAAGGGCGAATGAGTAGGCGTTGAGCCCCAGGAACGCAACCATAGCTCCAACGTCTTTTCACGGAGTGAAAGTAAGCTCGTGAAGTCCAGCCAGTTCGTCAGGTTTTTCTGACATCTGTCGACAAACCTGTCAAACGCTTGCTTGGACCATTGCTTAATAAGTTTTTCGGCGTCACTTTTAGAGCATTCACTCAATTTAACCCAAGGGATGAAATTGCTGACATCTGGAGCCACCCAGCGGCCCAAGACATCAAGCCCTAGATCGTCGAGACCACGAATATCCGGGTCGGTGAGGATAGGCCGTGCTTTTAATTTGCCTAAAGCATCGGACAAACGACGGGACAGGAGTACTTTCGTCGACTGAAGGGTTCGCACATACAACCGTAGAGCGTTCAAGACGTGTTCGCCCGACGTGTCTTGGGATTCCAATTGACTCCCGATATGGTCCAAGCGGACTTGATGAAAATGGCGTATAGCGTCGTCGGAAGAAGAGCTATCAACCAGGCAGTAAGCCGCCAACGCCTCGATAATCTCATCGGCCGTCGACGTGGCCGATGCAAGACGTTTATTTATCCTCCCCAAAAGCGTCTGTCGAAGCGAGACAATTTGTTTGCGCAGATTCTCTAGGAACGGAGGAACCGGTTTTTGCTGAGATATCGTGTTATGGAGACGTCGAGAAATAACCGTAAGCTTGGCCATTAGCAATAGGGAACCACGACGTCTGAGTAGTTGCGAAATTGAGGCTGCACAGCGTTGTAGCAGAGCAAGTTGAGCGCTCAACGAGCGCTTGGCCGAATCTGGCAATCGCATTAGCTTTGGGATGGGAGCTATGCCAATGAACAGTTGATATTGTACCTCTGTCTCTGACATCACCTTTGATTTGATGAAAATGTGTAAACTTCTTCTCCATCAATCGCGGGTTGCATCGCTGTCCAATGTCGGCCAAGGTTGTATCCACATTCTGTATCTCGCGATTCATGGAAACAATTGTCTCCGCGGTTCCGACCAACTCCCGATATCTCGTACTAAAGGCGCATTGAGCGTTAGCAATGAACTGCAGACCCGAGGCTTATCTGTCGTACCCAACTAGAGCACGGAGCTTCTCCTTGTTGCTCGCAATGTCGCGCCGGAGCTCCTGCTCCACACGGCGCACGGTAGGAATTGGATATTGGAAGGCATCCTGCCAGGTCTTCAGGCTTTGCGGATCAGGGCCATCCGACGCCATGGTGAAGGGGAGCAACAGGATGCGGAGGAAAGAGGCCAACGATGCGGAATGCCGGTCGATCACTTGACGGGACAAGGCCGGTGCCTGAGGCAGCACTTCTTGACTCATCCGCCGCCGAGAAAATCAATTCGAAAAAGACCCCGCGGACTTTCTCCCTGCCCCTCCCTCATTCTCAATCATCGCAATCATGCCTCATCCTGAGTCGGATTCACAGCCTCCGGCTGACTCCTCGGCGGAGCAGGAGCAGTTGACGAGCTTGCCTTTTCCTCCGGTTACTCACTCGCATATTCTAAACTGCTCATATCATAATTGGCATCCTCGGTATGCTTCTTGATGACCCGGCGCCGTGGGTGTATTACTAAATAAATAATGTCTTGATAGCTATCGCACACTCACCCCCAAGTCTCGCGCCATACCTTTGACCTCTTCGTTTGTCTCTTACCTCCGCGCCGACGGCATCGTGCTGCCCCCGGAAGACATTCAACCTACGGACGACGACAACAATCTCGACGCTTATTCCGACGATTCCGCAGGCGAAGAGCCAGACCCGTCAACAGAATGGAAGGAAATTCATACGCAAGTCAAATCCACCATCTCAGAGTTCGGAGGCATCGTGACTCCCAAACTGAACTGGAGCGCCCCGAAAGACGCCTCGTGGATGTCGGCAACGAATGACCTGCAGTGTCGCACACCCAACGAGATTTACCTCCTCCTCAAGAGTAGCGATTTTGTCACCCATGACTTGGAATACCCCTACGACGGATGTGTCGCCGACTCGACCGACTCCTCTTCTCCATCCGACGCCAACCCTCCCGACATCCCTTACCATCTCGTCCTGCGCAAATATGTCAACTTCAACCCATCGCTCGAGTTCCGCTGCTTCGTGCGCAATCGCGTGCTCCTTTGTATCTGCCAGCGAGACCAGAACCACTTCGATTTCCTCTTCCCCATGCGTGATTCCCTCCGGTCTCGGATCCAGGCGTTTTTCGACGAGAAATTGAAGGATACTTTCCCCGACCCGAACTTTACGTTCGACGTATACCTCCCGCCTCCGCACCAGCGCGTCTGGCTCGTGGACATCAACCCATGGGCTGAAAGGACCGATCCGCTTCTGTTCGGCTGGTTGGAAATCTTACAGATGAAAGACCCCATCGGCATTCAGGAAGAGGACGGTGCGGAAGAGCAATTTGTTCGCCTGTCTCTCAATGGAAACAATCCCACCATCTTGGACCTTGGAGCGGCCGGAGAATCCGACTCCGAGTCAGAATCGGAAGAGGACCTAGATGCCGAATCCGACGACGACAATCCCTTCCTTCCTGAATTCCGACTTGTCAAGCGGGATGACCCGGAGGCGTACGCTTTTACGACACCCCAGTACTCCGCTTCTAAGTTGCCCAAGGAGGTGGTTGAAGCTTCCATGACTGGTCCGGGCGGCATGAGCGAGTTCCTGGGCAAGTGGCAGGATATCCTAGCCAAACAGACTCAGGAGTCCGATTCGGATAGCGAGGGTGGACGATAATGCGCGGGTTGCTACGTTCTGTGGGTTCCGGAGTACGTTCAAGGGTTAATGATAGAGCGTTTGCATAACGGCGTTTATCAAGATTTTAGGGTAGGAATGTAAAAAGTTAATGATATGGGCGACTCTGTTCTGCTCGGATTGAACACTCTTTCGCGTTCTCTCTTCCCGAAGTAAGCGGTCTCAATGCATAACATAAACTATGTTCAATAAGTAGACTCTCCTACGAATCAGCCCCCACCAAACCCATTAAATCAGCGTCTCTCAGCCCATGTACATACCCACATACAAGGATGTTCTAGAAGAATAAACTAAGAAGAAATCACAGCTTATGCTTCTTCTCCCCCGACGCCAACCGCCTAAACTCCTCCTGCGGCCCCCCACTCAGGAACCGCTCCATCCCCGCAAACACCTCGATCCCATTCTGGCGATCCAGGATCTCGCGCTCCGGCCGCCGCACCAACTCCTTGATCTTCAGCAAACTGGTCTGACTCAGATGCGTGCCCAGCCGATCCTCCACCTCCTCTAACACCTTGGCCAGGAACCCGGCCGAGTCGTCCTGCTTGCCCGATGGCGCCGCAATCACCTTGTTCACGAAGCCGGTCGATACGAGCTCGTCGCAGGTCAGTCGCTTGCTCATGATCAGCGCTTCGTTGGCCTTGGCGATGCCCAGGCGCTCGACGAAGGCGCGGGAGCTGCCGCCTTCGGCGACGAGGCCGAGCGAGGAGAACGGGGTTAGGAGGAAGGTGTGGGGGGCGGCGTAGACGAAGTCGGCGAGGGCGACGAGCGCGGCGGAGAGCCCGACTGCGGGGCCGTTGAGCGCGGCGACGAGGATCTTCGAGTGGTGGGCGAATGTCCGTGTGATGTCGAAGTTGTTGGCGACGAATCCGCGCATGATCTCGCGCCGGGCGTCGTTGTCTAGGCCTCCGCCGGGGCGGGTCGAGGTTACGTCTGCGCCGCTGTGGGGAGGCTTGTTAGATTTGAGGGTTCTTTGTTGGGTTGTAGATATGAGGAAGAGGGTGAGGTGGGGTGTGTTAGTTGGGTGAGGGTCTTACGCAGAGAAAAATCGGCCCGTGCCGGTCAGTACGGTGATGAAGATGTCGTCTCTCTGGTCGACTTCTCGGAGTCGTTGTCCGAGAAGGTAGTAGAGGTCTATGTTGAGGGCATTGAGTTTGTCGGGACGATTGAGGGTGATGATAGCCACTCGGTCTTGGTAGGTGACGGTGATGAGGTCTTCGTTGGCCATGGTTGTTGATTCAGAGTACTCCGCACGAAGTTTAAAGAGGAACCGAAGTTCAAGAATTGGAGATGATGAGCAGATCTAGTAGATTTAGCTTGATTCTAGCGAGAAAACACGATGCGATCTCGGGAAATCAGACAGAGAAAGTGTTGGGAATTGACCAGCAATCCGTCTTCGTATAAAAGAACGAAAGAAGAAATAGTAATCACGCAGATGCCGAAGCCTCCCCAGAACGAACCCTTGTACTAATTTGCGGGGAGGCCGACGGTCCGAACAAGCCGAGGCCCGTCTGCAGGTCACGGGACGGCCGGTCAGGTGAGCGGACAGCACGTGGCGCTGTTTGTGTTGTTTGCACTGATCGGGCGATCGCCGGCTGGCCTGTCAGAAGCTCCGGTGATTAATTATTCGATAATTTGCTGCGCTTCCGTCTTCCAGAACTGAGCAGACTCGTCGATAGACTCATTCCATCAATTTGCGTACAATTGTCACATCAGACTTAATCATCTCTTAACAAACACTAACCCGCCTCGAACAAACCCCTTTATCTCCCGGATCCCGACGAGCAGGAATCCCGCACATCATCCCACCTTTCTTCCGCCTACATAGACACCCTGCAACCAAACACTAGCACCTACCAGACCACCCCCAATGGCCTCCAACATCCTCCGCAGACTCCAAGGAGGCAACCTCGAAGTCTTCAAGGTACGTCCATCCATCCATTAATCAACACAAGACCAACAAAATTCCCTCCCCCCCACGCCACCACCTAGTACATGCATACTGACAGAAAATCTTAACTAGTTCGGCATGTACATCATCTTCCCCATCGGCTGGATGTACTACTTCGGAACGAACCTGGACGACCGATTCAGTGTCCCCGGCTTCTGGCCCACCACGGAACAATCGCACAAGATCCCCTTGGAGAAAGATGAGATCGACGCGGAGCTGTCGCGCATGCGAACGGTCGACGCGGTGAAGCGCCAGAGACGACAGGCGCAGGCGCAGGCTGAGGCCCAGGCCGAGGCGCAGGTGGCTGCTGCTAATGCGCAGAACTCGGAATAGGTGTCTCAGATTGAGGGAGGGACTTGGTCTGGTTTATCTTGTCTACCCTACCTATAAGCCTGTGAATGGCTAGGAGAGGCAGTAATTACGCGGACTGGCAAGGAAAACCGGATGGAGAGTTTCTTGGGGTTACTCTGCGGGGTCCAGAGTATTTTTCTACCTATGCGCGACTACGGAGGAAAACTTTTTCTGTGGTTTCACATGTACGACCTTTTTGATTGTTTTGATTTGATGTACTGTACAACACTCTTCTCTTCTGAGCATGGTAGGAGTTTGACGGATTTGATTTGGGTTTTCTTTCGAGATTGGGTAAATTACATGAATATATTTATATCATATTGGGAAATATGTACCGACATTCATAATTTATGTTCAAAATGGCACAATTTCTGTCCCCGTCTCCGTCTCTAACGGGGCATCGGTGAGTTTCCGCGGGAGTAACATCCGACAGCTTCCGTGACACAAGCCTAGTCCAGACCGAAGGAAATGCAGCCCGGCCCTCGAAAAAACGAGAGACCAAATTAAAATGAGAATATGATGAGAAAAAACAAGGGAATCAAAGGAACAAGAACAGAATCAGAATCAGATCCATGTCACTGATGGTTGAAGAATGCCATCGCAACAATTAAAACAAAGATATATGCTACAAGTGGGGAACCCGTTGGGTTAGAAGGTCAAGTTAGTGCGATAGATCGAAAACTCCTAGATGCGCCGGCCTGCTCGAAAACAAAGACGTATCGCTTAAACTCCGTTAAGATGAATCTGTCAACGCCACTCGTGAATTGCAGCGACAGAAAGACTCGTGACCAGACACTATGCAAATATGCAATGCGGGCGTATTGTAGATGGGAGCAGTATGCTAATGATTTCGCGATCTCGGTGAAAGATAGAAGCCTTGGCTGTGTCGCGAAGAGGGAGGAAGCCAGGTCACCCAATGGTCATGATGACCTACTCCATTGCTGCCACCAATGGCACAATACTCTCACAGCTCAGCCATTGGCTCGGTTCCCGTCGCGGCAGCGCTTTTGGCGGTTTCGTACATCACCTCCAGGGCTTGCGTTCCACTTTCGCGGAAGACCGAACTGATGGAGCCGAGGTTGCTGGAGATGAAGGGGCGTTCGCCGGCCCAGTAGTAATACAAGTGACTGTAGATGGACCGGATATGGTCGGGGAGATAGACAACAATGCCGGTCAAGATCATCGAGAGGAGCGTGAGAAGGAGAGAATCTGTTATTGTCATGATGGTTAGCATCGCTTCTGCACGGCTGACGGGTTCATGAACCCAGTTGTGCAGGATAAGGGGCCATACTGAAAATGAACTTTTCCGTGGGCGTAAGCATGTAGACAGCGAAGGTCACCTCATATTGATAGATCTTCAAACGAATCCAGCGAACCAAGGAACTTGCGACCCAGAGTAGAAACGCCATGATTGACACAAGAGATGAGTAGGATATGCGCGATAGCAAGGACGAATGAACTTCAACGGCTTGACAGTATTGAAGGGGAAGGACGGTCGTGAGATAGGAATCTTTTTTTTTCTGGGGGGGTCGGACAAGTTCTAGCGCAGGTCACACTTGCTCTGCCGAATAGGAGACGCGGCCGAAAGGGGGGAAGGACGGCAGGGTGCACGGATTTCCGATGTTGAGAGTGGAGTGTGTCGGGGATTCTCTCGTTTCAAACTTCCATCGTCTATCGGGAGGAGTCGAGAGATGAAATCTGATCACAAAGGCGAGAGGAAGGTGGGAACTGGAAAAGTCTCGATTGGACACCGTATTCGAGAAGGGAAGGGAAAACGAAAAAAAGAAAAAAAGTGGGTTCGCGATCGACAAACCGACAGCAGAGCCAGAAACAAAAACCAAGACAAGATCAATCTGCGGGGGACGTGAGAAGGGGAAGAAGAGAAAGAGGAGTTGAACTTTGCAGGCGGGCTTTTATTCAGTGACGGGTTGAGGATCAACTAAGAATAGTAGACAGTTGAGACATGCGACAAAGTTGCGGTCCTTCCATCGGATCTCGACCGTGTTTCAAAGTGGCTGCGCATGCGAGTACGAATAAGAGTAAGAAAGGGTTCCACTGCTCAGGGTCCAGATAAGAATCGATTAGCACCTGTTATCGGCTCCCCAACGAAATCTTGCCTCCGGTCCGTGTCTCGGTCTCAACATGAGCTATAATAATAAACAAGTAATCAATAATAACAATGGCGAATTCAATATGCGTCTCCAGAGGCGTACGTCAGCTGGATGCTTGGCACCTCTCGCATATCGTCGGTCTTTCATCCAAGGTCCATCGCGATGATCTTGCTTATCATCGAAACAAGATTCCTCAGCCGATTCGCCAGCCATGATGAAAGAGGCATCTGGATATCGTGTACACCATGTACACAATATGATCTTTCGGAGATTCCGAGAAGTTGGAGAAGAAGTTGGAAAACTTGCAGGACACATCGATGCTTAGTCATCAACCACACTCGGACCGACCCAAAGCCCGAGCTGCCTCAGGCCGGAACGTCTCTCTCGTCGCACACGCGAAATGGAAATGCTATACTTCATCGTAGTGAACGATACCATAAAAACAATAATGCTGCGGCCCTGCTCTCTCGCCCGGGTCCTAGGAGCAAGCACACGAACAATCCCTCCACTTAGGCCCTTCTCTCTATCCGCCTATTCCCTTGGCTCCAAACCCCTCCCTGCCCGGTTAAAGATCGAAGATGCCGATCTGACCGTATCATACCTCAAAGGTTCCGGCCCCGGAGGCCAGAAAATTGTAGCCTATTCCCTCCTACCTTACCTATCTTGCCATTCCGTTCCGGCTTACCTATCGAGCTGACTCCCCGTTCATCTAGAATAAAACCAACTCCGCCGTTCAGCTGATCCATAAACCTACCGGTATTGTGGTCAAGTCGCAGGCGACTCGTTCGCGCTCCCAGAATGAGAAGATTGCGCGCTCACTCCTCGCCGATAGGGTTGAGCAGCTGCAAAGTGGGGATCAGAGTCGAATTTCTCTCAAAGCGGAGCAGGCGCGGAAAAAGAAAGCTAGTAAGGTAAAGAAGAGCCGCAGAAAATATCGCGAGTTGGAAGACCAGCAGGATCCGCAGGGGGCAGTCGAAGATGGTGCTGGGGAACACCATCAAGAAAAATCGGCTGGGAAAGAGGCGCCTTCCCATTCCTCGTGAGACACTGCATTGGTGGCTCGAAGTGAATGACATACACATAGCATCCAGCCAGATGCTTGGAAAGAAGATTTACTGTAAAATAGATTATCTTGTACATAACACGGAACTGGACATCTCAATGTCATCTAAGCAAGGTTCATAAGGACATTTAATTTTTGTTTTGACGTGCGCCATCCTCTCTCCCACCATTTATCTCTGTTAGGCTCTCCTGCTGTACCGCCGGGTATCCAAGCCAGCGGACTATCATCTTCCTATCGAAAGATCAATGCGTTTCTTGCCACCGGATGCTTCACTTTCGCTCATGCGATGTAGCTGCCAAACAACGCCTTGAGCTGGTCTTCTAGACGTTCCTGGGCAAACTGAGTGATGCGTCCGTTGTTCTTCTTGTCCGCTGCTTTCAGATACTGGCCAACCCAAGCCTTGAGATCGGCTCCCGTCTCCGGCCAAGGGTCTCGAGTCTGAACTCGCACGGTGTTAAGCGCCGTGTACCCAACTCCAAATGCCATGTCTTCAACATCGTGCTCGGCAATGATGTCGTCCTTTCCAGCCGGAAGGGGAGGAAGCTCCAGAAGCTTCAACAAGGCTTCGACAGTGAAACCCCATCCCTTCTTGTACCGGTTCGCAAAGGCTTCCGAGTTAGCAACCGTCTTGGTAAAAGACAAAACAGCGGTCTTGCGATCCAAGGGGCGGGCAAGCTTCTGCGTCTCGGGGAGGATAACATTCAAGTAGATAGGCGTGAATAGGCTGGGTTATGTCAGTCAATCTCTAGCTTGTAGATAAAAAAGGGGATGGGTGCCACGTACGTCGGCTGGACTTTGTCGAAAACTTGGATGACAAAGTCGGCACTGTAGCCTTTCTCCTCTTGCGCGGAGATGAAGTGATAGAAGCGAACAAACCGAAGAAGCAGGCTTTCGGTCTTGTTGTTCTCGAGTTTCATAAGAATCACCTGCATGATCGAGACGAAGTATTGCTCCAGGGCAGTCCTATATCAACCCGTCAGCAAAGCCTAGGTGCTGTCGCAGGTATGAATTTCACTCACGGCGGGAAGTTTGCGACGACAGATTCCAAAAGATCGAAGCCGTAGCTTTCGTTGGCCCTAGACGAGAGGAGCTTTTGGAAAATACCCAGGATAGGCTCGATCTGCTGGTTCTCGATGATGTATTGCGAACCACGAGAAATGATGGACGACAACAACCGCACAAGAGCGGGCGTGTTGCCTTTCGAGTCCCACATGACGGGCATGAGAATGGGAGCGATCAGGTTCTGGTAATAATTGGGCAAGGTTCCTGATGGGTTGGCCTCCAGTAGAGCGGCGAAAAGCTGGAAGATGTAGGGCATGAACTCTGATGTGCGGAGAGAAAAACGTTAGTTTTCGATCACCTTTAACCTTGGGCTTTTATCACAGTGGCGGCCTACCTTGCACATCCCCTTGAAGAACATTGGCGAAGGGAGGATAAAGAGCTTGCTCAAGTTTGTCCGGGTTGGAAGGTGCAGCAAACCTAATGATGTTAGTGATTTTCTATCCTGCCCAAGAATAGAAGAGGGATTGACTTACCGAATGAAGGCACCCAGGGCTTCGAAGTGGTAGTAATAGAAACGGGGGTTGCTGGGGTTGCTGCTGATGATCTGCGTAATGTTGATCAAATGCTGCAACACGACGTCGGTGTGCGGTACAACACCCTCTTTGATGACTATCAACACTCGCATAGCACATCGCATCAGGAATTCATTTTCCTGGATCTTCTGAGGAGCGGGGTCCTTCTGGATCAATGAGAAGATGTGCTGCAGCAGGTCCTTAGCCAGGGGTGTAATAGTGCTGGGTGCGATGATCGGTTGGCCTTGGCTATCACCGAGGTAAAGCGCTCTTTCGACAGCAATTGCTGCGTAACTGTAGACAATGTAGTTGGAAGAGGCAAGTTGGTTGACCAAAAGCGGAAGCACCTCCTGCCACTGTTCCTTGGTGATGATGCTTCGGAACACGTAAAGGTATTTAATAGCATCGACGTTGAGGATAGGGTGCACACTGTCTCCTCCAACCAGATCTGCGGCAAGATGCTTCTGGAAGTAGTCGGTGATACTGATCAAGTTGTTTGTGGCAGTGATACCATGGCTAGCAGTGGCAACCCCCTTTGCTGCAATGGCAGAGAAAAGATAGGTGGCAGTGTCCTTGGCCTTCCAGTTCGACGCATTCTTCGTGCACTCAGCGAGGTAATGCTCAATATATTGCAGAACAACCCTGGTGACGCTCTCTTCGAACTTCTCAGCCAGTTTGCGCAGAAAGTCGGTGGCGGCTCGTCGTCTTGTGTCACTGTCTGATCCTTCGAGATCTCGGCGGATAAATTCAATCGGCTCATCCTCAAAGAGCTCCTCGTCCGATTCACGAAGGCTCACGTTAGGCAGAATGACCTTCTCGATGATTTGCTTGAGAGTGTTCTCATCTTGGAAGACCATTGCATGCTCAGGCATAGCCGCAACCGAAGTGAGGAACTGCAGAGCTCTACTGACCAAAATGTCATACTTGGTTTCTTGGCCAATGGTGGTCAGGAAGTTCCAAGAGCTCTGAACGAAATCGCCAATGTAAGGCTTGAAATCATCTTGATATCTCTGCACATACAGAGTCAGGACCTGGAAGATGGCGGCGCGCGCAAACTCCAACGGACCGGCTTCGGTATCATCATCAGTGACAAGCAATTGGTTGTCATAGGTGAGATACTTCAGCAAAAGACCAGCTATCCCAGCAATTTGATCTTCGAAAACGGGTGGCAGATCGTGGCAAGAAAGGTCATAGAGCAACTTGACCATCAAGTTTAGCTGCGCAAACCCTTGGGCGAGATTTTCTTTATTCGACTTGTTTTGCTCAATGAAGTTGTTCAGTTGCTATGAGAATTAGTATAATCCGTGATTTCAAATCTCCTTACATCTTCGAATGTGCAAAAAATAAAAGGTGAGGATAGGCAGAGCCACATGGGAAAATTACCTCGAACAAACTCAGGAAGGGGGCTCCGAATTTCTCAACAACATGGTTGATTTCTATGTAGAGGGCATCCGACCGGAACAAAGGCCTCCATCTTTTAAAAATGGAATGTGCGACTTGTAGGACGCCGATGTTGGCAGCAGGGTTGGCGGGTTGAAGTCTCGAAACAAGGTCCTTTGAAAAAAGTTGTTCGTCAGTAACGTCCAAGGCAACCAAGGTCCCAAAGGTGGCAAGGTAGCTCACATCCACAAGCGTGTCCCATCTCTCCCAGAAATCACTATCGGCAATCACACTAACGGCTTCTCCCAACTGAGTCTGGATACCCGTCGGGACCGAGATCATCAGGCTGATCAGCTCTCGTTTAATCGTCGTGACCTCATTTTCCTGGAGTTTGTAGTTTCCGTCCTCATCCGTCCAGTTCCACTTAATGAAGTTTTTGAAGCAAAGCGCACTAGCAAGGCGGGTATTGTAAGGATAGGCTGCAGAGGCGGTGATTTGTAGAAGCTGCAAAGAGTAGCCGGGCTTTTTTTCTTCCTGGCGAAGAGCAAGTTCGGCTTTGGAGTTCGCTGTTAGTTACGGCGTTCAAAGTATACATTGACTCCTCTTGACAAGTAGCATCAATAGTTAAAAGAAAGAACATACCTTGTTTGTTTTGTCTGGGGTCCAAACTTGCTTCGAGGAGCTGCGCAACAGCTCCAAGGTTGTCGGCCATATTGGAGCGGGGCGAGTACAAGAAACGTAGGGATTAACTATGAATGACGGTGTACGTAGGGAGGGTATAGTGGAGGAGATGGGGGTTTAAGAAATAAAAAGATGGATTGCTGTGGGCGGGATTTTTGCAAACAGCTAAATACCAGTGCCCCCGTAGGAAAAAGCCGTGAGAGCTTGTATTCCTGGTCAGGCAGTTTGTTTGGCGGTTGCTTTGCAACAATTCCCAGGCGGTGAAGCCATGTCCGCGGGGTGATTCTGCCCATCAGGTGATAGCACCGGATCAACTACAATCCGAGCCTCCGCCAGATCATCATCGTCAATGCTCTGAGGGGAAAAGTGTCTTGGCACACCTTCGCTGTATCTCCAACTATCATCCCATCGGCTCTCGGTCTGTCGGTCTCAGGAAATAACTGCTCCGGAGGTCTTTCTCAGCTTTGGATGTGACCATCTTGTCTCTTGCTCTTCTATGAAACCTCTTCCGTCTACCCCTCAAGCTATGGTTTTCCATTGAAACCCAAGTTGTCGCATCTGCCACCGGTCTTGTCTGAGGAAGACTCCCAATACACGTCCTAGCAGCCGTTAATGAACATGAGCTTCTGTGATCGACCAGTTAATGGTATGTGAGCCCTTGTTTTGGTATGTCAGTTGTGCGGCCTGTTTCACGGGGCCAGGCTCGCACCTATCTATGGAAGGGTCTTGCTAATTGGGTCTCTTACCGGGTAGCTATATAATTCTCCGGCCCAACACTACCCGCTATCTCCGTCCACTGGGACGCATGTCTTCTGACGATGCTTCATCAACCTCAAACTACAAACACACCACATCGAGTTTCGCGGACGTTTTCAAGTCTTTAGGCGTTTCGCGGCCAAAGTCGCTTTCCCCGGTCTCATTGAAAGACAGCAGTGATTCCTTGTCGCAGACTTCAGATGGACGCAGGAGCAATCTGATTTCATTTGGATTCGACTCAATGCATCGTGGCAGCGTCGTTTCGAGCTCCTCGGACACTACTGGTGCGCCGGATTTCGAAACGTCGCTCAGGATCATCACCCAGAAACATAACCTAGGCCAGGCCATTGACGAAGCCGAACAGGCCGCAAAATCACTCCAATGGCTATCTCCGGAACAATCACTTATGCTGTGGGAGGCCGGATCCTACCTTATTCACCATGCCAGCTCGGCAGATGCTCGACGGAGTGGCTCGGTGTTGATGGAAGCCGTCGCATCGCGCCAAGACCTATCACCAGCAGCAAGACGCACCATCTTCGAATCGATTTCTAGTTCTTCCGAACCTGACGTGATTCCCGCACGAATTCAGTCGCTAATATCACTGTCGGACCATGGCAGAAAGCTAGAGTTCACCAACTCATCCATTCTCCCTATCATTTCATCTTGTATAATCCCGTTATATGAGCTCATATCGAGCGTCCGGCTCAAGGCGCGAAAATCGAGAGTCGGCCGAGCCAATGGCCTGGGCTACGACGACACCGTACTAGACGACTTGCTGCAATTTGCAGTAGATCTGATCACTCTACAGCGAAGCCCTCCTAGTAGTGAAGAGGTCCAACGATTGCTGGAGCAGATCTTTATTGTTTGCAAGAAGACAACTGTTGCCGCCGACATTAAAAACTCACTGGCTGTTTTCGACTCCATTATCCTATATGCGGACGTACCAGATGGAAGTTTTATCCCTCTGCTGGAGGTATTGTGCAGTATCCATGCCTCCGTCAAATCTTTGTCGGGACCCACGTCAAGAGCCGTTCGAAATCTAGCAAAGTCGAAAAAACAGGCGGAGATGATGGACACTCTGTACTCGTTCTTGTTCGACTCTCCTGAAGGGGTCTTACGTGGATCGGTGCACGTTTTCACGGATCTTATTCGCGCCCACGGCCAAGACGGAATCCCACAGCTCGATTTTGATCGTCTAGTGGACTCTCTCCAGGCCATCCTGGAACAGCCCAGAGTAAACAAAAAGGATGATGGCAGATTGGAGGCGGACATTTTGGAGTTGTGTCTGAACGTGCTGGATGGGGACTTCGCTGACGTAGCCCTGGGGAGTAACTGGGTAGGGTTCGTCAACCTTATGAGTCTGTGTTCACTTAGAGTTGTCGACGAGGACGAATGTTACACCACAACGCCTAGCGCCCCAGTGCCTCATCCGAGGGGCAGCGTTATCGAGGACGCCAGGCCGAGCATCTTGGCTAGCATCATCCAAATTGCCTCCGCCCTCGAGTCTCTCTGGGAGCGTATCAACAGAAAGCAGAAATTAGAGATCACTCGCTTCCTGATGAATATCTGTCAGCAGATCGAGCCTCCCCAGGCTGAACTCGTTCTCAGTACAGTAAGGACTGAGAGGCTTTGCTTCCCTGGCAATCCAGATTGGGTACAGCATTGTCAAAGACTGATCCGCTGTTTCATCCGATCCCGTACTAAGCCATCCGATATACGCATACTAGCTCTGGAAACGGTAAAGGACGCTTTCTCGAACTACGAATCCTTGGTTCAATTTATGGAGCAGGGGCTCCTAGACCTCATGTTAGAGAGTTTCGCTTATGAGGACGATATCATGTTTCTGGAGACCTTGGTCTCATTTGCTGTGGACACCTCCATTCTTGTTCGGGATGATGCTACCTTCAAATTCCTGGTGGACACCATCAGTTCGCCGATGAATAAGGATCTGGGTAAAGATGGGCTGCTCCAAGGAACGGAACCTTCTGCATTACCACCTCAGCGCCCTTCACTAGGCAGTGTCTTGGAGCTATCATTAGCCAATGTCTGTTCTGTTGGCTTGGTGAGGATGTTTTTGCGATGTTTGAACCTTTCCGCGACCAAAGCAGTTGTGGTCTTTGACGCACTCCAGGAGATCTCCAAATCACCAGAGCGGCCGGTGGATTCGCGATTGACTGTTCTCAAAGTACTCTTCAGGCTTCGTTGTGACTCCTCGGGATCCATCTCAGTCATATCTACTTCAGAAAATGATTTCATCATGGGAATGTCCGGTCGCAATACAGATGTTGGCGCCAAATCGCATACTTTCGAGGATCAAAGCACAGAGCACAGTGCTGGTAATGACCAATTACGCCCGCCAGCTCAAGGAAGACTTTCAATCCATGATCCAGCTAGCCTCTCCTCTCGCTCTACTGCTCGAAATGCATCGGTCAGCATGCGTACGTCCAAGTTGACGCCGCCGGTTTGGACTTATGCCTCGTCCCAAGTCCTACCTGAAGAGCCTCCGGATGAGTCGAGTCCCTTTGTTTATGCGTATGCGACACCAGACACGTCAAGCCCCGTTGAGGCAGAGCCCACCCAAAAGATCGCGTTGAAAGCAAACATTTGGCTCGAGGCCGTCATACAGATGCTTCAGACTGAGAGTAATTGGGATATCTACAGCTATGTTCTCACTCACCTTGGGCCTCAACTTCGCAACCGAGACTTTTTCACGAATGCAATCCCGCCCATAAAACTTCTCCGCAGCATTTTGTGTGATCAGGTTAAGAATGACAAATTCCGGGAGCCGCCTCCCTCGACTGGCGTGAAGAAGACGGATGTGGCGGGGTATATCTTCGAATCCCTTTGCGCACTTATCAGTTACCATGAGTACTTCGCCAAAAGTGAAGAAGACGAACTTGTTCGCGCATTCATGCTGGGGATCATTGGGTCTTGGGGAGGCACATCTCGGGGCTGTATCCACGCACTCTCTGTCTGTTGTCATGAAATCCCCCTTTCTGTGACGAAATCTTTGAACGGAATACTTGATAAAATGTCCAAAGTGATCACCATGTCCAATCTTGCTGTTCACATCCTCGAGTTTCTAGCGCTACTTGCGCGTCTTCCCGATGTATACATCAATCTACGGGAAGAAGAGATTCGCACCGTGTTTGGCGTTTGTATTCGCTTTTTGCAAACTTCGAGGGAGCATCGGTTTAAATCCTCCGAGTCGCCCACTCGAACCACCACGCAAGTATCCGCAAGACTTGGAAGTGGAATGCGCGAAACCGCGGCTCTTCCGGCCGAGGTGCCCGATCCCTCCTTGCAAGACGGAATGTCAAGATATATCTATACCCTCACGCATCATGTCATGGTCTTCTGGTTCCTGTCATTGAAATTGCAGGACCGAGCCAAGCATGTCAATTGGATAACTAGTCGACTCATTTTCAAGGATGAACATGGCAAAGAGATGGTAGAAGAGCAGAGTCAAGTTTTCCTTGACCTGATGCAGCGGGTCGCGTTCACGGACTTGGGCGAAACCATTCCATACGCAACATTTCCCCCATCCCCAGCAGATGGGCCCGTTACCAAAAAGTCATGGGTGGTTGGAATGAGTATCATCACCGTGGAGACCGCGGGCGTGTCGGGCTTGACCCAAATCACCAAGAGACAGGCATCCGGTACAACCTATGCGATGTACCAGCAGCGGACTGCACCTGTCCTCCCTCATCAAGTCCCTCCGACAGCCGAAGCCCATATTCATTCTGATGATATGCGCACTGCCATTCTTCCCAGCCATGTGATGCTCCAAATGACCACTACAGCCTTCCCTACGCCCACCTCTATGCAGCCCATCCCACTTCTCGAGGACGACATTACCCGTCGTGCCCTCAGTACATTCGACCGGAATGACATTGTGGATGGACATAAAATCGGAGTTCTGTACATAGGCAATGGTCAGACAGCAGAAGCCGATGTTCTTTCGAATACAAGCGGTAGTCCGGACTACGAGCATTTCTTGTCGGGACTCGGGACAAAGGTTCCCCTCAAGGGAGCACAGTTCAATACCCAGGGATTGCACTCCGACATGGATGGCGAATTCACCTATGCCTGGCGGGATCGGGTGACTGAAATCGTTTATCATGTGGCGACCATGATGCCGACCAGTTTTGACAACGACCCCTCGTGCGTCAACAAGAAACGTCACATTGGAAATGACTTTGTCAACATTATCTTCAACCGGTCTAATCTTCCGTTCAATTTTGACACGATCCCATCACAGTTCAATTTTGTCAATATTGTCATCAGCCCTGTGTGTCGCATTGCCAACGATTCCAAGGATGCCAATCTGGGAACTGCTTATTTTGACAATCTCTTCTATTATGTGCAAGTCATAAGCAAGCCAGGTTTCCCTGAGATATCACCCGCGGCCGCGCCCAAGGTCATCTCAGGGAAGAACCTCGCGG